TCTTCATTGACAAAAAGAAACGTGCCCAGCTGCGCGAGAAGTCGGAGAAGGCCGAACGGCCGACTGACCCACCGCTCTCCGACGTAGACGCCTGGGCTCAGTTCCTAGGGCAGAATGTGTTTCGCCGCCCACATGGGATCAGATTCGAAGGCAACCAGCCCGACCAGGCCCAGCTGCAAGGCTGGCTAATCTTCAAACAAATCGGGCCTGCCCGCCCGGGAACGAAGGAGGAGTCCCGTCGCACCCGCAATGTGGCAAATCACGTGATTTGCCGGTATTTCGCCGAGCATGCCGAAGAATATCGTGGGACGGTCATGTCCCTGGGAGGCACCATTTCGGAAATGTGGGCGCCGTCGCCCTACCCCCATGCCGAAAACGTGGAAATCAATGATTTCCTGAAGCACGCGGCGATATGCGGACTCCAGCATGAAATGGCGGAGGGTCCCCTCCGCGCATTCGCTATACAGTGGCTCGCCGACTACACCGGACCCGCTGTGGCGTGAGAATCGAAGCACGAGGGCCGTGTCCATTGACAGGCCTTCGAGTCGCAGTAAGTCCATTGACGCTGCGATCTGCTAACTACTAACAATCTCTTTCCCTAGAGGGGGGAGGGTGTAACGGTAGTATAGTAGTACTGTATACGCTTTGTAAGCCGCCGCGAGGCGGCATGATGCAATAGACCAAATACCGCATCCCATTGGATGCGGTCACTTACAACGACAACGATGGCGCCTCAATACCATATGGCGCCCAAATCACATTACTACGAGGCGTAGGCATATAAACGCCTGCTACTCTACCATGTACCGTATCTCTTTTGCTCAATACCACTCGGTTCTGTTCTGTTTCGGCCAAGTCGCGTCGTAGCATAGCATTACATAAGCTAGCTACTTTACACTGAGCCCCAAGCCAGGACCGACCGCTCGTGTGTTCATGTTCCTCGTTTCCACTGATATAAAGGACATTCGCTTAGGCTACGTAGGGCAGCACTTAATTCTGACGCAATTCTTACCTGGTTCGACCTGTGTTGCTCCAGTTTGGCAAGCGCCTCCGAATGTATTTATTCAGTTTTACGGGTCGCTGTCAAACCAGCTGATTTTTGCATAATCAAGCGTTACCAAGGGCAGCCTTAGGCCTATCTTAATGCATCTCTGTTCCTGGATCACTAAGTACTCTCACTCCTATGATTATCCTCGTCCGCGCAGGTAGAATCGAGGAGTGAACCCTACAAGGGCGCCCAAACCATTGAGCCGGAACATTGAAAAGACATTGAATATAGACTGTGATGAGTCACTGTGATGACGCGTACCTTAAGGCATTTCAGCCAATCAAGATTGAGAGAAATGCACACGAGTGACCTTGGAGAACCTCGTCAAGCTCGGTAACGATACGCGCTGCCGGTTTCCGGAGCCTGTACATGATTGTCCATGTAAGTACATACTAGAGGCCAGAACAGGAAAGAACATCTATAACGGTCCAATTCCGTAAATGCACCATTACATAGGTGCACTATGACACGGCAATAGACACAGACCTAATGAATCATTTTGGAGCCTCCCTATAATGGAAGAGTACACGTAGAGGAAGCATCCATCTTATCCAGACGGCTTGGCCCCTGAAAAGCGCCCGGCGCGCTCGAGCGTCCCGTCGATCAGCTCGTAAGCTGGTCTATATCTCGCAACCGGATCCAGCCCAAGTATTGCTGGCTCAGGAGACAATGCAGACTCCCTATCCTGCATTGACGGCTGCGGTACCAGCTCCATTATCCCCATGGAGACGGCGGGGTCGACAAATGGATACGGTGAAGTCGTGCCATTCGGCGTAGGGTGAGAGGCCGCGTGGGGTGGAACTATCTGTGGCGCGGTAGCGACTATCGATGCCAATGGAGTCGGTTCTTCACATACTGGTTGTATGAGTAGCGCGGGATTTGGATTGGTATTATAGGTCGATCCAAGTGACGTGTACCTGCCCTCGTATATGAGTACTATGAACAGGACGAGTTGGAGGGGAAGACACACCCTTCGTCGTACAGGCGGCAATAAGGAACATTGAACTTCAGAAGGTATGCCCAGACGTCAGAGTACGACCAGTTAATGATAGGGTGCACGCGCTCGAACTGGGGCCAACCAGGATCACAAGGGTTTCGGAAAGCTAACTTGGCTGTTCTTGATATCAGCGCATGTCCCTAGCTGGAAACAGAGCCATGCGAACCTCCATGCGGGTCGCCTCTTCGCGTTCCAACGAGAATGGCATCTATGTGCGGAAATTGGGCCTTGTACATGTCAAGCGCCCTACGCATCCCCTCGCCACCCTTCGCCTTGCCTACTGGGATTCCCTGACTCGGCTTGAAGTACTCGGAAAGGCCTGTAATCGCGCTCGCCCCGACAGACGGCGTGACGACGCTTTCTACAGGTAACGGGGAATCTTCCGGCGGGGGGCAGTGGAACAGATCGAGATTGTACGCTGCTACCGCCTCCTCGATGAAAGCCTCCATCTCCGGAAACGGCGACGGCAGCGGAATATAGATCGACGGGATGGCCTTTCCCAACGCGATCTCGGTAGATTTCCGAGTCAATGCTCCCACGAAAAGATGGAGGAGCACTGTACCTGGAGGCACCTGAGCACAAGCTAGGGTGCATAGGTCACTGCATGCAACGTACAATCTTTTCCACCGTTGAAGCTAATGGAGACATGTTCCTGCCTTATGTCTGTTAGGCTCCTGGGGCGGGTAGGCATGAGGAATGCACACCGCGTACCCGTGAGTGTCTATCGCCTCCTCGATGACGTGCAAGGCCTCCAGAATGAGCGGTGCCAATGGATCATCTGATCGAGACACATCGTAGATTTGTTGCGCGATGGCCTGACGGTCCATAGCAGCCGTTGTGGATGAGGTTGTCGAAGAGAATGACATGAGAGCGCGACTTGATATGGATCACCGGTATCGGAGGAGCAGAGCACCGCTTGGGAATCCGACAGTCACGGCTTTATATCGCCCGAAACTACTGGCTGTCAACTGAAAGTCGTCGTCGGACGCGGTGTAGGAAACAAGAAAGTGTGGTTGCAGCTGTTCCCGAAAATGCCATACGCATGGTCCGGCGCTGACGAAGGGTCACGGTCAGTATGGAAGTTCGCGTGCATACCGCAAGTTGCGCGAGGACGCACAACCATGACACACGCACATTGTTGCTTCTGGCTTGACATGAAAGAAAGACCCAATGGTTTGCGCACCAATCGAAAATTAGTACTACCTCTCACCTATGCGGTATCATAGCCGGCGCCAGAACGCATCACAGATAAAAAGATCTCATAAGCTACTATCCAGCGCGCGCGATCTTGCATCACTATCTCCCGAACACCTCCTACCTCACATCTAAGTACACTTTTGACCAGTACTTACTAGATTATATATGTCCTTGCGAAACTTATTCTCGTCTGCGGGTATCCGCCTGCCTGACATGCAGCCGAACACGATAAACGTTGGAGGGATTGTTGCCGAAGTATGGGGAATGGAGAGGCTGACGCGGGACCCCGTCGGCGAGGTCGCGGTCATGTTCTTCCTGCACGGGAGAACAAGAGACAAAGAGACTATGCACGGTGCGTCTACTGCAGCTCAGAAGGCCTGAAATTAAATGTGCGAAAAGAGGCGACGCAATATATTCTGGCCCAGCTGCAGGATCGCAAGGAACGGTCTGCCATTGAAAAAAGAACTCATGATCTACTGATAGTAACACTAGATTCCAGGTGAGTAACGTTCCGTGGTCCAAGGTCGACTGGCTGAGCGCGCATTCTAGGAACCATGGGGAACGCGTAGTTGACCCGAATTCAATATTGGGATGGGATCAAAATCCAATGCATGGTCCGTGTGTATCGACTCCTACGCATATCTAGCTCATCTTCCTGCTATTTCAGCTGTAGATCTGTATGCTATGGTTGGTTAGTTACGACGCAATCTATCACATTCCTACTCCTGTTTACTAACTAGTGAATCTGTTCTTAGCTGGAGGAGCCTCGGAAGTCTCGCAGCTCGTTTCGTTTCTTCCTTCATACCTGTTTCCTGATTTCCGGGGCGCGGCGGGGTCACCAATCACGACTTGGATCTGTGCCGGTGTCAGCCAGGGGGGACACAGCACTTGGCATGTCGGTGTAAACGGTGCGCTGAGACGTTGTCTCCGAATTTACACATCGTATGCTCAGTCACGTTTACCCCACAGACCGGCGCGTCAAGTTTCTGTGCCCCATAATTGGCTCACCTGATTATGCCTCACTGTTCCAACATCGTTCGAAGGTGGCTGGTGTAGCTCTTGTTCCTCCGGGTCAGGATTACGTCATTTACATCGTGATGGCCTCTGACTCTCGACTTTCAATGTCACATAGCGTGGCCAAAGGCTCTGGAATTGCTTGTCGATGAATCTGATCCCGTCAATCAACCGTCAACTGTCTGGGCCGACAAGGATATACTTGTTCTTAGCGGTGGACGAGATCCGGTGGTGCCCTTCAAAGAGGGAGGGACCGAGGCATTTATCGAAAGACTGCGCTCTGATGGTCAAACAAGAACAAGGGTCAACGTCTTTGTAGACGAGACCGCCAAGCACCAGACAACTATCGGAATGGTGAACAGGCTGGTAGAGTGGCTCTGGGATGACGTGCTTCCAGAGTCGGTATGAGAGCGTATGATTATGGTATGTTGCCGGTATGCGCAAACACTACAGAAATAATATGCCGTGTTCCTCACGTTGGAAATCGGTGTACTTGTGATAGAATGCAAATAAGGATGGCATCTCCGGCCATGGGCACTGCATATGCACTTAAGGTAGGGCTCATTCATACATAGCTACTAGTGACATTGCAGTGACACTCACGTGAATGTGTGATACTCAATTCAGCCGATGCCCCGAACGTGACCAAATCAGGGACATCTAACCACCTCGAACCCTTACAGCGAGGCGTGAGAGAAGCGCATTGAGAATATTTTCTATACAATATCTGCGCACAGTCTGCATCTACTGTACTTTTACGACCGTAAGTTCGGCCAGGTCGGAGGGGGACAGGGGACACCCCCCAAGTTCGGGGCCGTGGGAAGTTCATCCGCAGCCTGCCCGGGGGACACGTGCTTACGAGGTCAGATTTTTTGATCACACGGTCAGATTTAGGACTCTCACGGTCAGATATAATGTGTCCCGGAGGTTCGGAGTGCCAGGGGACAGGGGACAATAAGTTCGGTTCGGGTGCCCCGGGGACGCGGGACGAACTTACGGTCGTAAAAGTACAGTATCTTTTGTATAGAAAATTTTTGGGAAAAGTAGTCGGACAAACGAGTAGTGAGCCAATGTAACGCTCCATCTCCGTTCCCCCGCCAAAAGTCTTCATAGCGTGACAGGTCTGAGCGCGTGATAGTGGCTACAGTATATATGAATGAGCCTTAGCCGAAGTAGTAAGTACTAAAACGGCACGGACACGGCCCGGTCCTGTACACCGTCACGGGGCCCTAAGGGCCATATGCACCGTCGAAGAACTACCGACAACATCTGGCATATATACCACCTGCCAGTACACCCCGGATAGTTCCACTCCCATTTTTTGAGATGCTGAGCGCGCTATATAGTGGTGTGTCCTCATCTAGATATGCAATCCGGCATGCTGCATCCTCTGCAATCGCGCGTATTACCGGGCAACGGACGCTCGCAACTCTCCGCCCAGAGCGCGACCCCGACTTGGTGACCATAGTGGAAGTTGGGCCTCGTGATGGGCTGCAAAACGAGAAATCAGTCATCTCGACTGACACCAAGATTGAACTGGTGAATCGCCTAAGCCGAGTGGGACTGTCCGTAATTGAAGCTGGTAGCTTCGTCAGCCCAAAGTGGGTCCCTCAGGCAAGCCTTATGTCTTCCATTGATTCTGCACATATCAGCTACCTAAACGGATGCAATGTTTCAGATGGCGGGCTCAGCGGATGTCCTCAAGGGCATGGAACGACTTCCCGACGTCCATTATCCCGTCCTGGTACCGAATCTCAAGGGGCTTTCGCACCTGATTGCTCTTCTTCGATCAAACCCAACTACCTCTCCATTAACGGATGAAATTGCCGTGTTCACTGCGGCTACCGATGCATTCTCACAAGCGAACACGAACTGTACTGTTGCTGAATCGCTGGACCGTCTGTCTGCTGTGACGCGCACTGCACTCGACAATGGGTTGCGCGTGCGGGGATATGTTAGCGTGGTGATCGACTGTCCGTACAGTGGAAAAGTGGATCCGACTCAAGTCAGGGACATCGCGAAGATCCTACTGGATATGGGTTGTTATGAAGTTAGTCTAGGCGACACAGTCGGCACTGGCAACACCGCAACCGTAGGGACAATGCTGGAGACAGTCACAGGCGTTATCCCGGTAGAGAAGTTGGCGGTGAGGCATTTCAAGAGCATTCGATTATTGTGACTACTTATCATTTATCATCACTTGTGCTCAGGGACATGTAAGTTCAGGATTTCCCATTGTTGCATCGTTGTCACTAGTTGTAGTTTCATGATACGTACGGGATGGCCGTTTCAAACGGGATTCTGGCACTCTCGGCGGGTATCCGAACTCTCGACAGTTCTATAGGGGGGTTGGGTGGCTGCCCCTATTCTCCTGGGTGTGTTGCTGTAGGTTCTGCGCTGGAGCGTTCATTCAGGCTAACGACCAGCAATCGCAAGGGCGACTGGCAATGTCGCTACTGAGGACATTCTCTACGCGCTCCGCGGAACGAAGTACCACACGAGGCACAGGACAGAGGATCGTCTGGTTGATGTCGCAGAAATTGGATGGTATCAAGCACCCCTGTTCAGCCAAGTACAGAATATTGACTATGCCTTCAGGTGGATCAGCGAGCAACTTGGCCGCGCCAGTGCGAGCAGAGTCGGTCGTGCGTTGAAGGCTAAACATGAGCGACAGAAGCTTCGGGAAAAGGCGAACGCAAAGCTTTGACGCCTGCGTAATGTGTCAGGCCTGAGTGATACAAATTGATTGTATAGCTGTCCATAGAAAGCATACAGTGTTATGCTCTCGTTTCGATGCCTCTACTCTACGTTCTCCAAGAAGCCCATGCCTCCTGCCCGTACTTTACTGATGAAGTGGTCGTACCACTTCACGATGACATTCATAGGTATCATTGTTTCGGGTGTAATTCCTCCGCCGGCTGAGAAACCTGATACGTAATTGAACAGATGCTTAACAACCTTTTCCGCCAACGAAGTAGGGTCTGCGGCCGTCGGTGTCTTTGCTATCGCCAAAGACGCAGAGGGCAGTGCAGATATTTGTTGAGAGATCAGCGGTAGCGGTTCTATTGCGAGTCCAAGGACGGCAGTGACGTCCAATGATGTGCCAGTCATGCCAACATTGGAGCCGAAGGCGGCGTGAGCGGAGGAAGACGAGGAGGACTGGGTGAATGTGCCGCGTAACCTGAATATTGCGGACGGTTTGTCATTCGAAAGCCTGTGCTTGTGATCGTTAGCAAACTGCACGATCTGCCCTGATCTAGCGAACAAGGACAGCAGTCCTCACATTCCGAGCAGCTGGAAGCCCTTTCCCGGCCAGAAAAAGTGCACCGTCGCACCGTAACCCTCGGGGAACGGGACTGGACGCGACTGTACAGTAAGGCAATGTCCAAAGAGGGCATACTGGTGACCTCGTACCGGTACCGAGCAAGAAAACAGATACGTGGTTGATTGTGCTCGCCGCGGGGAGCTCGAAGTAGGCATGTGTTTCATCCACCTGGGTCATCTCCGTTTGTAGGAGCCTCCCAGCGACAACGCAACCAAACATTGGGGGCGGTTATGCGGGGTTATAAGAAGGTCCAGCGACGGTAAGAGCACCAAGGAAGACGACTGATGGAGATCTAGGCAAGACATGGCTTGTTGAGTCAAGCAACGTTGACCACCGAGAATGTGGTGGGCGCTTGTCGAAATTTCGATGACGTTATAACTCGATTAGAATATAGGTGCAAACTGTATGCCAGAGTAGTGTGTGGCACTTGTGCAAAATCCAAGCTCGCATTCCACACAAAATCAGAGACTAATCCTATGTACTGTAACGAACGCGGATGTGCCGGGATGCCAGTCCTATGACTAAAGACCATCGTATTCCTTCATGAACTCGAGGTGGAACATTTCCAAAGCCCCAACATACTCCTCAACACCGGGACACAAACACGTCAACCTATAATGACTCTCGCCAGGCTTTTGACCGAAACCTGACCCAGGCACGACGCAAATGCCCGTACGATCCAGGAGCCTGAGTGCATAGAAGTCGTCAGGCTTCTTGCCTGCTTTCTTCGCCGCTTCTACGGCCGCATCCGGCAGCTCGAGCTTGGGATACAGGTACAACGCTCCGGGAGAGTGTACACATGATACCCCGGGAAGTTTGTTCAACCTCTCCGCCATCATCCTCGTACGGTCCGCGAGCGCCTTGTGAATCGCATCCGTTTCTTGTTTCCACAGCGAGTAACTTTCGTCGCCCTCTTTGGGCGGGCGAACCATGCAGTCCACTCCGATCTGTCCCGGCAAAGGTGGACAAAGCCCAACACTGACCATCTTGTAGATGAGCGAGACGATCTCTTCGGGGATGTTGGTACATTCGAAGTAACCCCCTCGGCGGCCGCATTCGCCATAAACACCCTTGGATATAGAATGGAACGAGAAGAGTGGGATGTTGGATTGCAGGTCACGAACAACCTTCTTGAAAGACGTGAAGGTATGCTGTTCGGGCATGTGCAGATTGTGTTGGTAGACCTCATCGGCAAGGAGGGCCAGTCCGTACTTCTCGCAGATATGAACGATTTTTTCCTGCGTAGGGTAGTCGAGCAACGCGCCAGTTGGATTGCCCGGGTTGATCACGACGACAGCTCGGGCGTTGATCCCATCTTTCTTCGTTTTTTCTAGGGCCTCCTCGATTTCGTGAAGAGACGTAGACCATCCCGATGACTCGTCAAGATGGTATGGGAGCGGTATGCCAGAGTGCTGAGCGAGAGACGCCGTGTATAATGGGTACTGCGGAATAGGAATGAGGATACCGGATTTTGGCGGAGTGATCAGCATCTCGATTAATAGAGAAACGCCGAAGGAGGCACCAGCGGTTAGAAAGATATGATCAGGGTTGGATGGGTAACCGTCACGCTCTACAACGTAAGTCAGACACCAAATGAGGGATAACACAGCGTCAAACACCTTCAATGAACCTGGCAACATGCTTGCGAATGAGGGGGACGCCTTGACTGTGGGAGTAGGCGCCGATGGAGCCAATTTCCTCCAACAATTCTCGTGCGCGAGCCTTGACATCTTCTGGGAAGACCTGGGGCGCCAAGTCCAAGAGCTTGGGCCACTCTGTGAGGGCAGCGACCTGACTTTTGTTAGACAACCATCTGCAACCTACGACAATTCGCTTACTTGTCTTGGGAACGTAAGTGAGGGCTGATCCAGACCCTTTTGCTGTGGGTTGCCGATGTTGGACGAAATGACCTTAGTGAATGGCAGACCGTGGTTGTCCTCCTTGAGACGGTTGCGATACTGCTCGGCCTTAATAGCGAGCTCGCCGCGCACGGCGTACTCGACATCAAGAATAGCCGGGTTAAGTGACTCGACGGTCAGCGTGTATGGCATCTTGCTCTTGCTGCTGTAAGACCTGGGGGAGAGGAATCGATGCGGGGGAGATCTGGGGATAGAGGAAGGATACAAGCGGTCTGGACCATGGGCACGGGCTTTTGACAAGGTTCGCAGGGAGAGGGAAATCCGGGCCATTGACCGCGGGCCTCGTGGGGGTGCGATGGTTCCCGGCTTTCTTTCCTGCTCAAGGTACGCAACGACCGCCGTGTTATGGGGCCAGGCGATCAGGCTGCAGGCCGTATGACCTATACAGGCGGAACACGACCAAGGCCGTAGGTAAAGGCAGTGGATGAGTCAAGAGGCGCATCCTTGTCGGTGAAGTCGACGGTCAACAGAGCGCGCTGTGCGGCGTCGGCCGAAAAGAATCATCACATGCATCACACGCGCAAAAAGCAGCATATACATGCGACGGAGCTTGATAAATCGCGTAGGGCGAGCCATCCGATATGCAAAATCTGCACGGCAACCGGGACACATACACGAATCGGACTAGGTGTGTCTCAGGATCTCATATCTGCTGCGACGTTGACCCTTCCTTAGGTAACGTTGGCAGGGCACTGGTGCGCATGATCCAGTCACGGTGACGCGCCCATGAGCTGGCCTCGAGCTGTACGAGCGTTTTCAACCGCTCTAACGAAAACGGTAATCGAGGGTCCGCTTGAAGTGCTCCGATCACATAAGAGCTGAATGAACAGGGAAGTTAGAAATGTATAGCAATGAGGTGCCACTTGCAAGAACACACATTACTGTGCTTTCTTTCAACGGCTGTTCTTTGGTCCTCAGATTCGCACATATGACCCCTAACGGGAGGTCCTTCTCATGCCACATCTTGTATGCACGTAAATGCTGAGGCCGAGGACACGTGTAGGGTTTCCCGAGGACATCCATACTAACAGGTGATATGTCCGAATTGCCTGCGCCTGGTATTGTTGTTGATCCAGACGATGGTCTGACTTCCGTACTGTTTGTTAATGCGCTAATCTTCCGGTCCTCTTCTTGAGTCAGATCAGAAGTATACAACCTTGTGTCGAGTGTGCGCCCCTGCTCATTTGCGATCACCATCAGGCGATTATAAACGAGTAATGAGGAGTACACGTCGTTGGCGGCATCTGCAAAGCGGTTCCCGAGCAAGCGCAGGGTAAGATATGGGAATGCACACACAGTTACATTGCTCGGGGGATAGACGGGTTTCCCAGTCGCTTGTACGTTCCGACCCCTTTAATAGGTGTTTCCCGGTATAAATGGCTACCATCTTGCGGAGGGCAACAATCGATCGCGAAATGGGAAATTCGGGATCTGCCGCACGGGCTAACCTCCCCAACTCGACGAGATTACGGGGAAGAATACCAAAATCGCGGTAGAGTTTTTGGCCATCGTCTAAAATTCGAGGTCATCAGCGGGCAGCAATGAATTTGGAAAGAGCAACGAACTCTTGATATTCGCACCCATCTTTGGTATCGCGGCCGACTCAATCACATCCTTTGAGTCATCAGACATCCATACAGGAATTCTAACTTTAGCCGTCACCTTGACTTTCTCCGGGAACCCTAGATATGCGAGCATCTGAGTTCAAGGCTCGTTCACGGGAAAGTGCAGACTCACGTTTCATAGCGCTGACTTGAATTAGCATGATCATATTGTTGTCGCAAAGCTGGACTAGAGCAGTTCTGCGTTCAATAAGCCTCCTGTCGCGACCGAAGAACAATTTCCATTCCATGTCAAAGCCTACAGGTCTGTGTGAACGTAATCGTGTCAACTGCCATGATTGTGAGTGCAACGTATGCAACTTTTTCACCCGTGTAGCGATCCCACAAGGTCGTTAGCCTCCTCTTCATGGCGGGTGTAGACCACAACAGGAGCAGGACGGGCATTCTTATACGAGAACACAGGTAAGGCACGGATAGCCTCTTCCATTCCTTGTTCAGTCGATTTGCGGGTCTTCAGTCCAGTGGACCGCGTGATGAAATTATTGCCACTCTGCGAAGCTTCTTGAGCTCCTCGAAAATCCTGAAAGCTTGCTTGACGCGACTTCTCGCTTAGAGACGAGCTTTTTATGGCTCGCGAACCAGGTTCTTCAATGCTAGCATATGAAGAGTTCAGCGACAGCATGACCCGGATACTATGAAGGAAATGCATACGATTTTGCCTTTCCCTTCGGCTTGGGCGGAAGAGCCCGCGACTTAATAACTTGAGGATTTTCCGGAGCAGTCAGAGTGCTATTCCCCCGTGGAACCGCAGAAGCCGGCGCTGGTTTGCTATTGTGACGGACAAACTCCTCGGCCCAGAGATCATTCAGGGCGTCCAGGGCTCTTGACTTGCTGTGCATGGACTGGCGGGGAGGTGACTTGCGAGGGGAACCGAACACGCTACATTTCGCCGCGTTCGCAAGAGGTTCCTTGAACGAGTTGAAGGCCATGACGCAAATATACACGTTGCGCCGTTGCCCGACTGTTCCGTTCGAGCCACAGAAGGCCAACCCAACTCGATCGAGCTTTCAGACGCTGCGTCGTATTTGACAGGATCTCAAGCACAGAAATCGGAGAGATCTTCGTGGGCTATCCGATAATAGGGAGATCGAAAAGGACGCGTCTTGTCTGAAGATCTGAAGGTAGCAAGTACTGGTTCGAACTTGGGAGGCTGTGCTGTCCCCATCTGAAAGTTACGCTCCGCCTTACATAAGCCCTCTAACTTTTCTGCTCGTGCTGTCCTACCTGCACAATGGCACACATACTGGATCTCCCTGTTATACCCAGTCCTTTACCAACCGACTGGGCGCCCGCACAAACGACAAGTAAACTCACGGCCCGTATGTCCCGAGTTCTATGCGCTATCCAGACATAGTCAAGGGCTGACCTTCGATGTGTCTCGTGATGGGCTTCCCAGCCCTCGTCGAGCGTCGATTATTACCCGTCGGTCCTGCCTACCTTGCGCACGTCCGTAGAACCATCAAGAATCTGTCCTTCGAGGAACATGACCGGTTGGCTGAGGAAGAACGCAAGAGACACAAAGCCCTCCTCGAGGCTGGCACGCCTGGCGAAGATGACCTCGGCGTCGGTGACGAGGAGGAATCAGAAGAATTGCTGAGCTTGGATCCCAAGGAGTGGAAGGTGCGTATATCTTACCTGGTCATCCAGCGACTGAGGCGACTGATCAATGTCATGCAGAAACAAGACCACTACGCTGTCCTTGGATTGTCTCATCTTCGTTACAAGGCCACAGATGAACAAATCAAGATTGCTCGTAATTATTCTCATGTTCTCGACTTTGCTTGGATTAATTGCTTGACAGATCGCAAGAAGGTTCTGAAGCATCATCCGGACAAAAAAGCCGGGTCCGCGGGCGAGACCAACGATGATGCTTTCTTCAAATGCATCCAAAAAGCCATGGAGGTTCTGACTCATCCCGAAAAGCGCCGCCAGTTCGACTCTGTCGATCCATACTACCAGGAACTCGAGGAGGAAGCCCCGACCGCAAGCCAGTTCAAGAACATGAAGGATCCTTCACAATTCTTCAAGGCTTTCGGCGAGGTATTCGAGCGTGAGGCACGTTTCAGCAATAAGCAGCCCGTTCCCATGCTCGGCGGCTACGACGACTCCAAGGAGAAGGTCGAGGCATTCTATGATTTCTGGTACAATTTCGATAGCTGGCGCAGCTTCGAATATCTTGATAAGGAGGTCAATGAGGGTAGCGATAGGTTCGTGATCTCGTGATCTCTGTCGCAGTATACCGTCTAATGCCCCAAAAGCCGTGACGACAAGCGGTACACTGAGAAGAAGAACCGGTCAGAGCGAGCGCGGCGAAAGAAGGAAGACAACGCACGTCTACGTAATCTGGTTGATACTGCGTTGGCCGTTGACCCGCGCATCAAACGTATCAAGGAGGAGGAGAAAGCTGCTCGGGCAGCGAAGAAGAGCGCGAAGGCTGGAGGTCCATCCGCGGCGGAGCTCAAAGCCAAACAAGAGGAAGAAAAGCGGAAAGCGGAGGAGGAAGCCAAAAAGAAGGAAGAGCAGGAAAAGGTAGGCTTCGGGCTGGTCGAGATGTCCGGCAGAGATCCTTGTGAGCTGATGTCGCTCGTTTCATACAAGGCCGACCGCGAGGCTGCAAAGAAAGCGAAGGCAGCCGCCGCGAACGCTCGCAAGAAGGCGAGGAGACAAGAACGTGCTGCGGGAGACATAGAGAACGGGCATCCGGCCTAAGGCCTGTGCAAGGTTACCTCTCGATCGTTTCCGTTCACTGTCAGATAGACATTAGGACTTGTACCGCATATGAGACAGCTCTGTACGCTCCGGTATCTAGAATTGTGCTCCGCCACCCGTCGAAGGCTTCGCCGCGTGCGTGGAGCTCGTGCTCAGGGGCTCCTATAAAGTGCCTGCCCTTGAGTATAGCCAGTCGTTATCTTCACTCCCCCTCACGTTTCGATGTTGTTGGACGCAACCACTACGCTCAATTTTACATAGTCAGTTCTTCCAGTCGGCACGACGCATCTGCGTCGTGGGCGCCAATAAGGCGTTCCGCTCCGCCCATAGACATCCTCGACCCTGTCCCTTCATACTCGATAGCCCCGATCAGATTCGCCTGCAACGCATTAGCAGCTACCCGATCTCCTTGCCCTACCGTCGCCTGTTCTCCTTCAACCAATGATCCTGATAGAAGACAAGAAATATGCATGGTATGCTCCCGTCGGAATGGGGCGCGTGTCTGTTTGGTATCATGCTGACATGCACTATCTCGGTCAGCGAGACCTGTATAAAAGGCCATCGATCCTCCGCCTGCAAGCACACGGAAAGACCGCTCTTCGAGATCAAGAAGAAGGGGCGCCCCGTCACTCAGTGCGAGCACTGTCGTGAACTGCGCAAAACGAAACAGGTCCATGTTAAGTGCATCTGCGAAGCTCCTCCGGCGGACAGGAGCACCGAGTTCATCAAGGATGCCAAGGGTCAGATCAAGAAAGGTTCTCAATGCCTCATCATTCTGTATCGCCTCAGCCCTGACCGTGTCACCCAGTCAGCAAGAAACTTCCGCAGATTGCTGCTTTCCCTCACGGTCTACCTGGAGCCAAGCTGACGGCAAAACAAGAAATTGAGAAGACGTGCCTCTGCAAGGCGGGCGAAACTTGCCATTGCTTCTCCCCCCGTCGTCCGGCAAATGGTCGCCGCGCATCCGTCAGTGACACCTTACCTTCTGGACCGAGCCATGCAGAATTGCTCGCCAAGGCAAATTTTCGCCACGTACTCCCTCGCCCTACTCCAGCGTTGGCGGCACCACAACCTCGAATCGGTCCAGTTCATGACTTATCCTCCAATCATTTAGGTCATGGGGCTCGCCACTATTCCACGCACGACAATCTATTCAGCCCCTATGGTCGTGCATACGAATATGCGAGGTCGACATCTGACGTGAACGATCATGGATCGAATACGAACTCGGATTCACCTCCGTCACGGGAGTCGCCGTCCAACGTGTATCCCGAGTCCGCAACGCCATTATCCGCTATGGATACAGATCCGGCTGTGTCATGGCCGGGGAGTAACATGGATCTCACGACCGTCGCGCATTGTGGATGCGGCATGTCGTGTGCCTGTCCGGGGTGTCTTGAGCATGGCGCTCAACCATCCGCCACTTCCAACGCCTTCGATACATGTGTGAACCCTGAGTCATGCGCATCGTGTCTCCAGTGCTCCGTCAACACGCTCGCCCCGATGAACCTCCCGTCTTCCGACACTCATATACCCAACTTCGACTACCAACCATCGGATTACCAGCCAATGCAAGTCCAGCAGATCTTCGATTGGTTGGAAAGCGTACCGGCGCAAACGCCCCATGCATACCCACCCATAGCCCAACCCGACAATACGTTCACAATTTATGCGCAACAGACCTGGAGCGCACCGGAGCTTCCAACAACCTGGCCGCAGATACAGCAGACGCTGACCAGCGACAAGTCGAGTTGCTGCGGTGATGGGTGTAGCTGTGCCCCAGGTCAATGCTCCTGCGACGGCCACGGGCGTCTTACGTTCGCTACATCTGGGATGCGGGCTGCATGCTGTGCTCATGGCGAAGATAATGTGTCTATGCATTCGTCACGGTCCCGATCCGTCTCTAGCAGCTCTGGTACAGAATCAGCAGCTTCTTATCCCGGATCCGCGGATGTCCCCTTGCTACTTTCCGGCGGACAACAGTATTACGATTACGCAGTATCCACATCATCGGAGTCGTCGCTGAGCCGGTCACCATCCATCGCTTCGTTACAAAGTCTGCAGCTTACGCGGGATGATCGCACTCAGGAGGCGTCGAGTAGTGGTGGCACTCGTGGATATCCCCTTGGCGATCGCCAGCGCACGCTCATGCCCGACCACACCAGCGCCTCAAGCTCTCGCGGTTACCCACTTGGCGATCGCCAGCGTACGCTTATGCCTGATCAATCCGGTGAACAGAGATCAATCATTCAACGAGCGAAGGCACTTGTACGTTCCGTAACATCGCGATCTTCGAACGCGCCCAACATCACTGTCATTGGGCCTGATCGCGGCATTGCATTTGTCCCGGGGCACAAGGACAACATACGGACACCTCATACGAACGGACGTTCTTCATAGGCACTTCTCTTGCGTTCGGTTTTGCACGAGTTGTATATGTATCTTCCCTATAACCTTATTGCGTTGTTCGTGAGCGTCTGGTCGTAACTCAAGACATGTGCGATCGTGTGTACATGCGGAACGGCCTTGACGGGACAAGGTAGGCGTTATGCTACATGAGACCGGGAGTGCAAAACCATAACGATGGTGCTATTGGTGATTCCCTCGCCCTTAAGCTGCATCCATCGACCCAGACGCGGCTCCTGCCCCATCCCAGCCACCAGTAGAGCAACTGGAGTGGAAGCTTCGTTCTTGTCTAACTCGGCTTTGCGCGTCCAACTAGCTTCATCCAGAGCGCCTTTGGGGATTGACAATAATTGTATGGAGTTGACAAATCCCGGAGCTGGTACTTGCGCAACGAGCGAAAAGGAGCGGAATTTAGATGAACGATCGAGCTTCCAGAGACGTATGCTGCCTTCCCAAGACCCTAAAAATGATATGATCAGGGAGAAGTGAGTGGCTCGCACCAATGATCACCGACCAGAGGCGAATAAGTCTGAATAACGGAGACATGCAAGCGCAGTGATATACCGCGGAGAACGGATTAAACCCTCGGTTTCGGATTGCATTTCGTGGAGTCCGTGTGCGAGAGGCTGGGTGAAAATGGGCTTCTTCTTCTGTATCGCCCACAAACATATGGACCTGCAGACACATAGTAAGCATGTCTTCAGGGACGATCGAGCTCCACACAAACCCGCTGTCTCCTCCAGTGAGGAATGTGGTTTCGTCAATCATAGCGATGCAGTCCAAGCTACCCTCGACGTATCTGGTCTCCGTGACCTTGTTGTCGTTTTTCCGTCGTCCGTTATCCGAAGTTTCATCCTGATCCATACCTTCGAGAGCCCCGCCTTCCAATAGCTCTCGAAGCTTGCTTCGTCCGCCTCCGCGGAAGACCAACTGGCTTTCATCCACAATTTTCCAGAACCGAGCTGTGCGATCGCGCCCTCCAACTGTGACACATGTCTCTGCGCGTAGGGCGTCCAAGCCCAGTATAGGATCCTGGTGGCCGAAAAGCGTCTCCACATATCCCATAACCCCCGGACTCAAGTCGAATAGCTTGACAGTTCGGTCATGAGACGCAGTGTATAGCTGCCGCGAGCCTTTGCGAAACGCGACAGCCTAGATTACGACTTGAGTCATCTGCAAGCGTATGCACCGACGTGATGGAGCTCACCGATATTGTGTCTTTGTGCCCACCGAAGCTCGTTACCCACTCGCTCTTGGCGACATCCCACACACCGACTCTTCTATCTTTTCCAGCACTGGCCAGATAGACGCCATCGCTGCTGAGAGCAAGGCTGAGCACTTCATCCATATGTCCCTTTACATCCTCATTCCACGCGCGCTCTTTTCCTTTCACACTTGGCCTCTGTTTATGGTAGATAGCAAGCTTCTTGCCTGTGCGGATGTCCCACTTGATAATCGAGCCCTCCTTGCCGGCGGTGAATAGGTACGTGCATGCCTCAGAGGCAACAGCGGATGTGACGGAGAACCGATGGCCACGTAACCGTACAAAAGGCCGGCTGGACGGCTCACCGAGCTCAAGCTATATCAAAATCAATAGGTTAGTGATTGCACCCCTTGGAGTCACAGGTAGTTGGGCACTTACCGAATCCGCTATGAACAGGTGTACTTTCCCTGCATGCTCCATTACATCCTGCTTCAACCGAGCAGATATGATCTCCTTGTCAATATCCGCCGCATCGAAGTCCCCCTCCGCGAGGTCGTCCTTGACCGATTCCAGATACAGTTTGGCTAACCTCAGCCGCTTCTGTGCAGGAGTCTCGTCCTCGTCCTCCGCCCCACTGGCCCCCGGATCGGTGTCGGAGGCACGCAAATCCATGTCTTCGACGCCATCTATTCCAGCATTGTCCTCGTCCGTACGGTCCGAGTCTAATTCCTCGTCCAGAGAGTTCTTCCGCTGTTTGAAAACCGATTTCTTGGCTCTGTCCGCGCCATTTGCGACGCGTGCGTATTTGCTTGGTTTCGCACTAGATAGATGAGTGCTCGACTTGTTCGTGGAGCGTTTTCGTTTTTTGCTCGTCGCAAAGAATGAGTCGGGCATGGGTATGGTGAGCCGGATCAGTTGCGCTCGTCAGAACAAACCGAAATTTTGGGAGAAACGCGTGTGGCTGTGTTGCAATCAGCGCTCAGCGCTCAATACTACTCTGTCAGTTTGCTGTGCGGCAATGACGTGGGCCGCTATGCACGCGTGTCTTGACTTGCACGATCCGACCTTGGACCTTCATTCTTTTGGCATCGACAAAACTGCACGTATGTGCGCTGAGCTCCTCACTCCCGCTAACTCCCGCTCAACACCCAACAACCCGCCATCCAGACGTTGCCTGGGCTCCTTGACGTAGACCTCGTGTAGGAACATCGGACGAATCCGACTTCGGCATTGCCGCCGACATCTATCTCGAGATCTGCCTCCTGCGGATGTGCCCCGGTTTGGTGTTCTCACCCGCCTCGTGGACGAACAACCTCTCGGCTCTTTTTTCTAAGCTGCCTGCAGGCTCTACGGTTGGGCTCTCGGTCCCCCGAGGAGAACTGCTCTTATTCCCGGTTACATAACGATCCCCCTTCGGAAGTGTTCGAGGTGACCTCGCGAGTGGCATCGGCACGTCCGTTCCGTACAGGTAGCCACTCCTGCGCCGCCCTGCGTGCATTATTCTTGCATGCTGACGAGGTCTTACATTTCATTGTCGGCATATGCGACCCCTACCTCTGGGAATGAGTCGCACGTGTGCGTCGGCAACGGAACTCTATAAAATCGCTGTGCAGCTTCGTGTTCCGGAACATCATGAGTATAAGACGGGATAGGCCATGTTGGCGAACATGCACCCTCGCCTGAGTATCGGTTATTCCGTACTGAATCCCTCAGCTCCGACTCACGAAGGTGATAAGACAAGTAAGCATGCCAAAAGTCCTCCTCTCTTTCGGCAAATTTCTCTCGTTATTACCCCATAGGCGACCGCACGTTGTATGTCATGACTGCTGAGTCTGCACGCCATAAATCACCTACCGAAAAGCCATGGGTTGATCCTTTGGCCCTTCCCAACTATGGAGATGTTACAACTGTCTCTGGAAATGCCCCAGACTCCATCAAGCAATTGAACTACAACGTTTTTGCAGGCTATGGCTTGGGTGACTCCGATTGTTTTGGGCACGCCGTTGGGAAGACGGTTCGCTTTGTGGCGGTCAACATTGATCGCAAAGGCGGTTCACAAGGGCGATTAGAGGCTACGACGGTCGCAGAGGTCACAGTTACCAAAAGTCAGATACCCGTCCCGCAGGCATACCAGACACCTCACATTTTGTTTCTAGATATGTTGAATGGAGCTGGCATGTTGCACGGCGGATGCGTTACCACACTCATCGACAAGTATAGATCAAGGCTCCCTATACACGCAATGATGGTCGTGACTGACCTTCTTCACAGTTGTTGTAGCACCCCCCTTGTCGTACTAGGCCTGGCAAAAAACGTGAACGGTGTTGGCGTCACTCAGTCTATGAACGTGTTGTTTCACTCGCCTGCTCCTCCGTGGGTGTTGCTCTGGAATGCGGGGTACTAGCTTGACTTGACCATGACATGTTATCAGAGGGACATGCTTGCAAATTACCAGCACATCCATTTCGCTTGGATCAAGGGTGATGAGTTCTCGATGCGAGGTGTGTATGTGTAGTTTGGCCAACACGTATGCTGATGTTCCGTTCCGCAGATCACGGACAAAATCTCAGGGAGGATAATCGCGTCGGCCATGCTGAACAAAATGCAACCCAGTTCGCGTCTATAATACGTTCATAGAAGTAGTAGTGACTTCAACTCCTGAGTGGCTATTGGGCAATGGGACGTATCATTATGAAGCGTCAGCAATGCACCCTACTTCTATATGGGGCGCGCCAATGCCCTTTTCAAGGAGCATTTGGGGCGGTGATGTCATCGGCGTACTCTGCACCGAGCCGTATAAAATATATGAGCATCATAGACGAGACACGACACTTAGCCTCGCCTCGCTCCGTAAACTTACCCATCACTGTCTCATTGCTGTACTACTGCTACAGATTCAATAATGGATGGGGAACACGCAAACTCCGGTCTGCAAGGCATGCGGACCGATGCTGGTGCGTCAACCTTGAGTACAAGGATCTGACTTCGTGGTGGCCGACATTAGCTCGTTGACCAGCTCGAACTCCAACGAATGCGAGTGATGCTTTCGCAACGGGGAACTATCCTCCTTCAGGTGATAGTGCGTTAGCTTCACTCAATTACTTGCGGGGTAATATCAGGCATTAACACATGTCGGTCAGCGACTTCCTCTGGAGGCTATGGATCGGTTCAGCAACCATGGTCCAATGAGGCACAAGGCGGCAGGACAAGGCCCGAATATAGTCAAACAGGATTGGTAGACCAATCGCCCAGTGGCGGACCCATAGGTGAAGAGATCCAAGATGCACGTCAAGGAGAGGATGAGAAGGCTAGGAATGATTACCAACCCAGCGGCTCGCGGGGTCTCAATCCTTATGGCGACAACTTGACGAGTAAGAAGGAGGCCGGGGATATGCTCGCGGCTCAATACACGGGAAAGAGGGGAGAGGCGTACGAACATGGCGCTGGTCAGTCGACTGACCAGGATTTTGGGGCTTGAGCACAAATGAAAATTTCCCGAATCGCTCTACCTTGTGGGCAGTGCTCGTGACAGTTTCGCGCAAACCTGAGTAGCCCCCATCGTTAAGCGTTGCATCAAAAGACTGTGCCATCACTCTCGATATCGATAGGAGGCTCTGCCGTCTCCGGCCGCAGCGTTTTGGCTATCTCTCGGCCTCCCTTCCAAGTCGCACTCTCCAACACCTGTGGAAGGGTGAGTTGCGATGCGGGTATGCCGAGTTTGTCTCGAATGAGCTGGGCAATACGATCCCTGTGAAAAGTACGGCTGAATAGGCGGTACCTGCGGATGAAGGAGCTTCATACAATTCAATGACTGTCATGGCTCTCCATTCAACGATGGCCGGGTGTGCCGCGGGTAGACGTGGAATGGGTGATGCGGGATCGGGATAATAAGAAGCTTCAATCATGTTCGATCGAAGCGTCAGCACGCCGAAATCCACCAGCAAGCCGCCTGCATCTGGTGTGAGCTGTTTTGCTTCGTGGATCGGCAGCTTGCCGTACCATTTCTGTATTCCGGCAGCCCGACAAGATCTTCGATTCCCTCGACTTTCCAGCCGAGGATCTTCTCGATTGGGACGATCAAGCTGTACGTCATCCAGCCCGTGAGTTTATGGAAGGGCACAAGGTCTCCACCTTCCTCTGTGGACGTCAGAGCGCTCTGCGATATGACCAAGTTTCAGCCCGCAAGACGGGAAAACCGATATGACAACCCACCCTGAGAGCCGGACAAGGCCAAACATCGCCGAGGAAGATATCGCCTAACTTTGTGCGCGTCTTCGGCCACACGAGAGCTAAGCCCTCGATAAGCACACTCCACAGTACAGACACGTGTATCCTTCGTGAGGGTCCCGGGATTGACTCGGACTCAAGAAAATCTGATAATAGCACCAGCAAGGTCATCGAAGATGATCGTTCAAACCTGCGTGGACTAACCCAGCATATTACCCGGCCTGGCATGATCCCCGAAATACAGCGGATTAGACTTGAGCGCATCGGCAAGATTTTTCAGGAGCGTAGCTCGGCCTTCGATACCAATCATCGGATTAGTATCTGAGACTTGCATGGCAACAGCAACTGCTTCGGACGTGATCTTGGACAGACCAGTAGCTGTTTGCACGGTCAGCGCGGCATATAAAAGGTATCGCGACATGTACCGTCAACTTGGTGAGGTTTCTTCGGATCCCCAGAGAAGAAACCACTCTCGAACATATGAATGCTGGCGACACCCAATCCCTCCGAACGCGAATAGGTGCCACCTCCAGATTCGTGATACGACCATTTACTCCCTGCACCGGCGTCGAGCAAGACAGAAACAACGAATAGATCCACGAGACGCCGAGTGACCTCTTTAGTATCGGGTGGATTGGGCGACGCTTTCCACCGTGCAATCAAGGGCTCCACGCGAGGCTTGCCAGCATCCAGGTGAGACCATCGACCGTGTGGAGGGATCTAGAGTATTTTCGACGGCCCGTGCATGTGAGCACGCACTGCGACGAATCCATTTGTAGGAATGCCCTGCGTACCGTGCTGTAGTAACTATTGAAGTCCCGCTGAAGGGAGCGAGACTCTCGGTTAGCGATTCGCAACAATGCTCGGACAAGCTTACCTGTATCAGTTCCACACAGAAGTTGGCAGCGTCCGGTTCCTTCTCGGGGTGGTAGTCGAAGTATTGCAGTTTGCCAGCCTTTGCCAGGTCATGTACGCGGCCGCATCGCTCGCGAATCGCGGGAAGTGTCCGCAGATATGCAGCCTTCTGTTCCAAAGGTAACGCGGATTGCATCATCATCGCGACAGAGGGGGGAACTTGAAGGGTTTGGAATCGTGATCGTATTCAGCGACGCCGATGGACGGCGTCAACGACGAATCGAACTTAACCGTTGAACCTGCCCCTTATCGTAGCGGAGATCAGTGACGAAGGCATGTTTGCCGCGCGGACTCTCAGTCTCGGCAGAGTCGGATTTAAAGCTGAACTTGATATATTGAACATTATGTATATGTATGTAACATTTGGGCGGCGCGACTCAGCATCCAGCGACTCTCCAGGGCCATCCTGGTCCGCTGAGAGACCGCGCTACGTATTCTGTCTGCGCCTATCCCCTTGTAAGTGCGCCTGCCGCCGCTCGGCTGGGCTCATGCCAGTGTAGGATCGAGCTCGGCTCCGGCTCCACCAAAAGCCTTGCTGTTTGCAACGCCGTACATTCTCAAAGCCTTCAAGTCATCAAGTCGGGATGAATGTAGCATCGTGTACTGTATGCATAGCTGCATGTTGGATTTGTTGGACATCGATGTCGTCCTTGCTGGCATTTGCAACGGAGAAAGTTCGGCGCAGGTAGCCCAGCATATGGTAACTGCCTGACCCGACCATCCTAACCTATGGAGAGCTTGGCGTTACGTAGGCGAGTAAGACTCGTATCTTGCAGTACTTCACGAACATCGCATGTGGCATGCATGCCTCCAAGATCTTTGGAGCGTTGAGGAGAATCTTGACCATGGTATGAGCAAAGTCCGTACGGCAGCTTCAGTTGCAGTAGGTACCTGTATAACAGCATGCACGCTTTGAAGATACTGCTGGTTGAGTGTACCCGAGTCTGGTGATCATATATGATATACTTATCGCCATGCATATTGACCGTGAGTATCATCGTGGCTGTGTGACACGTCTTCTTTGGCGGTATGATCGAACGCGTCTGTGGGGTTGAGCGCGAGCTTGCACTGTTTCTACCTCTTCATCGTCTGACACCGTGACGCGACTCGGCATCCTCTCACTGGTATACTACGATATCACATCACTCAAAAGGGCTATGACCGCTGGCGGCTTCACTGCCCTCCCTTCGGCTGAAGATGGTGTGCATGATGGTTCGAAATGGCGCGGCGTAGCGCGAATATTAGGCCCCGCATGGGCCAGGCTCCCTGCACTCACTGTGGGGCTGCTTGGAGTACAGACTGCATGGTCGATAGAGATGGCGTATGGTGGGTCACACCGTAGTTCGCTTACGTTGTTGCTCAACGAAGTTCTCAGCTTCGCCGTATCTTCTGGGATTGGGTCTGAGTAAATCCTATATGGCAATGGTGTTCCTTGCAGGGCCTATATCGGGACTCATTGTTCAACCTCTAATTGGTATGATGAGACAGTGTATGCCATGTAGATCAAGACTGACGACTTCGTAACCTTCAAGGCGTTCTCGCTGACAACTCGAAGTCAAGTATGGGAAGGCGGAGGCCGTACATGTTATCTGCTGCTGCGATAGTGTACGTAACCTCGTTCGGTCTCCCACAGCGTGACTGATGCACGGTCCATAGTGCCAGTGGCATGCTATTACTCGGTTTCACGCGCGAAGTTTCTACGCTTTTCACATCTGTCAGCATCGCTCTACTTTATAATACGCAATGACACTAACGTATGCGTGCAGAGTGATTTACTGACTATATGGCTGGCTGTCCTGGCAATCTACATCATCGACTTCTCTATTAACGCTGGTAAGCACTTGCCGCCTACTCGAATGTTCTCCGTTTTCATGCCTCTCGTAGTACAGGCAGTGGATCGAGCTTTGATTGTAGACACGTTGCCGACAAGAGAGCAAGCCGCTGGCAATGCTTGGGCTGCGCGCATGCTTGGCATTGGCAGCGTGGCGGGTTTCTACATGTAAGTGATGAATAGTCAACGAGTCCCTGATGTAGTTCACGCATGGTGCAGCGGGAATATGGACTTGCCTGGTTGGCTTCCCGGTCTGGGCAAGACGGAACTACAAGTACTGGTCATACTGGGGTCTGTTCTCTTGATAAGCACTCACTTGGTCACTGCTTTCTGTGTGAAAGAGAGGATCCTGGTTTCATCCAGGTATGATACGCGCAGCATTTATGTAACTTCTTCCATAATCATGTTCTTCGTAGCCGTCCAACTGCATCTTTCCGGAAAGAATGTCGAGACATCTGGGATAACATGCTTTCTTTACCCCGGGTAATTCGTCAGATCGTGAGTTCTTCTTGCCACGCCTGGGTCGAAATGCTCATCATGTATGAATAGTGTTTCATACAGTTTTTGTGAGAACACCTTCTTTCTTACCGCCCCTTATCCTCAACCCAACAAAGTGCCTGGATAGGTTGGTTCCCGGTTCTCTTCTATACGACAGCGTACATAGGCGATTTGCACGTTCGAGCGTCGTCTTTGCCAGCAAACGGCGATCATAGTGCTGTGGAAGCGGCGGGCACACGTCTAGGGTCTCGAGCACTCTTCTTTCACTCCGTGACGGCATTGGCGGCGAACATCGTTTTGCCGTTCTTCGTTGTCGATAATCAGGACAAGGGACGAAGTACAGCACTTTCGTTGTTCGAATCAAAGACAGGAAAACTGTTCGATAAATTCAAGGTCCATCTGGCAACACTCTGGGCGGCCTCTCATCTATTATTCTTCCTATGCATGGAGGGGACTTGGTAACAATATCCACCGATATGGGGATGTCATCTATACTGAGACTCTTCTTAGGTTTACATCCAGCGTCGCAGGGAATACGACCCTATTTACAATCCTTGGGTTCTCCTGGGCCATCACCCAATGGGCTCCATTTGTTTTGGTTTGTCGCGATCTCGTCCGTCTCGAAATCAACCATCAATTCGCAGTTCCTATAGCTTGCAGAGGCCATCCTGTCGGAGTCGGCAGCGGTCGACGATGCGTCCTCCATTAGCTTGGGAGATCAACGCACAAATCACCCCCGTCACCTCCCGGACTCGGTGGAGGAGACACGACCTCTATTCGGCGCAGCAGAGGATGTGGACGCTCAGATACCGTCCCGTGGTCAATCAAGTGAATCGTCTGCCCGAAGTTCCGCTCGGTCATCACTAGAGGGGCACCGACGAGCATCTTCAGCGTTAGGGATTGTCCCAGAATCGGACGCAAGATTAAGCAGGTTGGACCTGCACGCACACGCGATGGATGCAGAGTCCGAACCAAGATCTATGGGCGCCAGCCTGGCCGCCAAATCTGGCATAATTCTGGTAAGCATTAGTCTCTAATCCTCGAGAATGTACGCCGTGGTATGGGGGCCTTACTCCTTGTTCGCAGGGCATCCATAACGTCTTTATTGTGTTACCTCAGTTACTCTCAACTGGCTTCTCCTCCCTTGTGTTTGCTATGTTGGATCCTGATAAATCTGTACTTCATGGTGATCATCCTGGAAGTATCAAGCCCCCTTTTAATGGAAGCTCCGAGTCTCTCCCACTTACAACTCCGTTGGTCCCAAGGCAGGGCACGGCGATCCAGACGACGGGTACAGACGGGCCCAACACATACGCCATCATCTTTCGGTGAGTTACGGTTCACAAAGAAGCCGCAGAAATACTCAGGCTTGATCGCAGACTTGGGGGACTTTCGGCCGCTGTGGCATGCGTTCTTGCGTATCGTTTGAGAAGAGAGCTAAAACGCCGATGACCATTCCTGCACCGTAGCGGTGCTTTGTGGGGATTTTGTGTACAACATACTCTGGGCGATCAAACGGTCGTGATTAGTATTGCATTCACAGCTTTGCGTTGATCTCTTTCCCAGGCAGATCCGCTTATCAAGCAGGTCGCAGCATGATAGTTGACATAACATCCCTTTCTTCAGTACATACTTTCAAGTCGTACGAGATCATGAGCCAAGCGAGAGAACAATGCTCTGGCCTACCATCTGAACTCGTCCTCGAAGTTGCCGCTTGCACCTAGAAGGCCAGCTGCCGTGCACTGTGTTTCTTCCTGGGCACGAATTACCGTGGAACTCTACCTCTACGCTTGTGTTGTTCTAGCCACGTCAGATGATTATCGGAAACTCATACCGGTCATCTTCAAGTCGCTCATCGTCCCAGTCCGCCCGCCGTTCCTGCGTGCATCGGTGCTCCGCAGCCTTTGGATCGACGACTCGGAGGATTATGGAAGACCTCGTCTGGAAAGACACTCCTTCCTCCGTCTACTCGTCGTTTGTCCGAACCTAGCGAACATCGCTATTCGAGCCAATTCGTTCGGTCAATTTCTGCTCTCGTATGGAGCAAGTTCTCAGCAACTCGGGCCTCATTGCAATGCCGTGACACCATCCGTTGACGTTGCACCATGCGAAATCCACCTCACGCTGCTTAAGTCCGCCAGCAATGGGACAACTGGGCAATGGGTCCCTGGCATGAAACCGGGGCATGATTACCCTCTCTTTGGGATGGTGACGCGACTCGCCGTCAAGATCGTTGAGCGCACGCCATGGGAGATGGACGAAGTCTCTATACCACCGGAATTGGTGGAAAACGTATCCTTGTTCCCGAACCTTAATCGCATTGCACTCGACCTCAAAATGAAGTCGGCCTCGGCAACCTTCAGAAGTCAATCCTTCACAATTATCCACTAGTGAAGATGCTTGTGTTTGTCCACCATAATTTGCAAGACGCGGACGTACGAGCCGGATTGCTACACCAACTCCCCCTCGCCGATGGCAGAGTTTACGTCGTGGACATGCCTTCTAATGTAGAGGCATTGAGACGAGCATGGCACAGGGAAGCCGCTGAGGGCAATGAAGGCCTATGGAGCCGAAGTGAGCGAGATACACGAGCAATGATCCAAGGAGATTGGGGCGATACCCACGATGGCACCGCACAAAGGTCCAGCAGTCAGACACGCTACGGAGGGGCCACTGCCGGAAGGCCAGGCGGACACACATGCAACGGAGGAGCCAGCTGCCGCGAGTGCACTGGCTGCCCTGGATTTCCGACCCGCACACGTTCCGCATCTTCACGCAGGTCTTGGTCGTTCATGAAACATTTATACTGAGCTGGCGTAATCTTGATGATACCTAGTCAGCTCTATAACATGCCTTAATGATTCTCAAATCTGATATTTAGCTCGACGATGTAATATGCGCCGAACACTCTTCTTGTCTACACCCTCCTTGCCCCAGTATTGCTGCACAGCTCTCTAGCACAACAGGGCTTGACTTGAAAGCGCTCCAGAACAGCCGTTGTAATCGCAAAACGCACTTATATATCCACACGACTTCGTGACATTCTATCTCTTCCAGGGAAGCCAGGACGTGAGCTTCGCTTTCTTCTGATCACCCTGCGAATGCAGCAAAGGCGTGGCCTCTCCAGTCCCATGGTCTTCTCGGTAAGCTCGGATGTCTTCCTCTACCGCATACTCGACTGCTTCGTGTATCGAGCCGCCCTCTTGTGGCCCTTGCGCTACCGGCACTGGTACGTATTCTTCCGGCGCTCCTTCGGGCGTCGAGAACCATTTCACTTGCTGTTACCTCAGATATGAGAGAATGACCTACCTGAGCTCGATGGTGTGATAGAGTGACCGAAGTCGTCAATCTGTAATTTGCGCTGACGGATTTTCCATAGGATGCACATTATGAGCAATGATCCTTGCATGAGCCCTGCAACAGCGAATGTGATCCAGCCTGTTGACTTGTGAGGAGTGTATATGCTGCAGCTGCAGGAGTGGGCGTACTGGTCCAATTTGTTCCAGGCCTATCCGCACCAAACACATCAGCAAATGCAAAAAGGCGATATCCATAGAACCGGTCCCAACCTGAGCGCGATGCTAAGCACCATTAGGACGGCGCCGGGACTCTGGATACACATCATAGGAATACTCAGAGCCCCGACCAATTTCATACGATACGTGTGGACAATTTGCGGTGCATATTGCACAGCTGCGAGAACTGCGGAGGCGACGCCGAGGAAGGTCGCCCATATATCAACGACGGGTGGTCGCGGAAAGGTAGTCGTAGTTCCTAGCAGAAGAAACGTAACAAATGTAATGAGGAGGCTGAATTTTTGTCAGTTACAGGGATTTTGAGGGAAATAAAGACAGCAAAAGGTTCACGAACATATGAACGAACACCACCCAGGAGAGAGTGATGGAAAGCCGCCATGAATCTGTCTTGACATGAGTCTTTAGATGATGTATGTTCTGAGCGTCGTCGTCGAGTTCGACGTATTTAAGATGCGGAGGGTAGTATATCATATAAAGCACTAATCTGCGAACGTCGAGCATAATCAGCTGGAGACAGTTCTGTTCATGCTTAATAGTGAGACGCACATTATGGTGAACATCAGCCACTGTAGCCCCACCTGGAAGACTCCGGCCGTGACCTCTATGCAACCGCCGAAGGTCTTCGAATAGCTGAATATGAGGTACGTCAACATGCAGCGAATGCATGTCCACTCACCAAGGCCCGACAGCATCTGATGATTGTCCATTGCATCGTAATCCTAATACGTATCAGGAGTGTCCTCTTTGCAGCAATCAAGCGAATCGCACATGTTCAACATTCCCGATGCTGCCGAAGTGCTGCCGAGCAGCAGGAACCACGGACTGAAGCCCTCTGACGAGCCTTTGCTGATGATGCGGAAGTGCTGATGATTATGAGTTCTGCCCTTCGGATTCAGTGCATTGCGCTCACTTGAGGCAAGTAAGATATGATGAGGCCCAAACATAATCCTCCTGTGAGCACCGCCGTGAACCAGTCATGATGCTAACCACTAGTATGTTAATCTTGCCCATAGATTCCAAGAGAACATGCATACAGTCGGACAAGTCTCGTCGCTGAGTATTGGCATCATAGCAAATTGATCCCTACACTCAATGCAAGGAGCTGGAGAGATGCGTGCCGCAGGCGCGTCCCGTCCGGGCACGCTGCTGGTCAAACACGTGACAGCGGAGTCCAGAAGCCGAGGGCGATACAGTCCCCTTGCACTAGCTAATTCACAGGATAGGAAAGCAGATGTGTACAAAGAAGATGAAACGAGCGCTTGAACTGTTCACAATATACAAGTACATGTTTTCTTCAACTTCAGCGTGTATGAGGAACCTTTCCGATTTCATTCACTTGGTCGGGAGGCTAGTGGTGCCTTCTGTCCCTCCAGCTGCCATGCCGTTGCCTTCTCCGACCGTGAGGGACGTGGCTCTCGGTATTATCTTCATCGCCGTTTCCACCAGTCGTCTTCACCGGGTATCGGAGCCCAGAGCTGTCGCAAGTGCCCCGCCGGGTGGGGTTGCTTTCCACGAATGAGCCGTGTTGCAATGGTCCCTCGGCCAGCAAGTAGTACTGGATTTGCGAGATCGTTTTACCGGAGCCTGTGCATACGAAGTCGACGGTGTATCCGGTGGCAGACTTGACGGCGGTGGTCAACTCTGCGTACATGTAGGTTTTCGAGTCGGATGGCGTAACCTGGGATCGCGTCAGCATGTAGATGCGTGTCAAACTTGAGATACTGACTCCTGCGTGCTGCAAGGCGTCGAACGTGTTCAACTGCTGGAACAGCGATACTATCGTGCTGAAGTATAGGGTAGTCTCCTGAGCCGTTTGATAATTGTTGAAGCACGACGGCTCAAGGGTAGACACGCATGTTCCATGTGTCGACCACTATATGTAACCGATGAATGGGATGCCAGACAGAAATAGGGAACAACTCAGGAGACCGAACCTCATGAGCCCAGAAATTCTCCGGGGACTCGTCATTGGACACCCAGTAAGTATCTGTCGTTGAAGGTTATCTCGGCGTTAAGAGCGCACCGCGGAGACATACCCATGAAATCCAATGTTGACTGCAGCCCGGCGTTGGACAATGCTTCAACGATCTGTGAACCGCTGTATGCTCTGGAAGAGTCGCAATTCTCGTAGGTCGCGCCGTTGCATTCGTCCGGCCATCTATGCAAATACACTGTGAATCAGTTCTAAGGATGCGGAATCCAGAACAAGCATACAGGCCGTGTATTCCCCAGCTGTCGCTGAGACCTTCGTCCAAGTCCCAAAACTGCGTGTGGACCAAAACGCCTCCGGGTTTGACGACGCAACAGGAGTCAGTGGAGTCCGCCGCTGAAGAACAAGAGAGGACGGGTGGATCTGGGCATTCAGACGACGAATCCGCCAACCCTGACAAGCCGGGTTGCTGGAATCTGATGCCTGGTCCGGTGGCGCGGTGATGTCGGTCATGGATACGCTCAGGTAGCCCAGTGACGGGATGATTGGACGAGGACATGGCGTCTAAAGAAGACCCAATCGCGGCAGCAAACGAGGGATCAGTGAAGTCCACACCGCCCGAACAGTTTGAGTTCATGAATTGTGCATCATGGGCGACATGAGGAACGCCATTCTCCTTGGATTTCGTGTCTAATATGTTGCCATAGAGTGCCAAAGGCGTTGTGATATGCGGCCACTTCATGCTATCTGTGTGCCCTGATGGCTGATGTCCCGTTAGCTCTGGAAATACGGCCAAGTACAGTATATGCTCACCACAGCAAGAGGTCTAAGGGAACTGACGGACCTACGTCTCGGTAAGTTACCAGGTATATAACCCGGCGGTCGTGGACGTAAAGGGACGATCGGGCTTGGCGGGCACGATAACAACAGCCTTCACGAGAAGGACTCTACAGACCAACTAGACGCCAGTTGTTACCCACGTTGCTGGGGACGCATGACGTCTCGTGCTAAAGATAGATCAAGAGACGCTGTCCGGCGATCTAAACTTGGACGAGGCGCTATAGCGGGCATGTCCTCACAAAAAATGCGGGACAGTCTACAGACCTCGTCCAGAAGCTCGCAAGCTCGCATTGAGTCTACGACACACGACTATACCGATTCTGAGACTTGCTCCACACTCCACGAACGTGCGTCGAGTAAACTGGTGCATTGCATATGTACTAGCTCACCGCGGTCACGGTCATGTAATGGCTAAGGCACAGTTAGCAAGTTGCACTCCGCGAGACGATGGTATCTCACTGTACTTCGGACCTCCGCCACCTTCTGGTACAGTCCAGTTGATATCCTGCGTGGGCACCTTGATGTCACAGAGCTTGCAGTGAATGCAGTTCTGCATGTCAGAATGCAGATATCAATAGCGGTCACCGAACATACGACGGGGCTACGTACCTGGGAATTGATCACGAGCCTCTTGCCACCCCAGCCGTCCTCCTTGCTGCCTTCTTGGTCTTCGACGTACTCATAGACAGCTGCGGGACACGCCCTCCCAAGGAGCCCTGCATATTCGCCCACGTTTCTTTCCACGTGTTGTCTCCTCGCTTTGGCTTTATCGTCCCCGATTAGTCTGAGGTGAACAGGCTGATCTTCGGCGTGGTTGGTACCCGTCAGAGCGAGACTGGTGAGTAAGTCCGTGGAAAGCGGGGGTTGAAAAGGAGGATACTGAATGGGTTTGAATTCCCGTGCTTTTCCGGTATGCTGAGCGTCCGTGATCTTTCCCGTGTTACGGAACGTCCACGGAGTGCGACCTTTCAGTAAGAGTGTATCAAGTCCGGAGTATGCGATACCTCCCCAGATTCCCAGAGGTGTGTTGAATGACGCCCGAAGATTACGGACTTCATGCAGATCGGAGTAAACCCAACTGTTACGAAGGGCAGAGTCGTATGCGCTCATGTCCCTGGCATCGTCGGATTCACTGCCTTTCATCACGGATCGGAAGGCAGTTTCGGCCGCAAGCATACCGCTTTTCATGGCATTATGCGTGCCCTTGATTTTGGCTATGTTCACGAAGCCAGCCGAACACCCTATCAGAGCGCCACCGGGAAAATCCAGCCTCGGAATTGATTGAAGACCGCCCTCGTTGAGTGTTCTCGCGCCGTACGCGATTCGGCTAGAATTGCCACCGAGCAGTTTCCTGAAGTACGGGTGGAGCTTCATGCGCTATGAGAGTGTCAGTTCGAGTCGCGGTGACGGGGAACGAACAGAGTACCTGGAACTCGTTATATGGACTCAAGTACGGGTTGGCGTAGTCCAGACCAATCACCAGACCAAGGCTGACAAGGCCGTCGGCCATGTGATAGACCCATCCACCGCCGTATGTATGCATGTCTAGCGGCGCACCTATAGTATGGACTACCTCTCCAGGCCGGTATTGGCTTGAGTCAACTCGCCAAACCTCCTTGATCCCGATTGCATACGTCTGTGGGTCGGCATCTTTGCGAAGGTCAAATTGACGAACGATTTCCTTGGTCAGGGATCCGTGCGCCCCTTCCGCTAGAAGAGTGACCTTGGCGCGAAATTCCATACCGGGCTCGAAGGAGTCTTTCATGCGGTTTTCGCGGTCAAGCCCAACCTCGTTCGTCCGAACGCCTTTGACTGTCCTTCCATCCTCATCATAGACGATACCAGCGCCGGCAAAACCCGGATACACCTCCACGCCCATTTCCTCGGCTATCGAACCGAGCCATGCCGTGAACTGTGATAGCGACACAATATAATTCCCTTTGTTACCCATCTGAGGTGGGTGTGGTATGGGGAATGACCGTGATTTCGTGAAGAAGCGCATCGATGAACTGGTCGCCGGTTGAATGAGCGGATGACCCTCCCGGGATGACCAGTCAGGGAGCAATTCGTTGAGTGCGCGTGGTTCAATGACTGCTCCGGATAGTATATGCGAGCCTATGCAAGCTTTAGCCACTGAATCCCGAAAAAGAACGGTCGAAACACTTACCTACTTCCGAACCTTTCTCAAGTACTACAACCCTCACTTCGTTGCCCGTTTCCTGTTCCAACTGCTTCAGTCGTATGGCAGCACTGAGTCCAGCCGGACCCGCGCCAACTATGCAAACGTCCACATCATCCGAGGCTCGATCCACGTTCTTGGGATCGAACAATTCTCGTCTCCTGCTGGCGCTGGTATGTAAGCCGTGTAGCCGAGTAAGCTTAGGGATCCGTTGAATGTGCCAACGAAGCATAGTGGTTAGCGTGACGCTGAGCGAAGTGCAGGAGGTTATTGAGCCAAAGTCGGCAACGAGGTAATATGTAAATCACATGAGATTAGTACTCTACAACCTATCAGAGTACTTCTGTTGGTGGACGACGGTGGGTCAGTTGAGATCTGCAACTCAACTGGGCTTACAGAGTTCGAATATCACACAAAAGGAACTATATAATATTCTCGACGATTACATTACATACTTAGAAGGCTGATTATAAGTCGCGGCCGTTTCTGCTTACATTACTAAATATACTTACATTATGTAGACTACAATATTCCTACAATATTGCTCACCGCGTGACTTGACGGTCCTCATCATCCGACTGAAGCGCTCAGCACGTTCATAACTGCTTGAGCTGCTTGCGTCTCATATTAGTTCTAGCGAGGGCTTGAAACTCACGGGACTCGTTGTTCTTGGAAAACACTCGCTTTTCAAAACATCGTTTATACGGAATAGCCCGTCATGCAGGACGGACGTGCTCCTCGGTACTGTTCGTTTCTATGCCATATAAAGTTCTATCCTGAACATGTCAATGCTGGTATAGGGTCAAGAATCGGGCGCCAGCAGCCATCCAGGTTGGTAAATGATTGCTCGGAGATGTTTTACAGCCTGACTCTCCCCTAGATCACTGCGGAACAACTCCTCCGTGAAGCTCAGGAACGTCAAGAAAGCCAATTCCGAGCACCCAAACAGCGCGTTGAAGACTTTGAGGAGCTTCATGAATACAGAGGCCGGAAGCGTAAGGAGTTCGAGGAACGCATTCGCAGGACAAGGGGTAACATGTAAGTACAGCATCATTGGGACTACGCATCTTTAACTGAGCACAGTACGAACGTAGAAAAGAGTGGCTACAATATGCCAACTGGGAAGCCAGTCAGAACGAGTACGCGCGATCTCGCTCCGTCTTCGAGCGTGCGTTGGACGTCGATGCGCGCAACGTTCAACTGTGGCTCAACTACTGCGAGATGGAGCTGAAGGGTCGTAATGTCCAACATGCTCGTAACCTCTTCGACCGCGCGGTCACTCTCCTTCCTCGCGTCGATCAGCTCTGGTATAAATACGTCTACCTGGAAGAGCTGCTACAAAACGTTGCCGGCGCCCGCCAGGTATTCGAGCGATGGATGCAGTGGGAACCAGATGACAAAGCGTGGCAGGCATACATCAAGATGGAGGAACGTTACCAAGAATTGGATCGCGCGAGCGCCATCTATGAACGCTGGGTAGCTGTACGTCCAGAACCCAGGGTATGGGTGAAGTGGGGAAAGTTTGAGGAGGAACGAGGGAAGCTGGAAAAGGCGCGCGAGGTTTTCCAGACGGCTCTGGAATTTTTCGGGGATGACGAAGAGCAGATTGAGAAAGCCCAGGCTGTCTTCAATGCCTTCGCTAAGATGGAGACCAGACTCAAGGAGTATGAGCGGGCCAGGGTTATTTATAAAGTACGCATTATCATAACTGGTTGTGATTCACACTCATTCACATTCGCGATTTCGCAGTTCGCGTTGTCTCGCCTTCCTCGATCGAAATCAGCCAATCTCTACGCTGCCTACACCAAATTCGAGAAACAACATGGTAACAGGACCACTCTCGAATCAACGGTTCTAGGCAAGCGGCGGATACAATACGAGGAAGAGCTCGCGCACGATGGTCGAAACTATGATATCTGGTTCGACTACGCACGTTTAGAGGAAGGCGCCGTGAGGGACTTGAAGGAGGAGGGTGTCACCGCGGAAGAGGAGGAACAAGCTGTGGGTCGTGTGCGCGAGGTGTACGAACGGGCCGTTGCTCAGGTACCACCAGGCGGGGAGAAACGTTATTGGCGGCGGTACATATTCCTATGGCTCAACTACGCGCTCTTCGAGGAGATCGAGACCAAGGTGAATCCATTGATTCTGAGGGATAGCATTTGCTCATACGGCTAGCAGGACTACGAACGTGCCCGACAGATCTACAACACAGCTGTGCGGCTTGTCCCGCACAAACAGTTCACTTTTGCAAAGCTTTGGTTGATGTTCGCCCGATTCGAGATTCGGAGACTTGATCTCGCTGCAGCGCGTAAGCTCCTCGGTGCAGCTATCGGTATGTGCCCGAAGGAAGCGCTTTTCAAGGGTTATATCCAGCTCGAGTTCGACGTGCGTCGATTATCATGCCTACTCGACGTCATGGCTAATTTTCAACAGCTTCGGGAGTTCGATCGGGTACGGACGTTATATGAAAAATACCTCGAGGTATGCGCTTTTGCGTTCAAAAGAGCCGGTAGTTGATCGTTCCTCGTGTAGTACGATCCGACGAACTCAGCCGCGTGGATCAAGTACGCCGAGCTGGAAACGCAGCTAGAGGATTTCGCGCGGACGCGGGCGATCTTCGAGCTTGGCGTGTCGCAATCTCCGCTTTCTATGCCCGAACTGCTATGGAAAGCGTACATCGACTTCGAAACGGAGGAGGGTGAGCGCGAGCGTGCTAGGGCGTTGTATGAGCGCTTGATTGCTCTCAGCGGGCATGTCAAGGTTTGGATATCCTACGCTATGTTCGAGGCAGAGACGATTCCCTTGCCGAGATCTGAAAGGCCGGATGAGGATGAGGACGACGAGGACGAAGAAAAGGAAGTTCAAGTACAGGAAGGCGATGTTCACAAGGCACGAGCGGTCTTTGAGCGAGCATACAAGGATCTCAAATCGAAGGGCCTTAAGAGCGAAGTAAGATCATTCCCTAGCGTGCTCCTATATTACTCATGCCGGCTTCGTTTAATATAGCGTGTCGCTCTTCTAGAGGTTTGGAAGACATTCGAGGAGAACAATGGCACACCAGACGACGTAACGAAGGTGCAAGGCTTGATGCCTATTGTCAGCAAGCGCCGCCATGTGGACGAAGAGACAGGACAAGTTGTAGAAGGTACGTAATCTGTGGCCTCGGGGGTCGCCACAGTTTCAACATAACGTTCTACAGACTGGGAAATGGTCTTCGCCGATGATGAGCGAGAAAACAACCCCACGTCCTTCAAGTTCTTCCAGGTGGCTCACGCTTGGAAGAGCAAAGTCGCAGGTAGCGGTCTTACCGGGTTTACCGCGTCATTGGCGAGTCAGGACGAGGAGAGCTCAGAGGAAGGAAGCGAAGATGAAGATATGGACAAGAATACCCAAGACAGTAGAGGTGGAGTCACAAGCAAAGACGAGGATAGTGATGTTGCCAGCTCTGACGGAGAAGAATGAGCAAACTTCAGGCTACGATGACGAAGATGTCTCTGATTGTACTCCCCTGTTCTACATCGTGCTTTCATTAATTCATGCAATATAAGTATATATGATGAGTTGGTCATGCGAAGGTCTCAACAGGAACTTGGCAGCCCATAGTTTAACACCGAATAGCACGTGCCTACCAATACCCAGCTGTGGAGAGGAAAGCTGTGCTTACGGCCTGTTGTTCTCTAACACTGACAATCGCGTATACGACCTCTCCAATACTTCCTCTGTTCGCCTTTCTCTCTCGACACTTGTAATATCCACTCGATCTACTGTAATATATCATCATGGTGGGTGCATACTGCCGAAACTATCTACTTATTGCTGATAATGTCGGCGTGCTCGTGTGATCTTTCTGATGTCTGGATGGACCCGCCGCCACTACGGAGCAGTCTACGAATTGCAGGCGTCGCCTCATCAGGGACTTCAAGAGACTGTCGTCCGATCCGCCGGGCGGGATCTCCGGTAGCCCATGTCCAGATAACATCATGTTATGGAATGCGGTGATCTTCGGACCCGGTACGTATAGTACTATCTCGAGTGCAGTCCTGTATAACCGATTTCGCCTGCACAGCGGACACGCCTTTCGAGGACGGGACCTTCAAGCTCGTCCTCACCTTTGAAGAGTCATACCCAAACAAGCCTCCTGCGGTCAAGTTTCTTTCTCGCATGTTCCACCCGAACGTCTACGCCAACGGCGAGCTCTGCTTGGACATTCTGCAAAACCGGTGGTCTCCAACTTACGACGTCGCCGCTATCCTAACCAGTATCCAGAGTTTGTTGCATGATCCCAATCCCAATAGCCCGGCGAACGCGGAGGCTGCTCAGTTGTATCGGGAGAACATGAAGGAGTATGTTCGGCGGGTGAAGGAAACCGTCGAGGAGAGTTGGCTTGATCCAGAAGAGAAGGATAGGATGGATGAAGAGGACAGGGCGGCCTCAGCGCATTGAACATCCTTGAAAGGATCACTCAGTTACCCCTCCACTTGTCCGATTACTCCTTCTCGCCTGTTCGATAATCAGAACGTTCGGCCTCAGGTTTCTGATCCATCATTTCCATTTGTCGCATTTCGTCGTAGTTGCAATATACCAAGACATGTCTCGATCAAGTGGTATGCATGGCCACTATCCACCTTCCTTCTCGGGCGTTGAGCCGGTCATGGCTTGCCGTTTCCCAGCCACCTTCCGTGTCCGGCAGTCCTATTCTACCGCACTTTGCTTGCAACATGCCCTTGTTGTTGCGGCGCTTTGCTCGGCACCACCACGACCGACAGCATTTCCCCCGGGATTCCCGGAGCAGACCGTAATCGTCTGCGCCGGAGTTTTCGACGAGAGGCCCTCGGCCCGCGCCCTGAAGAGACAAAGCGATCAGATATCAACCGGCTGTCACAGGTCTCCAGCGAAACCTAGTTTTCTGTCCCTCTCTGAGTGCGGGCGCGATTCCTGGTTGTTCGTCCGCAGTCTGCGTCGGCGCGACGCCGCGTGTTGAACGTGAGTACTCACCACGCCGCCCATGTCGTAAGTCTGAACCTGACATGTTTCACGGCGTCATTGAATAGACAACCTCAGTTTGGCCGAACGCCCCTTTATAACCCAGGAGGCTCTCACAGTCTAGCCTATAGGGATGGACGCTACTCGAGTAAGCTATCATCATCTCCTCGCCGGTTGTCACGTTCATCTCTCTCGCCGATGCAGGGTGTTTCGTCGCGCCCCTTTGCGACTCGGCGCCACACTGCCCACTTCAAGCCTCGATCATCACCGCTTGCAGGGCCTGTTCTGTCAACGGATAGCGGTCATGGCGTCGGTGATACGGGCGACCTGAAACCGCGATATCGGCCCTCCCGCATCTCTTCCACTCCTGATCTTCCAGCACTTGATCGCAATACATCAGAATGTTCCGAGACGGCGACGACATCTACACACGAGACGTACCACTCTAACTATAGCCTCGTATCGTCGTCCCATGCCAGCGAGGCTACCACCGTCGCTTCTCATTCCGTTTTTCCTGATGACAAGTCCGTCAGGCGCCGAACACTCACTTCCCTAAGGTCTGGGCGCTCAGCTAACCCTGATTCAACCGCGCCATTCCATCCCACTCCAGGGCATCGAACGACCTCATCTACGTCCGGTCGGACGCTGTCCTCCCCTTCGACGTCTCGAAATCCGGATGAGAACTGGCTCACGGCAAAGACGACGCCAAGATTCTCGAGATATGGGATGAATGCCCCGGGTGTTGTCATGCCCGTTCCTGCTCGAAATCACCCTTCGCGCGCTTCAGCTAAGCGTCCGCGAACTGCTCCGGGCAACCCCGAAGTTGTGGTGCCCCGATTCAATGGAGGAAGTAGGTCGGCGCCTTCAACAATTGGGGTCACGGCGTCCCGCAACGCGCGCCCTGCCCACGGCCGAGCACAAACGTACTCACTGCCTGCCATGTCTGCTGCGCTCTCCCCCCGCTCTCGGTCGGCTTCTACGCCAACCCTAATAACGCCGATTTTTGAAAGTTCCGAAGAGTTCATTCAAGGGGCGGACGTCGACAACGCTAACGGATTTCTTATACCTCCCCCGCCGTCGGTATCCAGCCCGAAGACGTCCAGTCTTACCATATCGCCGTCCTCATTGCCGAGTCTTACGAGGTCCGAGAGCGGTGATGAAAGTGCAATCATGGCATCGGATGTATCAACCTCCACCATCGGATCTATTGGCACCTTGGCCCCAGACCCGTCGTTGGCCTTCTATATGCGCGGCTCTTCAAGCGTATATACTGCCACGACCGTGTCAGCTGCTTCGCTGTCGGCAGAAAACTCAGACATAGAAACGGTTAAGAAAGGGCGCAGATTCGCTAAACTGGCCGCCACTTTCAAACGGACCAAACCTGAGAAACAACTCTCGTCGTCCTTACCCGCGGTTCCTGCGTTAATCTTGACCGCCCACGACAGTTCTTCGGACGTCGGCGACTTTGGTCAACTGCAGTCAAAGACTTGGGTCAGTAATCCCGACCGGTCCGACGGCCGGAAAAAGGGTCCAGGATTGTGGCGTCGATTCGCCATGTCGGTGACAAGCCGTCGAACTTCTCGCGGTAGTGTCGCAAGTGGCGAAAAGCGCAATATGCACTGACCTTAGGCAAGCATGACATGGACATTCATCGCACTTGGACTATAGGATTTACCATAATGCCACTCGCAGTGCAGCGTCTTACGATTATGATTGTGTGGCAACGTTCTATCTTTTTGGATTGTTTTAGGTCGTTGTGCAGTTATGTGTATGTATGCCATTTCACTCGAGCTGAGTTCAGCTTGATATCAACATTTTGGGCGCGGTAGTGCACCGTACACCTTATACACACGATTCTGTAGCTACAATATTGAAGGATATACCAGCTTTTCGCGAATACCGGAAGACGCATGACGACCATTGTGTTAGACTATATGTGAGATCAAACGCGGTGAAGCGCACTATTCGCGACAAGACGAATATAGATTCGGTATGAATGGACGGTATTGTATTGTACAATTGGCGGGTATATTGGCGGAGTGCCATTGCCCTTGTAACCAACATCCGATGAGCACATAACTGCACCGCCCAGACAAAGTTCCAGCTTCACCACTGAAAGCCATCGCAGTGGCTCCAGCAGCAAAGGGGCGTAGTCGTCGCTCACAGCGATTTCAAGACACCAAGGTCGTCGTATATAGCGGAAGAGTTCTACATAGGCACTATCGGCGCGCTACCTTTCTCCAAGGCAGTGCGTAGACTGTTAAGATCGCAGAGTGTCAGTTCAATGTATATGTCTATAGAACGGTGGAACTCGTTCCGTACCTGTAATCATCTCCGTTTTGAGTGATATAACGGACCCAAGGTAGTGCTTGGTATCCACTCTTCTCAACAATCTTGAGGTATCTCACTTGGATTCCCGAGACCGTGAAATAAGGAATTTCGAACTTGACCGTGATGGGCGCCCGTTTCTCAACGTCTTGCTCGGCGCGCACGCTTGGTAAACCGAAGTGCGCCCGCATCAAGAATTCCCGTGCGCCTCCTAGCTGCTTGATTTTCCAGACGAAGGCGGATTTGTCAGGTGCATATTGCACGCTGCCTGTCGATGCCTGTGACTAGTCAATATGACGAGTAAGCCAGGAATTGCGTGTCATACCCGGAATTTTGGGCTATCGGCATCCTCGGGAACGGGAACGTAGATCTCAACGTTGTTGGCGGTACTCCGCCGTTTGAAATGTGCCTTCACCTTCACCATATACTCTATCCTGGAGCCTTTATGGCTTTCCACGGCGGCTTCCACCCAAATCAAGGGCTTCACGGGGGTAGATAGACGATATGACATGAGCTCGAACTCGCCGTCCGGTGGTATGAAGGATATTGTGCGGTCGTTCTCGAACCGAGCCAAACGAACACATTGATGGAACTTGACGTCCTCCATTTCAATAGCTTTACCTCGGGATGCTAGTGAAGATCAGTGAGCAAGCAGCTAACGACGGCAGCTAAATATGCACATACTCCTGCCGGTGGATTCAAACATCACTTTATCGTTTAGACCTAACCGAAGCTCCGGCATTCCGGAGAGATAGCACTTCATCTTGACGGCGCCAAGAATCTCCGATCGTACTACATTGCCATTCGCGTTCACCTGTCACAAACTCAGCATAGATAATGAGTATATGAAATTTCGACGCGCACCAGCATGTTCACGCTTTCGATCACGTCAAGGAACACCTCATTCTTCCTGTACTTGATACCCTCAGACCGCCATGACACGGCATTCGTAACGGCCATGGGCGGCCGGACCTGGATTTCAAGCTTATGCGACTCCTGCGTAATATATCTGAGATACGATGAGCTAGCACTACCGACGCCCTTCAGGTATGAGCTTACTCCTGAAGAATTTTGCTTTCCGTAGTTTGCGGGTAGCCAAAGTCCATCATCTCGTCCATGAGTTCGTATATGATGACGAAGTTGTCACGGATGGACTCCTCCTCGAGTTCCTTGAAGTATTCCACCAAAACCTGAACAAATCGGTGAAGGAATATGACCACCTCCGCTGCATTCGTGTTCTTTCGCGAAAGTGCCAAGACTGTATGAAAATAGCTTAACTCTGCCCGCAACCTCTTCGAAGTGAACATAACGCATACGATAAAGGTTCGAATGCCGTATATGCATGTAGTTGATGCCTTCCCGAGAGAAACACGGTGTCACTTGTTGGCCTTCCTCTTCGATATCTAGGACTATGGGCATGAATCGTTCGATGTACGCCGGGGAGACATCGTCCTTGTACGAGCGCTGTATGAGCGGCTTGCCCTTCAGATCGAGGATTGCAATCAGGCTGGCCATTGTCAACGCGAAGTGGCGGGTTCACAACGCAGGATATAGAGGTGCTTGAACAAATGAAGTGAGGATCCGCGATATGGCCGAGCTTACGTGCCGGCGAATGCTCGAGAGTCAAGCTTTAAGGGCGACCCGTCGACCTTGCCTTCGCTCACTCTCATCGCCACTGGAAACCCCTGCTCTGTCACTTCTCGGAGATAACTGTGACCATCAAGCAGAATGCATAGCGCCTTGCTTTCCTTAAGCTTTCGGCGGTTTCTTGAAACTCGCAATCGAACTGGTGGATGCGCTAGTACCCTTGCTACGCTCATAAACGAGCGGATGGTACTGAGCCGCACCCGGGGAATGTAGCGTCTGACTTCTCCGATCTCCCCCTCAGGCTCTTCACCTGCTTTGCGCACTTCGGCGTGTGTGTCTGAGGGGACATTTCCGCTTACACGTGTTCAGGGGTGCTGCGTCGTCTAATCCCCGTTCCCGTTGCTGGCAGCCTTAACCCTCACCCCTCGTCTTTGCTGCTCAATGGCATCTACGAAAACACACGTCCGCCTTGCCACCGAGGGAGATGTCGCAGAAATGGCATTGATAGCCAGGCGAGCCTTTATGACTGATCCGGAGTTCAATTACTTTGGTGGTCTACGAGAAGTACGTTACGATACGTTTCCTCTGTCCCTTTGGATTTGGCGATGAATGTGGTTACTGTCGAGCTGCGTCGCTGACATTTAGCATGTCAGCCGCCTTTCGATCCTGCGGGCAGGCGCTGTCATCATCTCGAGGAATTCTTTCGTTTTCTGATCAAGGCCTCGTACCGACTGAACGGCCGGCTGACGGTCGTCGTTGTCTCGCATGACGCATCTGAAGCTATAGCGTCATTTACTCTGTGGCAGCCCCCCGGGAAGAGGCTGTCTTTGTTATCTATCTGGACCTTGCTGCGGTCTGGTGTTGTTTCCGGCATCCGAGGATGGGGAATGAGTGGCGTCAAGGTAGGCCAGTCATATGTCCCGCACATGCATCATGATCACCTTACGCGACTGCAACACAGCGCGTCGGTATCGAGTATGGCAACAAATGTGAAGTAGCTCTCGAGGAAGCGTTCAAGAGCAAGGCAGGTAGAGCCTCACACAAGTCTTCTTGGTACCTTTTATTGGCCTGCACGGACCCTCAAATGCAAGGGAAAGGTTAGGATATCGATCAGGTTCTTGAGAAGGTCTTACCTCGTTGCGACAGGTTACATGTCCCTGCTGATGAAGGACATTTTCGGATTCACAGGCGCAGCTAGCACGTACACATTGGAGGCGACTACTCCAAAGTCTCGCGACCAATACGCGCACTTCGGCTTTGAGGTCAGCTCAAAACCGGGCTGCTTTCCAGATGTTCGTATTGACACCTGTCTAGGTGGTGAAGGAGATTGCCCTGGGAGATGGCAAAGTCAATAGTCGCGGGATTCCTCCCGCTCCTGGAGAGCTTGCCTCAGGTGTCACCATCTATAGCATGGTCAAGGTAGGTGCCGTCCACCCATAGCTCGTGATTGTGGCCTGATGGTAGCCAGTGGGCTAACGCTGACAACAACGACAATGATGGATAAACGGTTCTTGCCGTTAAAGGACGCTACACTCGCCTTCAATACGCGCAGGACGCGATGGCACTACGTGCTACTCATTCAGCTCCGACAACGCATCGTTTACATGGAATCCTTTCGGACGGTCAATCTTCCGCTTCTTCACGCTCCCTTTCAGATTTTGGTCGCGCTTCTGCATCCAGCATACTTGTATATCAATGCAACCGGAGTCACAGTAATAATTCGATCCTTATCATGCATCCATGGATGCCTATGAACACTCGCAATAGAGAGAGTCCCTAGCCACCTCCCCCTTCCATGTTGGCAGCGGTGACGATCATCCGTGACTGGGTCGCCTCACCGCCTGTTCACGGTACGGTAAGCAAACTCTAGATGACGGATACGTTCCCTCGGTCCCATCATACGCGTCCAGACCTAATAGTTAACCGATTCTTGGTTTGCGGCGCACCCAGATTTCTTGATCAGCATCCATTCCTCCATGGTCCGTCGTCGTGCTGACATCCACCTCAACAGGATCTCTATATTGAACTTCCCAAATTTTCAGCCTGTAGTTTCCCCGATCAGCCATACCCCTAGCAAGGTGGGATGTTAGCGATGGCATGAGCGCGATCCAAAGATAAAATAAGGCGGCTACGTGACAAGATCGAACGACCATGAGTGCTTCGGACAGGTGATGCCTGCACTGAGTGCAAGCCCAAAGTCCTCGATATCGAATACAGATCCGTTTGAAAGAGGGTACGACGAATGCGGACATTGCTGAAGGACCGAGTAAGCTAAGTATCTCCTCATGCGGAGCATCTGAAGTCCACCAACTTGATCTACGGCATACATTTTGCCTTTGTATTTAAAAACGAGCACTTGGTCCCTGAGCCCGTCCGCGCTCGTCTCCGGAGAGACATCGAACTGAACTACCTCGCCATAGGGTTGCCTGGACACGCGGAAGACCTTGCACCCCCTGGCGGACGAGCGCGGTTCACACAGTGGTAGATCCCCTGGTGTGGTGTCCGGAAACGACGATGCAAGGCCAACAAAAAACCAGCCTTCCCGAGTGAGCTTCGTTACACCACCCATCCTGTAAGTATAGATGAGAGGAATGTAGATTGAAGGAGGCTGTGCTAGCGGTAAGTTCCAGGAAGTATCAGAGTACATAGGGCATGTGGCCATACAAGACCGCGGATAAAAAGCTCCAAACGAGAAGGAGATGTCCACTTCACGCCAAGTGGCTGACCCAGGGTATCATAAGGATTTGATGTACTCCTTTGCGCCCTTCTGCAAGCACCGTTCGATATCGTCGGCGAGGGCCTCCAGGTCGTCGAGCGCATGTCTCCCCGCAACCTCCGGCGGCACTGCAGCTGTGAACACGGCCACAATGGCCTCGGCAAGCGCGCGACCACCAGCGCGGCCAGGGGCGGTACGGCCCTCGTCTAACCCCGGTCCGAGATCCGGTTCGTCCGCGCTGGGGACTTGCTGTTGCGTGCGCGCATTGCAGAGCGCGCGAAGTCGAGCTTGAAGCGGGGCGAGATGGGTAGAGGGTTCGAGGCGAAGCTGGACATCGTCCGAGTTGAGTGCGGTGGCTTTGCGCAGACCTATATGAGCGACATCACTTCGGTATAGACGTCGTGGTATCAGTCGATCCGCGAGGTACGAACCCTGCAGCTGGAACGCAAAGTATGCGAGGTTGACCTCGAAGGCAAATATGGGGACGGGGTTAAAAAAGTCGCTGGAATGACGCGTGAGGCGAAGTCGAAATGGATGGAACCAGCCTAACGGTGACTTGCATGGTCTCGGTGACGGGTAGAAGAAGCCCGGATATCCAAGTGCGCTTTATGGCACCTTTGCGCTCTTGCTCTAGTTGCTGCTCGAGGCCTGCCTTCTTCTCTGGCGACGAATACTCTGGATCCTCTGGCACGAATACAATCGCCTAGCATTGTCTCTTCGATACCTGTCTCTCCGCAATGCACACGGAGGGGCGACCAGGACGTACCTCATTCAGCTTCTTCTTGGGAGGAATCCGCGTGAGCGCTTCCAGCGTGCTATCCGGTAACCACTGGATGAACTGTGCCGCTTTCTGCGAGCCGATGCGTTAGCGTCCACGCAGCCGTGATGACGCGATCATACTCACTCTCGCAAAAGGGCCTTTCGTTCGTTTCCACCGACTTGCGTTTGCTTCCTGTCCGTCGTGGATCCGTTGACCCTGTGCAACTTCCTCTTGCCATTTCCGTTCCACGCGTTTGACGAGTTCCTGCTTCGTCTTGCCATTCTCATCGGGCTGCGGTTTGCGGTACGGCGCGCGCGGCGGGGCATAGAGGAGGAGCGTAGGGCGCTTCTTGAGGTGCTTGTCGTCGTCGCGGGCATGCTCGGCGGGCGGAAAGGGGATGCCGAGGAAGACGGCGGGGATACGGATTTCCTTGGGTAAGGAGGCGGTGGTGTTCAGATCTACCCCGGGAGGAATGCTCGCAAAGATGGAGGAGAAACTTGGCGGATCCGGCTCATTGGCCTCCTCCGCCGCGTCGACGTCAGGCACGGGAGGAAGCGGTTTGGAGGCGTGGTCGAAGTCGTACTGGGGATGTGGATCCGGGGCGACATGGTCACCGCCAGGTTGGACCGGCTCACAGGTGACCGTAGCTCTTGCCTCCGCGGCCATGCTGCAGACCAATGCGGTCGGTGGGCGAGGTTGACGTCGTTGGTTCTAAGTACCTTTACTCCAACGAGCGGGTTATATTTGGCCGATTGTGCTGCAGTCGCGTCCCGGTTGGAAAATAAGTATGATTGCGATCTGCATCGCGTTTCAACTATCGACCATGGAAGACCTGGCAGTCAACGTTGGCCACCTGCCATCGATGTCGTCAAAGGCGAGAACGTCGAGTGGAGGAACGCGATTGGCGCGTTGACGTCATCGCTGCATGCCCCAAGACCGTCTGTTTCACTGTCACCACCTTGACCCGCATGCGTTCATCCTCGACAAGTGTATTCTGTCTGGCGCCCCTCGGCCCATATAGACACACTATGGCACCCAGGAAACCCTTCCGTGCAGTCATCTCGTCCCCCATACCATGTGGATCGCCCATTATTCTGCAGGTCTCGTCGCAAAGGTCTTCGCACCAGGAGTCCCTCTGTGGCTCTTGACTTTAGCTTCTGAGATAACAGATGCCCAGTTCTTCGTGTTCAACTTGCTCGGACTCGAATCCTGGTCCGTTGACCCCGCCTTAGCCAAGAAGGGCTGTTTTCCCTATGCAACGAATTATGTATGTTCACCATCACGTCCTATACCACGTTCACCGCGTTGACCAGATATTCGTCCCCAGCCATGGAGTCACAGCTTAGCGGGAATGGCCATCACTGGCGTGGTTCTCGCCGGCCTCTACAAGGCGTACTCATCCCGGAGGGTCACCGTTAAGGATTTGCTCGCCATCGTTCTCACCACCGTCAGCCACTTCCTCTATGAATGGCCTGCGCACCGTCAGGGTAGGCTTTTTCTTACTTGGTCATCCAGATTTGTCGTTCATGACCGCGCCCCTGACCCTAGATGTCAAGATTGCTCCTCACGACAAAACGAGTTTTGGCGCTGGCCTGTTCGATTACCCTGCTACGCTCTTCGTGCTCGAAACAGCGATCTTCTTCGCTGGACTGAAGGCGTACACGTCGTACGCCCCGCTCTCTACTCGCGCCGGTTACAAGCACAACTCGAACAGGATGAAGGCCGTCGTTGCCGTCTTTCTGTTCCAGCAGGCGCAGTTTTGTTTCGGCTTGTGAGTCATACATCAGCGTCATATGCATAACATCGTTCGGGCTAAAGCGCGTGCTTCAGCGCACCAACTGAAAACGCCCGTTGGGTGCATGCTCCCTTGTTCTTGTCCATGATACTTGGGAGCTCGTGGTTACTTGGCAAGCTGGAGGCGTAATTGTACACATAATATGATTGTACCAACTCACCATACGTGATCGTATACCATCCTTTGCTTCAAGGCATGATGTCTGCGTAAGTCATTTGCTATATGGGGCGCGCGCGTGAGGGTACATTTCGCCCCTATCTCGTCGCGTCACTCTCTCGCTTGCCACGGTACTCTCCGGCACGACCTGCACGGGTGTAGGCAAATTACCGCGGACCACACCTGCGTTCATGGCTGTTTCTGCTCAACAAGGAGGCGCTCATGATGGCGAGAACGGGGTCGACGTATCTCTTTTGAAAGATCTGGCGAAGAAGTCCCTGGTCGATGCTCTGAACTCGGTACGAGCACCTTGAGGTCTTGCTGCGATGTAGCCAACGTGAGCACCCAGGTCAGTGGAGCCAAGACGCTCATCCTCGACCCTTCTATGGCTGGGCCGCTGGGGTTGGTGACGGAGGTTTCCCTACTGAAAGTACGTCCCACCCTTGCGCAACCTTGCAACAGGTATGAACGCATGTTTTCAGCAACATGGAGTCGACAAGATGTACTGGCTAGAACAAGGCCCTCTGTCATCGGTATCGACCACTGCCATCGTGTACTTATGTCGCCCAAAGATTCGGCATGTAAAGATCATTGCCGGTGAGGACTCGACGAATGCCATACACGTTACCGGAGTTGACTCCCTTACAGATCAGATCAAGGCCCACCTTCGGGGATCTCAGAAGTACACGTACACGCTGTTACTCGTACCCCGCGTGTCTGTCCTGGTCGAGCGTATCTTGGAGGAAGAAGGCGTGCTCGGCGAAGTCAGCATCTCGTCCTACAACCTGCAGTTCATCCCTCTAGCGGAGGACGTCGTGTCCCTCGAACTCGAGAATGCATTCAAGGAGATATGGGTCGTAGGTCTGACTTCTCTCGAGCTACATACGGAGCCGACATGAATCTCCCAAGGATAGGACGGCGACGAGACTGCCGTGTACGACTCTGCCAAAGCCCTGGTCACCCTGCAGAAGCTGTATGGCCTGTTCCCCCGTATCGTGGGCAAGGGCGATCGAGCCGCGGTGAGCACAATCCGTCACAATCTACCGCTATGAGAGTGCTCACGCCGGACGACGGCAGCGCTTGACAAAATTGGTGACTCAAGAACTCTCCACCGACGACTCTGCCAGCTCCGTTCCTACTGGTCTGTCTACCCAATCGGAGCAGGTGGACGCTGTTATAGTGCTAGATCGCGCCGTTGACATGATCACGCCGCTGCTCACGCAGCTGACATATGAAGGTCTCGTCGATGAATTGATCGGCATCAAGAATGGTACGGTGCTTCAGCAGTCCATGACTTGCGCTATATGTCTAACCACCTTACGACAGGTTACGTTCAGCTTCCTGCCAGCCTGGTTTCGCCTCCATCCAATTCGGCGGCCAACGCACCTGCGGCATCCACTTCCACCGCTGTTCAGACCACACCTCTGTCAAAGGAAGCGAAGAAGAAGTACCAGCTCAACGCAAAGACAGATCCGCTCTTCGGCGAACTGCGCGACGTGAACTTCAGCGCGGTGGGAAAACGTCTGAATAAAGTGGCACGGAGGCTCGAAGAGGATTACCAGGTAACAATGTTCGAGCGTTCTGAGCGATAACACTGGCGGGTCTAAAGGCTATGCGCAGGCTAGGAAGCAAGCGAAGACCGTCACCCAGCTGAGGGACTTTGTGGGGAAGCTGGGAGGCTTGCAGACTGAGCGCCAATCTCTAGAAATTCGTGCGTAGGATTGGCATAGTTTCCTCGAGTTCAGCTGACGCACAGGCAGATACGGGGCTGTCTGAGTTGCTCATTCCGCTTACCCGCACACAACAATTTAATAGGTCTCTCGAAATTCAACAGAGTCAGTTCACTTTCACTCGTTTCATCTTGCGCCAGCGGGAGTTGACTAGCACCAGACCTTCTTGCATCGTATGACGTGAACGGACAGATCAATGCTATAGAAGATTTGATCGCACAAGGCGCTGATATGCAAACCGTACTGAGGTTGCTCTGTCTCGCCAGCATAACCGCTGGGGGTATCAAGGCAAAGACTCTCGAAAACATCAAACGAGAATTTCTTCAGGTCAGTTGCATGTTTTCGGCATGGATAAGGTATCGTAGTTGATCTCTGGGAGCAGGCGTACGGGTATAACCTCCTGCCGTTGCTGTTATCGCTCGCCTCTCCATCTCTCGCAATGCTCTTGCCGAATCCGCTTCCACCAACCCTCGCCGGGACAAAATACCCGTACACAACGCTACGGAAATCATTGCGGTTGATGAACGATGATCCTGACGCGCCAGAAGAACTGGAAAACGACATTAGCTACGTGTACTCGGGGTTTGCGCCGATCAGCGTGAGACTGGTGCAGTGCGTGGCCCAGAAAGGCGGGGTGCTTAGCAACCCCGCTTCAGACAAGGACAAGGACGGTTCTGCGGCCGACGGCGGAAAGAACAAAAGCGTTGGTCAAGTGCAAGCGCACCCCATCGTCGGTTGGAGAGGGTTCGAGGACGTCGTGGCCAGCATACCGGGCGAAACTGTGGACGTTACGCAAACTGCGCACGGCGGGGATGGTGCGGTGCCGCTGATTCCCTCCATATGTAAGTGTCCCTTCCTTCAATGTGCCGAAAGCTGTCGCTGAAAAAGGTGGGCTAGCTCAAGGCCCAGAGCGGACGAGGACCACGGTCGTCTTTTTCTTGGGCGGCTGTACGTACACGGAGATAGCAGCGCTACGCTGGGTCGGGAGGCAGAATAGAGGTAAACGTTCGCTCTTATTTATCATCCTTCCTTTGCTTGACCATCAGACAGGCCGTCGGTTCCTGATAGCGACGACGGGAATAATAAGTGGCGGGTCCCTCGTGAGCAGTCTGGGCGGCACGGCACAAACGGGTGCGCCGGCGGGAGGTAAGGACGCGGCACTGTAGGCATGTGAGAGGCCGCGTTCGTTTACCGTACAGAGCCTCATTCCTGATACGCATTGGAGAATCATGATCTTGCTAGTTTCGTGCGCATTTGGCCTAGTCGTAGCTAGTCTTCGGGGTCCTGGTAGAGACGCGCTGTCACGGAATGTCACGCGGGAAACACAATCAACCGAACGCGGTCTGTTCTTCGTCCACGGCGACCTGAGAGACCGAAGAGAGAAGGAATTTTGCGCCAGCAGTGCCAAAGACAGGGAACGTACCCGCATCGTGAGTGGTTTGCAGCCTCTAAACGCTCAGTTTGAGAGGGGATTGCGTGCTGGAGTGTGGTTCAGGGATGGACATCTGACGGCTTCCCGCAACGGGGGTCCCCGGGGCGAAGCGAAGCGTAGATGAGATCTGGTTGGTCAGTCACGGTGTTCACGTCAATTGAATTCGTAGTAAAAAGCGGCCGACCAGAAACCATGCACCTCATCTCTCTTTGCCCCTTACCCTCATAAACTCGCAACACCTTTCTGTCTCCATTGTCTTTGTAAGTATTGCATTTGGTCCATAACATGTACTACGCCCCCCCGCTCACTTTACTTCTCCATAAAAACGCGTCTTTGACGCGTTTCAGGTCGCGTATGTCGCTTGACGCGTCTCATTGCCCCTATCACTAACGCCCGCGTTTAACAGCTCAATATAATACGCTATGGCTCGTGCTGGAACTCAAACAAAGACCGCCGACAAGCCCGCAAAGAAGAGTACGCAAAAGCCTTTTTGATATCCATTGAGACTGACTTCGGTGGTACTCAGAGACATCGACTGGAGGAGCCAAGAAGAAGCTCACGGCATACAACAAGTTCATGCAGAGTGAGATGGCCAGGTTGAAAGAGAAGGAGCCGGAGCTCGAGCACAAGGACCGGTCAGTTCTATTCGTTACTTCATGTTCCAGTTGCTCATCGCGTATAATGCATGTACAGCTTCAAGAAGGCAACTTCCAACTGGAAGACCTCTAAGGAGAATCCGAAGAATGCATGAACATCACGACCACTACCTGCTGTCAATCATCTCTCTGGACAGTTCATGGTTCTTTGAAACGCAGATGCCTTCCTTCGATATTCGCTTCGCATCTGTCCCGTTTCATGTCTCGATGCTTAGGCTACCACCTTTGCTTTTCCCACTGTATGCTTTGCTCTATATTTCCCTATCATTGCTCTGATCGTTCGTCGTAATATTATGAGTATGGTTAAGTCGATTTATCAATGAAAATATGTCACGCTGCTACCGTACTGGCATGAAAGTATTTCACTATGATGTGCAATGGGCTCGGCAATGATCAGGAAGAGTCAACGAACGAGATATACAGACCCGCGTTTACTGTACACCATCATACATCTATTTTACATGAAATACATATGGAACGAATGCTGCTGCTACACTTTCTGCAATTACAAGGCAGGAATCAATCTGTTGTCGACCAATGAAGAGTTATGGGGATGCCACCCAATGCGTGACCGCTCCCTCACATTACTATACAGCCCTCACGATCGTTGAGATCGAGAAATGTCGGGGAGACCGTACCGTTCCGCCTACCTCCTGGCGACCACCACCTGGTGCGAGTCCCATCCCTGCCGATTGTAGAATCACCATCGATACTGCCATCAGAATTGTTGATGTTCCGCCTCGACTTGCCCTTGCGCTTCTTCTCCCTCGCCGCCCTGACTGCATCGACCGTTTGCCACGAGTAAAATGTCTTCAAGACCACCCGTTGTTGGTCGCATTCGTCTTGACCGACATCCAGGCCCTCATCGTCCCTCTCATCCAGGAACCCGAGTTTCCTCGCATCATATCCCCGCCAGCCCATGCGAGGTCGGGTCAGGGGCGTCAGATCCTTGACATCACGTTCGGCAATGTGACGACAGTCGACCGCCACCAACTTCGCGTCTACCGTTTGACGTTGACGAGACAGTCGGACAAACTCTTGCATAACCGACCGAGAGATGTGAGTGTTGTCGGCCTCGAGCACGCGCAATTTGGTGCATCGCCGGATGAGGTTGAGCAGAGCCTCGTCCGTGACGGCGGATGCGTACGAGATGATGAGATGCTCAAGCCGCTCGCCTGTGCGTGGTGGGGATGTCGTTCCGGTCTTCTGCGATGAACCCTCGGCATCGGGTGCGAGGGCGTCAATCAGATTGTCCGTGACCGCAGAGGCGTCCTCTAGGTCAAGTTTCCTGATGAGAGGAGTCGTCTTCAGAAGGTGGATGAGACCCTCCTCTTTCAATTCAGCGCCGATGCCGGCGATTTCGAGGAACTCGAGTCTAGGAACGGCATGGGCAAGGTTCGAACAGGCAACATCCGTCAACCACATGCAGGATGAGAGGTTGAGGTGGCGGAGTGCTGTGACACGTCTCCTATACTTCGCGGACTCGGTTGGATCCCGTCCTGCCTCTCGAGGAGTGAGCAAGACTGAATGCTGTCCATCAATGTCATCATCCTCCGAAACCTTCACGAATGCAGCGATCGCTGAGTTGTGGAGATGCCGAGCGTAGCTAAGGTCGAGAACCTCCAGATTAGGCGCAGCCCTCCCGAGAGCCTCCATAACGTTGTCGTCCACGAAGTTGATGCCAGACAAACGCAGCTCCCTCAAGCGCAAACGCTCCCCTCGAATGATAACGGAGTCCGACATTCTTCGGATGCCGGCACCACTAAGGTTCGGGCATCGGCTCATGTCGAGCGACATCAACGCGGGACAATACACGGCGAGGAGGTCGCAGATGAAGTCCGTCACCGCCGCAATACCTTTGACGCAGAGATGCTCCAGCGACGGGGAATGCATTAACAGGTTTTGCAACGATCTGGTCGTCAATGACGAACACCCGAACAGTTTGACGTGAGTGAGTCTGGTATACGCGACTCCTGTGATATGCGCAGGGCGAAGAGAAAAATGATCCGTCACGGCCTGGAGAGTAGAAGGAGATAAATGCGCATGACCCGATAGATCCACTCTCGTAGTAAACGTGCCGGCCATCTGCGCCACGCGCAGTAGTGCAGACGCTGTTGTTTTCGAGAAGGAATGGAAGTCGAAATTCTTCCAGAGGGCCCCATCGAACACCAGTGATTGCCAATACTTGGAAACCTTCGCAATGATAACCGCGTTAACAGGGTCTTTCTAGGTAAGCTGGAAGCTCCACTCACCCTGCTGAACTTGACCAGCTCACGGATTCCCTTATCCCTGCCCATATATCTATACTTCGGAGACTCGGCCCTGCGAACACTCCATGTTTTACCTCCTTCCAGTCTCCTTCGTTCCATCTCGTGAAGATCGACAACAGTGGACAAGACATATAGCTGCAACTCTCGGGGAAGCCACTCCTCGAAGTAGTTGTGAACTGGAACCGGTACAGGGACCGAGACTTCTGCTGCTGGTACTGATAGCAAGGGAGATTGCGCAGCCGACAAGGGAAATGGAGAGGAGTAAGAGCGAGTCTTTCCCTTCAGCACAGCAACTTCGTGGGAAGGTCGATAAGGCGGATAGGGAGATTCGCCAACGGACGTTATGAGGCCTTCAATGTTAGGGCTGACCCTGAGGTCTCCGATACATGGTGAAAAGCAGCCCCCGCCGTGTCCTACTTCAATCGTGAAGGTGTCGTCAGGAATCCCTTCAGGATTGACGATCTCCGGAGAGCCTGGAGTGGAGGTGGCAAGATTCGACGGGGATCCGTAACCTTTTGGCCTCCCAAACAAGGCCATCCTGGTTGTACCCGATTTCCGGGACGAACCCAGCTTCACGCGAATCTTCGACAGCGACAGCGCTGACAAGGAACGAGCGGAATGTATCGACAAGTCGGAGAGTGATCGTCTGTGGCGGGGGATGGAGGGCTGACAAGGGCTTCCGGGACTACTGGGGTGCTCTTCTGAGGTAACAGGGTGATGAGTGGACAGATAGCCGGAACCCACGGATGAAGGAGAGGGACCCGATGCGCTAGATGGACTCGGCCAGTCGATACGACCGTACCCAACCTCCATTGGCGTGAAAGCAAGAGGTGGAAGAACAGGTGGATCCTCCGACCGCCCCTTGCCTTTGCCGATTGAGACGGGCGACGACGCTCCAGCCATCGGTAGGAACGCTTCCTGCTCTTCGTCAGCAGACGATCCCTGGATGAAACAGGAGTTGTTGGACTCGTGCGACGAGAAGAAGTCGGGAAATGATGAGTTGGACATGTCTGCCACGGGCGAGTTGAGCTCCGCATTTAACGTGGAGAAGACATCGTCCCCGACATCCGATGGTGCCCTCCTCTGTACCGCCTTGCCCTTGCTGTCCATCGTTGCCTCGGATGCCTCTACATCCATGTCATAGACATAGGAGATGTCGCGCGTGGTAGAACTGCCTTCTGCGTGAAACATGGGTAGGATCAAGGGAGACCATGTGTAGTGATAGGCCGACGACGAGGGCAGCTGCATCTTGGGCGCCGCTGGTGGAGCACTACGATCCGTGGAGGCCTCAAAAGGGTCAAAGTGGAAGAGAGGGTCCATGGGCTCGTTATCGATAGGACGTCCTTGAGGCTGGTTCATGGCGGAAGCAGCGCGTTCTCAGCAGGAGCCGGGCGGACAGGCGGGAATGCTCGCAGTTTGGGAACCTGGGCGTGAGATCGGTGCTGGATGGGAGATAGCCCAGATGGCGTTGACAACGATCTCAGGATTCACATCTAAATCGTAGCCGGTGTACAAAGCTGGATTGTCGCGCTCAGGAGGGGACGACGAGGGGTTGAGGGCCCGGGTAAAGCAGGCCCGGCCTTCCGCTGAGAGCACGTGAGATAGTCAATGGGATATTTCAAGCTGTCGCCGAGTCTTCGAACGTCGGGTCGAAACCAGCGCATCAATAGACATTACAAGAAGCACTATTGCGCCATGATAGATATACAACTCTTAAATATCCTATAGCACGCCCAGGACCTCGTTATCGGACTTGGCCTGCAGGTCCGCGAGGATCATTGGCCGATGAGACGAAGTACCAGATATAAGGTCGATCCGATGAACCGGAACGCAGCCAAACCAGCAACTGCGAGCGGCGAGATCAGGACAGTTGTCTTAAGCAGCGAGCAGCTCATACGCACGAGAATAGAACAAGAACGTCAGGTAGGGGTTGAACGCCGAGTTATCACTTTTGTCAACGTGTTCCTGGACCCAGTCGGTGAATGCGGTGGATGTGAAGACGAGGATCATGGCACTGTCATGTATGTCAGAGTGGATATCTACACTTCATGTTGCACTGACATGTTGGTGCCAAACCAGGCGAGCACGACGTTCGTACGGCTGTTGCGGTCATGATCAGCCTGTTTCGTCGCGGCGTCACGGTGTTCCTTCTGTTCTTCCGGTTTGTGCCGTAGAGAGTTGCGGGAAGCTTGCCAAAGCTGGTCCACGTCTTCACGGGCGGTAGGTACCTCGACCTCATAGACCTCCTTGCCATCTTCGCCTTTGACCTTCTTGGCACCACCAAGATCCTTGGCTGCACCGTTGTCTCCCTTGGTGCCCCCTGAACAAAAGGTGAGAAAAGGCCGAGCAATGACAGACGAAAACCGTACAGGAAACATCGTGAAGATTGCACATGGCGTACGTCACTGTGTAATATGAGCATCACGGGACAACATACGAACGCGAGGCCGTACTCAAGATATTGATGTCTAGCGAATAACGGCGTCAATGAATAAATTTATGATGTCAGGGTTCATCACCCGGTTGATCCACTCACAACTTGGAAGAAGGAACATGTACTGAACGAAAGACGTAATCATGTGCCAAGGCTCCAGATGCAGCAAGGAGCCGAAGAGATAAAGGCCGTACGTTCCAGCCAAGGAGATAGCAATGTCTCGGAATGCTTTGTTGTGTTCCAAAAGCCTGATCAAGCTGTCAATATCTGAGACCGTCGGAAAGGTTAAACGTAGGTGCTTACGAGCCAATGTTCTCCCACCCTGCCACAGTATGCGGGACAGCCAGATAGACGGTGTATCCAGCACACCAGAAAGTGATCATGTTACAGAGACCGAAGAGGACCATAGCGAGAGAGTACGTCCACTTCGAACCCTGCGGACGATTGCCAAGAGAGCAGACCACGACGACGAACAGGAGAGCGATATACAACTGAAGACTACGTCAGCTTAAATTCTCTCATTCTGATGTATTTGATCGTATACTTTGAGGAAGATTTCGAATATCTTGTTTGGTGAGATTAGTGAGGTTCGCATACGCAACTGCAACGGCGAACCTTGGTACCCGCGCCAGTCTGGATAAAGGAGAACGCATCCGTTTTCTTGTCCGAAGTAGCGGAGGAGACAAGCTGTCCAGTGGATGAGCCACCGGTGTCAACGCAGGCGAATGTCCGACTCACGAAGAAGAACGCTAGGTAGAAATTTGCTATCGATGTCCATGAGAAGACCAATTGTATCTGAATAACCAGAATTTCTTCAGTTCAGCCTCGTCAACGGGCAAGATGGGTCATTACCGCGTTGTAGATGAACTCGATTTGCAACGCGATCTTCCGGAAGAAGTTCTGGCCGGACGTCCATATCCGGAACCAGAAGACGGTGGCATGGATGGAAGCGAAGAGGGAGCCGTTGAGCCACCGACGACGCTGGGAAATGAACTGATAGAGTAGAGCGAGGTTTAGTCGGTGACTTGGCCTTTCATCGACTCGAGCGCGCATGCGCATTACTCACCTCAGGAACAGTGGTTGGCACATCGGTTGCAGCTTTCGCAGACTTGACGTATTTCAAGATCCAGCCTTCGTTCTTCTTCGTGACGATCTCGAAGCATAGAATACGATCCTCAGCGAGGTACATGTTGCGCTCTGATCAAACCGGTGAGTCATTCGCCCTTGAAAGGGATCAGGGGCGCTGGCTTACCGAACAGTCCTGCGCCGTTGGGACCACCGCCATGCATAGTCTCGCCCTTAAAATAGGACGCGAGCGGGCCTTTGCCATTGGGTCCATTTTGTAGCGCACGATAGCGGTAGGCACTGAAAGCACCGGGTAATACGCTGATGTACCCGAACACGCTCTCAAGCGGCTTGTCGAGGATATTCGAAATCTTGTACTGTTCAGAACGCAGTTAAATTCCGAGGCGAGCGATCATAGTGGTGAATCTCCATACGAACCTCGAAGTTCTGCGAAGCGGCCAAAGGGCTAGTAAGGAGGAGGCTGCATCCTCGTCCGGTGTCAACACAGATTCTATCCAGGTCATTAGCAAATACTCCCAGGCCAGTGATACTCAATCTTACTCTCCGCAAGCACCACCAACGTTGGAATGCTTGTCAAAGCACTTCCACAGTTCGTAGATGGATGTGCCGGTTGGCTTGGTACCGACATCAAGAAGAACGCACACTGATACGTGATGATCAGCTGAAGCGGTTCATCATAGTACGAATCCATACCATTGGGTTGAATCAATGGACCGAAGGCGTTGAAGAACCAGCGATGACTATTGAGCTTCTTCTTGTTCTGTTCCTTGAGACAGAAGATAACTTGCACCGGGCAGGCTCCTTGCGAAACCTCGCCGGTATCTGAGACAATAACACTGGTAGTATACCTAGCAAAAAATCAGTCCACGATCATCACAACCAACATTTGCACGCACTCGAAGATGTGCGCTGTGACATCCTTTCCAGCCACCGAGTCTTTCGCAACGCCTTCTTGGTAGCAGCCCATGAGTGAGAGGACTTGCAATGTCCGCTTGTTGATCTTGCTGCGGCCGTCCGACACGACGCAAACGACGACCTTCTGCCAGCCCTGAGGTCCCCACGTCTTAGAGCGCGTGCGACCGCACAAGTGTGCGATGTTCTTTATAACCCTAGGTGGATGTTGGAAGGCGCATATATACAGCCAAGCGCTGCATCTACTCACGCGTTCATGGTCTTGCAAAATAACACCTCGTCTTCATTGTACATCGTGAGCACGATGAACAGCTCGGTCTTGCGTCCGTACAGATAAGGGCGGAGGGAGTACTTGGAGGACATGAAATCATCAGGATCACACGTCGCTGCAGTGTACCGCATCTTGGTGTGCTCTTCGCTATCACCGTATTGCTTGTTCACGATATGTGACGGCACCGCCATATCCAATACCAGGTTCCCATTATAGAGTTCGACCTTGCGAACCGAGCGACGCCTCATCATCTTGTCCCGTGCCGTCGCGTATCCGCCAGCGCTCTCCTGGCGATACATCATACCTGCTCTGCCGCCATATGCTCCGCCCATTGGGGGCGGGGGATAGTCGGGTTGATGCTGATACGCATTGTTGTTGTATGGCATGGAGGGAAGAGGTGGAGCGGCCTCGCGCATCTCGTATTCGTTGTGTGGATTGAGATGGACTTGCGAGCCCGCATAGGTGCTGGAATAGGACTTGGCGTCCCAGTTGGAATGTCCGTCCCCGGATTTCGACTCCCAATTCGCCCTCGGGTCGTGGTCGACGTACCCGCCTGCGGGTGCGTACTGGACATGATGTTGCCCAGAATGTTGGAAGACTTGGCCCGGTCCTACACCAGGTCCTTGGCTGGGTTGCTGTTGATAATAGGGATCACGGTTGTAAGCCATGATTGCTGGAAATGCTCGGGTATAGATTCGAAGCGAGACAGCCTTCAAATGTGACTACAACCGTTTGGGTATGGGTATAGGTCCAGAGCGAGTGGACGCCTGTCGAACAGGCTGAGCGAAACGAAGGAGAAACCGGGGCTGGGGGGGAGGGGGGTGGCAGCTGAGACTGTTGTTGGGTATCACCGGAAACGCTGATCTCACACTAAGGTGTTGGCTTGCCGTCCGTGGCTGTGCCAGCTTGGCTGCGCATTCGCCGGATGGAGAGAGGATCAATATCGACGGCAGCTATCGCACTCGAGACGTGTACTATGTCCTACGCGATACACCTCAGTCGAGACGGAAACATATATCGATCTCTGGGCAGTGTTGTTGTGGGGTTAACGTCGTTGCGGAGGCCAAAATCCGTCAGATGCGAATGTTTTGTAATAACAGTAGTGATAACTTAGTTGCGATGGTGCGTCATGCTGAGTATGTAGACTTCAATACACATGTGACGTGGGAGTTGAAGCTAAGGGGTCGGATTCCAGCAGGCTCCTCACCGAACAGCTGGCGAGGACGGCGCTGGAGTAGTACTGGTATAGCACCGAAGGGAAGGTCACAGGAGGGCCAGCGCTGGATATCGGAGAAACAGAAACCGGGCCCTGTGTGATCGATGGGGGCTTCATATCGATTCGAACCCTTCTGTTGACGTGGAGAAACGGCAATAACAGCTCGAAAACGAGGCGCTCGCAAGCAGCATAGGCGGCTTCCTATTGAACTGCGGTACGCGCAGTTTCGTGTAGTGACATAGACGGCGTGTATCACTGCACAAGAGTTGCAAGGAAAGCGCGAGGAGCGGCGAGGCCGGCCGCTGGACGAGAGCCGAGGCGGACACTCGCCAAACAGCTGGAGTTGCCGGAGAGCCAGGTATGGGAGCATTGCCATCAAGGGACTGTCGCTGACTCAGCATTGTGGGCCAAAACCGATCCGATTGTGAATTCTCACGTGTTCACCGCCCTTGTTGACCTTGTTCCTCTGCGGCCTTCCTCTCTCAAGCCCCGCTCTCCACTTCCACCCTCGTCTTTGCTACTCTGTTTCATACTTGTGAGTGTCTAGCTGTTTAGCTTACGCAGGAGCGGTCGATGTGCTTGCGATGTGCTGTTGGTTGGATTGCGGGCGCCTTGTTGGAGACCAACGTTCAGGTGGCACCACGGTCTGCAGAGATGACGAACAAGCCCTAGGTCCTCCCTTGTTACGCTTCAGAGCGGACTCGGACTAGCTCTTTGTCTACCTCCGCGCTGCACTCCGGGCATTTTGCGTAATCCCTACCGTACTTTGATCCGCACGGTTGCCTGCCCTCTCGTGCTGTATAAGGTCGCACCGCCTCCGTAGCGCCTGCGTCTTCCGTCTCGCATTGCTCCCTCTCACCCACCACATACTGACTTCCTTCTAGACCTCATACTCTTCCTCTCCTGCGATAACAATGGCCGACTCTTCTTCTCATCGATTGGACCTCCGTGTTGGCGGCAAATACAGGCTCGGAAAGAAGATTGGTTCAGGATCGTTCGGTGAGTCGTCATCGCTCTTGAAGTTCCGTATAGCTCATCTTGTTACCTCTAGGTGACATCTATCTTGGCATTAACATCATATCCGGCGAGGAGGTTGCCATCAAGCTGGAATCGGTCAAGGCTAAGCACCCTCAGCTCGAGTACGAGTCCAAGGTGTACAAGACGCTCGCTGGTGGCGTCGGCATCCCGTTCGTGAGATGGTTTGGCACTGAATGCGATTACAACGCCATGGTCCTCGATCTCCTGGGGCCGTCGCTCGAGGACCTCTTCAACTTCTGCAACCGCAAGTTCAGCTTGAAGACTGTGCTACTCCTCGCCGATCAGCTTGTGAGTCGTGCAGAAGGTCCGCGCGCGTCGTTCTGCTGATGTGTCTATGTAGATCTCCCGCATCGAGTACATCCACTCTCGTAATTTCATCCATCGTGACATCAAGCCCGACAACTTCCTTATGGGCATTGGCAAGCGCGGCAACCAGGTCAATGTCATCGATTTCGGTCTTGCCAAGAAGTTCCGCGATCCGAAGACCCACCTCCATATTCCCTACAGGGAGAACAAGAACCTCACGGGCACGGCTCGCTACACATCGATCAACACCCACTTGGGTGTCGAGCAGTCTCGTCGTGACGATCTGGAGTCGCTGGCATATGTCTTGATGTACTTCCTCCGAGGTGCCTTGCCGTGGCAGGGTCTCAAGGCTGCTACCAAGAAGCAGAAGTACGACAGAATCATGGAGAAGAAGATGACGACCCCGACTGATTTGCTATGCCGTGGCTTCCCCAATGAATTCGGCATCTTCCTTAACTACACCCGCGCTCTGCGCTTCGACGACAAGCCCGATTACTCTTACCTCCGCAAGCTCTTCCGCGACCTCTTCGTCCGCGAGGGCTTCCAGTACGACTATGTCTTCGATTGGAGCGTCCAGAGAGGTGCCCAGGAGGAAGGCAGTTCCACCAAGGCTGCTGCCGGAGGACGCAGGAAGGTCGTCCAGGAGGAGGAAGAGCCGCGCACCAGCGACAGAATGTAGGTGAATAACCTATTTCTGGGCAAATTTGAAATCTAACCGCTCCGTGCAGGCTGCGCTCCCACACTCGCCAGCAGCAGCAGGCCGCTGCTGCTCCCGGTGCTGTTGGCCAGCAGCGCCGCGGCAGGGAGGGCGATATGTGGTAAATGTGCACCGAGGCTGATGTGTGCCTTTGTCTCATATGCGCGCGTCCCGAGCCTGGGGGTGGAAGGAAGAGGATTCGCGTCGGCTTGAACTGAAGTGATCGAGCCAAGATCTGCTTCCATGGTCTTCACTCGTGCAGGGTCACAACGAGGCCCGCCGAGAGAAGGATTGCTGGGGCATGCCGGGCTGGAGCGCTCGCCGTGGCTACATTGTTTTTAGGGGCTACAACTGAGCGGGTCATCAACACCGTCATCGGCCGCGCACTCGAGGCGAACGAACGAACGAACAATACGCGCTCATATTCAGGCGTCGCCTCGGCCCGGTTCTCGACGTTTGTTAGCGATTGCACTTCCGAATATCGAGCACGGACGCTCTTTCTTTTCAGGCCTGTTTCCCCTGCCTCGCGCAAGGGGTGCATGGCTGCTTATTCCTTCATCGCCATTGTGTTGTGTCCCCTTGCGCCGTGTTGACCGGAAGTCGCCTTGTCGTGCTGAGTTCCCTTCTACTTGTAATATTGATCATCGCTTTCCATCTCCACCATCATACGCACTGCGACGTGCATTCCAACACTCACCACACCCTCCTTACTGTCTTTGCTCCTATCCTCCCCATCCTCACATTCACGCCCTTCGTTATGACTTCACTTGCGCCCCCACTTGTCGGGCATCTGGTGTCGAGAATGAAGGAATACCCATACAGGACAGTCACAGTTTTGGGCGACGCATGTTGGCCCCATGATTTTCATCAGTAGTCGCGGATATCGTCCTTGCCATCGTTCATCACTGTATTGGATTTAATAGACAGGAGATGTATTCCCGTGTTTTGGGACCCTACGTCCCGCAATGATAAACGTGTCTTGGTAGCTGCAACCGCGAGTACACAGCTATCATGGATCTACGAATGGCATGAGGACCATAACGTCACCAGTGCACCCAACGCGACTTAACCGTGACCGAGACGTCTCAACTTCAATCCTGCTGCCTCATGAGCAGATAGTTAGCATTCGCTCGTTCCACGCGCTTACTCCTTTGCACCGACACCACCAATATGGAGTCCGCCCATGAAAATCCCGGCGGCGTCCACGCCCATCCTGTTGTTTCGCTCATTTCGGCATGCTTTTGGGTCATCTGTGCGTGGCTCGCGAGAAAGCTCTTGGTTGTAAGCACTAACTGAGGTCTAGTATGGCTGCTGTCGTGGATCAAGTCCCTGGCTGCCATCGTGACCATAACACTCCCTCGAACACTATACGCGATCGTGTCCTACTCAATGACATTAACGGTATGCGATGATTCAGCCGTCTTTCGCGCCATTGTTGACAACTATCCGCAGCTCAACTTCTGGTCATTTGCACTCATGTTTGTATGCTTGGCCGTTGCGCTCAATTACTACGTGCGCTGGCGATATCTCGACGTTTATGTGCAACTGCAAGAACCCCCTCTGGCCAAGGCGACCGCGGAAGAGCTTCACCCAGATGTCAATGCCCCGCAGGCGCCTCCTGCTTTCCACAATTACCTTGACGAATTTCTGCAAGCCGTTCGGGTGTTTGGCTTCTTGGAGAAACCGGTAAGCACGCGGCGTGACTACGAGTTATCTGCCTGTGACCCGTAGCAAGCTAGGTGTTCCACGAACTCGCAAGACACCTCCAGACGCGCAGATTGATTGCGGGAGACAGTATCGCTCTGGACCAGGACAAGAGCTTCTATTGCGTAGTGGATGGTGTCGTTCAGGTCTTCGCTCACACAGGACAAGCCTCCGAAGCTCCGTCTGGTGCATGGGACGAAGAAGATATGAATGGATATCAACTGGTAAACGAGGTTGGGACTGGAGGAACGCTTTCGAGCTTGTTTACGATCCTGAGTCTGTTCACGGAGGATGTGAAGATCAGTTGGCAAGAGGATGATTCACAGGATGCTCTTCAGCTGGTCGGTCCGATGCAGACGGTTCGTCAACGATTCACGCGCGCGGACTCGGACGTTTCGCACTTCAATCTTGAGACGGACGCGCACAAGCGTCGGTTCTCGACCATGTCAAGTTCTTCGACAATTCGTGGCCCGGGACTTCCGGAAACCCCGATGGCGGAAGTTCCAAAAGCGAGGGAGAGTGACAACTTTGCCTCACAGGATCGTTCCACCCCATCCACAATCCGAGGCGACGCACATTATGGTATGGTGGTTCGAGCCACAGAGGATGCGACGCTAGCGGTCATTCCTGCAGAGGCATTTCGCAGGTTGACGAAGAAATTCCCCAAAGCCACAGCACATATCGTGCAGGGTAAGGCGAACGTGCACTTTCAGCAACCAGTTTCTGATCAATGATCTAGTGATCCTCACTCGTTTCTCCAGGGTGACGTTCCACGCTGCGCATCGATACCTTGGTCTCACCGCCGAAGTACTAAGGACGGAGAAAGCCATCAATGAGCTGGCATGCCACCCACTTCCTCCATCATTCTATGAAGGCGGAGGCTTGCAAGAGCTTCGACATCGATTCGACGTGAAGCTTGACGAAGGGGATGCAGAACTCGATACCGATTACTTCAGTTATGGACATGCGTACACCGACTCTCCGGGTACCCTTCCTATCGATATAGGATCCAGCAATCTCAATGGCATTAGTCGGACGTCATCTGAGTCGACCAGCATCCCTAGCCACGATGTCACAGACCGGCCTTCGAGTTCTACCCCTGCACTGAGGAGGCATTTATCTCGATATCTTGTCCAGGCCGGGGACTTGCATAGCACTGGTTCGGGAAATGCCAATTATCGACCTTCCGGTAGGAATAATAGGAGCACACCACGTGTACCTCAAAGCCAACTCCCGAGATCCCACGCAGCGCATAAGAAGGGCGCGCAAATGGAAGGAGGAGACGATGATTTCGATCTGCGCGACGAGGTCATGTCATGCATCGCAAAGTCCATTGGCCTTCTCCAACCACCTTTGAGCGGGGAAGCATCAGGGCCCACGTCGCCCGCTTTTCCTCCTACCGAAGGAGGAAAGTCCCGAATGACGCCCTTCCCATCTTCTTTCGGATCTTTATCCCTGCTCGATATGGGCGATGACACATCAAGCATTACTGGAGGGACAGCGTCATCTGTTGTCGGTACCGACGGTATGAGTGGCCTGGACAATGAGGTGGAAATTCTCTTTTTTCCTGCCGGCTCTACTCTGGCACGCGCAGGAGAGAGGAACGCAGGCCCGTCGCGATCAAGCTCTGTGCCCTAGTCGCTCGCTGATACGCTCTCAATTGCAGGTCTGTTCTACGTCATTGATGGCTTTTTGGACATATATCTACCTAGCAATGAGGCTCGCAAGACGAGAAGCGAAGGCAAAGCCTCAGTGTCATTCGCGGATGGGTCGTCGAGCGACCACGCAGCATCTGGCCAAAAGTTCTCGGATGGTCGGCGGACCCGGGATGATAGGGATGGCAGTAAACCCTTGTTTACGGTGAAACCGGGAGGGATAGCGGGGTATCTGGGCGAGTGAGCTCTAGCAATCCCTTCTATTGCTTACTAACCCCCGGGTATAGCCTCCCTTTGCGACATGCCGTCGTACGTCGACATCAAGGCTAAGACAGATTCATACCTTGGTTTCCTTCCATCCAACGCTCTCGAAAGGTTACTAGAGAAGCGACCGATTGTGTTATTGACACTCGCCAAGCGTTTGATTTCCTTGCTTTCGCCCCTTGGTAATGTCATATACAAATGCCCCTTTCACGTTATCCTTACACTCCGCTCAGTTCTCCATATTGACGCCGCCTTGGACTGGACACATGTCGATGCAGGACACGTGCTTTGGAGAACCGGCGATGACAGCGACAGTTTCTACATCGTTATCAATGGCCGTTTGAGAGCAATAGCAGAGAGCGAGAGCGGTAATGTGACGATTCTTGGAGAATACGGCCAAGGTGACACAGTCGGAGAATTGGACGTGATCACCACCTCACCCCGGCGGAATACCGTGCACGCCATTCGCGACACGGAGTTGATACGAATGCCCCAAACGTTGTTCAACGCCGTTTCGTCTCGGTGAGCAGCGTGGATCTGTGTTCGGCTGATGCGTAAATTGCTGATCTATTTACCCCCCACCTGTTACAGCAATCCGAAGGCGACTACCCAGTAAGCCATTCGCCTTCTCCTCCTGCTGCGCATCTCAGTTACCTGTGCTCGTAGCCTCTTACGAACAATAGCGTCCCGTGTCAGGGAGGAACTCAACATATCTTCCTCTCCGCGTGAACCGACAGAAAGGAGCAGAGCAAACTCGAATCTGAAGACCGTTGCTATCCTTCCGGTATCTCGTATGGTCCCCGTCGACGCTTTTGCTCGGAAGCTCCATGCTGCGTTGGAGACTATGGATGCGCCTACCGCTTATCTGAATCAAGCATCGATGAGCAGCCATCTGGGTCGACATGCCTTCACTCGCATGGGCAAGTTGAAGGCAGCTGGCTGGCTGGCTGATCAAGAACAACGGTATCGTGTGGTCCTGTATGTGGCTGACTCTTCGGTGAGCAGCGCGTGGACCCAAACCTGCATTCGCCAGGTGAGTGGCAGTGGATCATAGAATATCACCCTTCTCAGCGAATGACCGAACAATGTGCTCCGCAGGCCGACTGCATTATGGTAGTCGGTATGGGAGAGGACCCCGGTATTGGTGAATATGAACGGCTTTTGTTGTCTCTGAAGACGACTGCACGGAAAGAGTTGGTCTTGCTGCATCCGTATCGCAGCGTTGCGCCAGGGAGCACTCGAACATGGTTGAAAGTAGGTCGCCTCCCTCGACGGACAGCTCCGCCCTCACAATCGAATAGAACCGGCCGTGGATACACCAACACATACACGTCGAGCTACCCGTGAGTCTCATGACTACACAAACCCAGCAGCAGATCTTAGACCAAATAGGGTCTCATTCTACCGCCTACGAAAGCTCCGTCGGCAACTCAAGACGATCCATCGGCCGTGACCGCTTTGCGGAACCTGAAAGACCGCGTTCAGAGCGAGTTCAAGAAGTACAGGGGTGGACATTCCGGTCCTCGACCACAGCGACCGCAACATAGCAGCGATTTCGCTCGTCTGGCGCGACGAATTTGTGGGAAGTCTATAGGTATTGTTTTAGGAGGGGGCGGGGCTCGAGGCATAGCTCATTTGGTGAACCACATGTGTTTCGAGAAGATGGTTGACCTAACTCTGTTGGTATCAGGGCTTGTTAAAGGCCTTGGAAGAGCACGCAATACCGGTCGATCATGTCGGAGGTACAGTTTCGGTGTCGTAGGCAAATGCATTCGAGCGCTCATGGAACAATAGGAACCAGTATCGGTGCATTCATTGGCGGTCTGTATGCTCGCGAAGGCGATTTGATCTCGAGCTCTGGTCGAGCCAAACAGTTCAGCGGAAGAATGGGTAATATCTGGAGAATGCTTTCAGATGTTACGTACCCCTTGGTAGCATATACTACGGTACCGCCAGCTTCGCTGAACGTGGCTAGCTTTGCTAACGACGCAATTTCAGGGTCACGAGTTCAATCGCTCGATCTACAAAGTAAGTCGACCGCGATACGCTCAACGGGACCGTTAACGATTCCGTCCAGGCGTTCTATGATCTCCACATTGAAGACATGTGGCTCCCGTTTTTCTGTAACACGTCTAATATCATGACATCCAGAATGGAGATTCATGAAACTGGGTACGCGTGGCGTTTCATCCGTGAGTTCGCGCCTTGAAAATAGTTCGTGTGGCGACGACTGAGCACCGGGATAATAGGGGCATCCATGACGCTGGTTGGCTTGTTGCCTCCGCTGTGTGACAATGGGAATATGCTTGTGGACGGAGGGTACAGTAAGGATATCTATTGTTCAACCATCACAACGAGGACTGATGGTTTTCCCCAGTGGATAATTTACCGGTTCGCCTCAAGGCAACCTATCCGAGCGCTGTCACTGACCTTATGACAGGTCTCCGCTATGTTCAGCATGGGCGCGAGCGCTGTCTTCGCGTGCGATGTCGGATCCGTGAGTTGAGGATTGAACCTTGGTTCCGGGCCGATGCCTCATATGATTCCTTAGATTGACGATAACTCGCCTCGTAACTTCGGCGATTATGTGTCTGGGTGGTGGTTGCTCATCAATCGATGGAACCCATTTTCGGATGCTCGCACCGTACCTGCGATAACGGAAATACAGAGTCGACTCGCATAGTGAGTCATGTCTGTACTCCCTCTAATGTGCATGGCTGACTGCGGGAAAGCGCGTCCGGCGTCCGTACTCTGGAAGAAGCGAAGGTTGCGCGTGGATGTTTATACATGCAGATGCCTGTGCATGAAGTAAGTATATCCTGCCCATGTCATCTAGACGCGATAATGACCGTCTATAGTACGGCACGCTTCAGTTCGGAAAATTCGAGGAGATCCAACGGAGAGGATATGATGCCGCATCCGACTTCCTCACCAAATGGGGACAAGAGGGACTACTGCCATCGATCCTCGCGGAGGGAGCTGACGCGATGCACAAAACCAAGAAGCAAGGCCGCCGCGAACGCCGCAATTCCATATGATATGGAAAGCGACAAGGCCATCGCGGTCTAATAATGACAATCGACTGCCGTCTCTCGCATGCCGCGCTGCGTACTGTAGGCAATGAACCCTTCAAGCAATGTGCATTACGACATGATTTTCCTAGCGTCAAGTGGACATTTTCTCTCAGGATACGACTTCTCGCGCGGCTGATATGGCATGGAAGCCCACAAACTCGGTGACTCGGAATGTGAAGTCGAAGCGCACCCTATATTCTAGGGAAACAACGCTGGCCCGTCATCAGCTTTTCTCGTTCACTGCTGTAGCATCCCTTCGCCTAAACGCACGCACGAGATCTTCCGCTCTCGGCCTGGTTATCTTAAGTTTCGAGATGTTGGACCCTATCACTCGTGGCTCTAGGAAGCTGTCGAGCTATGTGAATGTATATATAAGAGTTGTCTCTGACGAAAACACGCCTCCGTGACCTTGTGTGCTATTGCACCCTCAAATCATCGTAACTTGCACTTCACCGTGAATATACCTGCCTACCTAAGCTTTTCAATGGCATTTGCCAACCGTCAGCGAACGCGGACCTTCAAGCCACCCACTCCCCAGTGGGGCTATTTACCCCAATTGAATGAGTGGGCAGGCTCACGGCTCAGTATGATCAGAAGTATTTCTTCTATACTATGCAATGTAGCTCAATGAAATTACCTGACATAGGATGGCACATCTCCCACCAAGGGCCTCCCCACCAAACCATTTTTACAGCTACACCCATCTGTATGTCCTTGATATCTTATCATGTGAACTTGAAATTAATATTGGTATTTTTATATAGTCGATGGTGAATTGCTGACTGATTTTGCAGCCTCTGCCTATCAGAAGAAGGCTGCAAAAGAGGCTGCAGCTGCAGCCATGGCTCTCTCGGGCCATTGTGTGAATATGATGATACATTTCACCATGTTGATGAGCTTATTCACAATATCACATTAGTGATCAATCCCTCAGGATCTCGTCAACAGAACTACAAAGCCTTTCCCAACCTCCATGTTCCCTTTTCACCCTAAACACCACCATTGACAGCCTCTGAAGCTTTCATCATGAAATTCATGCAACATGAGTTCATGCACATGCCGCAGGCTTCTGTGTCTGCATTGCTACGAGTACTGATATCATGCAATATGTTTATGCAATTGTATGTTCTATGAATATTCAGATGTGTTTGCAAAGAGCATCCGTTCTCAAGACAGAGCCCACCAACAATATACCGTGATATATTCAGTACTTGCGGCGCCGAATTAAGGACTCCAATATTCGATTCCGAGAACCGGTTTACGGTGAATACAGAAGGTACGGGCCAAGTAGACGACTGTATTAGGTATAACGGGCTCGGAATAGTAAGATGCGCGCAGTGGTCGGAACATAAGTGGGGGGATGGATGAATGGATGGTCATGCTACAGTGACGATGCGATGGTCTACGTTCAAGCAGTATGCGATAATTATAAGAGTGTACGATTGGGGACGTGAACGCCGTTTTGAAGGCGAGGATGCAGAACGAAGGTTATTGCAGATGAGTGAGTACGGATGAGGAGCGTGGAGAGAGATAAGAAACGTAAGAGAACGGGACAGGGTTGCTTTATGCCATGAGGCAGCCGATGGCGACACGAACGGCGAGCGCGGAGACGAAGCCAGCGAGCAGAACGGGTTCCTTGCTCGCGGCCTTGCGCACGAACGAGATCGGCGCCAGGAGAGCCGCGGCGGCGATTGTCGTGAATCGTGGTGTATAAGTACACTCCGTAGCCGGGACGGAGGGGAGGTTCACGGTCATGGGCTTGACCGAGCGCCTGATGGGAGCAAGTTTTGACGGCGATGGCGAGGGAGGCTCGGACGGAAAAGCGTCTACGTGCACGTCAGACCGCGATATTCGACCGCCGAGAGAAGATAGAAAGGACGTACCCGAGTCGTCCTCGCCGGCGCTCAATCCGAGCTCTGCGTCCAAACGCCAGAGAGCTACGCGTTGCTCAACGGCCCCGACGGCGACGGGAATGACCTCCACACGCCCGCGCGGGGCTTCCCTCGACAGTCTGCATCCGAACTCGTCGAGCACGCCTTCGACCACGTCCCATATATGCACGCCGGACGGGGACTGGCCGGAGAGGTGGGCCTCGAGCCAGGCGTGCTTGTCCTTGTACGCGACCACCTCTTTCTTGTCCGGGGAGGCGGCGACGGCACCGGAGCCGATCTGGCCGCAGTCGCATCCGCCGCTGAAGTTGGACCAGCCCCAAGAGTCCTCGCCGAAGACCTCGCGGTTGTACGTGAGGCAGTCGGGGCAGAGGGACGTGCGGACGGCGGCTTCGTGGTCGATGAGCGCGCAGGCGGTCGCGGTCTTGAGGTCCGCGTTGACAAAAGCGGTGAGGTGGGATCGGATCTCGAGAAGGACCTCGCTGGGCAGAGACACGAGAGAAGCGGCCGGGGTCGGGGTCGCGACGCGGAGGGCGTGGCGCGAGCGGAGGGCGATGATTCGATCGAAGGTGACGAGCTCGGCGCTGAGGTAGGCGAGGCAGGCGTGCATGAGATGCGACGGGGAGACGGCGATGGTGTTTGGAGAAGACATGGCTGCTGGGGACCACGGTGAGGACGGGTCGGTGGGTGGGTGTGAGAACAGCGGAACGGATAGACTACGAGGATGTTCGTAACGGGTCGTAGGCCTGATGACGGCTGTCAGGCTGGGTGGGCGGCCAGACGGGGAGTCGTCGTGCTTGACAGAGGGGCAGCGCGGCCTCGGGAGGGTGGGGACGCCTATATATAACGAGAAGGGGCACGGCGAAATGATATGAGAGAGGACAAATATGTTGGCTGCTCGTCACCCGGCCGCTCTCCGTGCATGGTGATCCAATCAGGAGGACGTTCGCGCCTTTTGTGACGGCTTGGTGCGCAGATCCGGCGGCTTCCATTGGCGGCCTGCGTGCAAACCCCAGGAGGAGTCAGAGCGGCCCACCGCCGAGACGAAACGTGCAAGAATAGCCAACCGACAGACGCGTCAAAGCGGTAACCGCTCGCCCCGCCACACTCCCACGCCTCGCATTCCGCGCCGGCCACATTGCACAGGGACGACACCGGCGTGCATATATGCGCGCGTCCCACCGCTCGCTCCTATGGGTACGCTTAATCTCCGCGTGGGAGATCTCACAGGTTATTGTTTTCTGAGTAACTCTGTCTCAAAATACGAACGCTTCGTCCTCCGGTTCCATTTTCGGGTGGACAATGGCATCCTATTGTCCCGGCCGTGGGCATGCGATCCGTGATATGATAGTTGATACATGACCGTCCGTGGCCAATTGCCAATGCACCGACTAAGCGGTCGTCGTGCGCGGCGTGACAGCGGCCACGTTCTCGTGACGTTGACAGGATATTGAAACGCCGTCGACGCGTCGGTCCTGCAAAAAAAATTATCCTCGGGCAAGGTCCTGCCCCGTCCTGAGCGGAACATGACTGGGGCGTGGTGGCAGTGACGACGGCGACGATGTAAGTGAGTACAAGCAGAGTTGCTGCGTTGGCTCCGAGCTGCTTCTGCGCGCGCGCATGCCGGGCTCTCCGAGGACCGAAGGCACCCATTTTGGGTTTATGCGTGTACAGCAGTATACATGGATGAATGACTTCATTCGTCTTCCGAGTTTACTAGTCCTTACGCTACCGTACGTATGCAGAGCTTTCATATGTCGTGGGCTGCTCGCCGGATCGTTCGAGATGACTCTTCTCCCTCAACCTCGACGTTGCAGCCGGCGTCTTTCCCACGTTCATTCTCCCAAGGACGCTCATCTGCTGTCAACGCGAAGCTCGTTTTCGCAGGGTTTCCGGTCTCATCAACGGTCTCTTGGCTCGCCCGGACAGTTTGCGGAACGTCTCGGTACGCAGGCGTCGACGGCAACTTCAGTGCTGAACGGGCGAACCGTCGTCGTAAGTGAATGCCCGGGGCACATACATACATGCGCGCACACATCTGTCGATGCTCTCCCACCCATGCAGATAAGCATCCATGTGCGCCGATAATAGTCAAAGCTACGTACGGAGTTTCCGCGGACCCAGAATCTGGCTCTTCTTTATCTTCTTTGCAAGATGCTGTCAATGCAAGCCCTGAATTTACACTTATCTTTCGAGGGCTCGGCCGGCGTGCTATGACGCCACAAACCGAGCGCTCACCACGAATGCAGTCCTCCCATGTACATGACCGGTCAGACCGAGACCCCGGCCGGTTTCGGTCTTCATACAGCAGTCAGTCAACCATAGACTCATGACGCGCTCGCAGGCTGTCTTCGAAGTCCGGAAGCTCATCAGGCTGCCTGTATGTAGCCAATCTAGGCTACCACTCCCGTATACGGGCTCTGTAGGCTGAGCGCATCGGGGACACCCTCTCTATAGCCTCTCTCGGAATGGGCTGCGTTCGCGCCGCCTCTCGCGGACAAAGCTGCATGCGAAGACGAGTCAGACAGACCTCATGTACAGCTGCTGCTGCTGAAAACGCTTGCGCCCATGCAAATCACCATACGGTATCAGAGCGCCAATCGCCTCATCGATCCGCGAGGCGTTGGCTAGGCGCTCTCCTCACATATATAAACTGCGGCCTCTGCGTATGGATGACTTACGTCTTGCCCAGATCCACCCACCTTCCAAGAGGTCTGACGATACATCGATGTCTTCCTTCAGAGATCGCGTTGGCACCCAGATATTCACGGATCCGATTCCCCAATGGGGTTATTTCCAACAGGTCCACGAATGGGCCGCTAAAAATCATTTCACTCTGGGTACGCGGCTTCATTCTCCGACTCTATCTCGTGGTGCTCACTTAGTTCGTAGAGTGGCGATTCGACTGCAGTGGACCCCCCCACACGCCGACATACGTGGCCGTGCCCCTCAGTAAAGCAATTCAGTTGCGATCAGTTATCGCTCACCGAGCAACATTATAGTGAACGGAGAAGAGCTCTCTGAGTACCAGGGGATGGCAACAACCAAGAAGGGCGCCCGTGAGCTGGCTTCCAAGGCTCTGGCCCTATCTGGCCATTGCGTACGACCTCCTCTCTCTGTTTTTTGTGTTGACATCCCTCAATCTCGCCTTGGTAGTGAGCGGTACCGGTTCTCTTCAGATCCCGCGGTCCTGCGGGGCCTGATGGGAACCGGGCGTAAGGTCAACGGTAGCTGACCCTAGTTCGTCGATGCATTGGTGGCCTCGATGCATCGGGACTCGGGTGAGTCCATGTCCGGACTTGCGATATTCGAGGCTACGCTAAGTCGTTGTTGTCCCGCAGTGCCAGCTCCACGACCAGCGACCAGATCCGCGCCATTCAACCTCGGCGCTGGCCCGGCCGCTGGACATAATCAACCACTGGTCTCGTTTTGTACTTGTAATTGTAGCATTCGAATAGCACTCTAAACGCGAATGGAATAGCACATAAACGATACGTTGGCTTCACAGGTTCCATTGGAGATGAGCACGGAGAGGTCGGGACAGATAAGCAAGCGAACAGGTCCCCTCCGGCATAGGTGGAACTGGCCTAGTTGAACACTCAAGTTCAGCTGCTGAACTTGACTGTCCCGCAGAATCGACAGCTCCAGAGTTCGTGAGGCATGTCCGACTCTCCGCAGACCAGACAGGACCACTTCCGTTCGTCTTCGGGGGGTACACGCGATTGGGTCGTTTTCGGCTTCGCCGGATCCCCTCTGCTCCTGACCGGCCGGGTTGCACGCGGTGCACCAGCGAAAGGCGGTGAGTCGCACATCACGCATCGAGTGGCGCCGGAAGTATTTTCGAATGTACAGGACGGACAGTTCCATCCACTGCCGATCACAGCTCTCGGTTTGGGCCGAGGTGACAGGCAGGCAGTGCACTGAGAGGACGCCGGTGGATTGAGTAGGGTGCATGTGGGACAAGCCCATTCTCCATCGAGGGTGCCAGGTCCTGAGTTACGGCTGGCAGATGTCGATCCACCAGCCGCTGATGTAGCCGATGCCGTTGGTCTACGCGCGGCGATCTTGGAGGAACTCGGGGTTGACGCGGGTCCGTCAAGGATCACGATATCGTCATCGTCTTCTACGGTAAGGTCAATGTCGGCGTCAGTCGCGGCGCTCTCTTTTGCAGCTTTCTCAGCTTCCTGCTGGGCGAGCGAACCCTGGCCGCATGACACGGCATCTCTCGCCCGGCGTTCAGCGGCCTGTACATTGTTTACGACATGAGCCTATCTCAAGAGCTACCAAGCTGTAGAAGATGGTACTCACTTCGGCGGCCAATTCTCGGGGAGACATTCCTCTTCTGACGGCCGTCAGGTCGCCGCCGCCCAATCGCCTAGCGCCGGACATCATGCCTCCAATACGCGCCCTTCTCTCTGCAGCCTCCACGGCTTTCTGCCGTGCGAGATGCGGTGGCAGGTTGTGAGAGGTATTCACGCCCAGTCTATGTCCAAGTGAATAGAAGCCTTCGCCGGCGTAACCCGACCGCTTGAGCGCGTCGTATTCCCCTTCGAGTTCGGCCAGAAACTTGTAGAACTTGTCATCGTGTGGACCGTGGACGTTGTGTGTGAGCTGCGATGGCGCAATGGAATGATGAGTCGAGCGAAAAGAATGCAGGAAGATCGACGTACTTCATGTAGCAAAGTATGCACAAGATCGTCTTCATCATAGAATGTGTCAGGCGCCGAGGCGGGCCGTAGGCGGACCAAGATCTTCTGGCCTGCGTTGACATCTGTTCCTCCGTGTCAATCTCGCGTCGGTGGAGAGACACATATAGTTCACTCACTGAGACCTATGAACGAGCGTGTGACAGAACGTAAGCCACAGTGATGAACCGCTTGGCCAAATCCTGCAACTTGCCTAACAAGGACGGATTGTCGGGGAAGAATTCGGAGAGAACGGGCAGCTTCCAGCCATGCTTTCGCATAATCGGTTTGACGAGGGATGCGAGCCGTTTGAGCTGCTCCAGAGCTCGATCGGCTCTTGGCCGGTCTTTCAAATGCGTGAAGGACGCTACGAAAGTCTCGGACATCGTGCAATGGAGTCCAGTGACTCGAACAATCCAGAGCGGTACGGTTCAAAGGCAGACACGGAATCCCAAGATACTCGGGTACTTGAGCATGCGTATCGAGGCGGCTGATTCAGGACGACGCGTAAGACTCGTGGCTTGCGCAAGCCTCTGAAGGTTCTGGGCCTTTCCGGCAGTCCGTTCAAGTAGTTTGCATCGATTCCAGTCTTGCAATGCAGGATATAACGATCCGTGTGTGGTTCGGGTGCAAATGAGAGGCAAGCCCAGGGGTGACGGTCGCAAACGCGCCGCGGCGCCGAGTTCGCTGCGCCACATCCGACCACGTTGCGAAAGCTCTGCAACCAACGCTCCGCTACCACATTTCCAGCCAGCCATGGCTCTCGCTGGCAAAAAGGAGGAGGATAGCCTCATGAGCTCCTACTTCAACGATAAGACCACGATTATCCAGGAAGCTCGTGTCTTCAACGATTCGCCCATCAGTCCGCGGAAATGCAGGGCGCTGCTCACTCGTGTAGTCTACCTGCTCTATGTCGGCGAGACCTTCGGTACCCAAGAGGCTACTACTCTGTTCTTCGGAACGACCAAACTCTTCCAGCACAAGGATGTGAGCTCCAACCGTCGCGCCGACTATATAGATGTTCATCTCGTTGCAGAGCGCGCTCAGGCAGATGGTCTACTTGGCCATCAAGGAGCTGGCCACCACCGCCGAAGATGTCATCATGGTGACCAGTAGCATCATGAAGGACATGCAGCCCAACTCAGAGGTCATATATCGTCCGAACGCCATCCGGGCCTTGTGCAGGATCATCGACGTGGGTTCTCGTGCCGTCCCATACCTCCGTGTGATGTTCTCAAAGCGCATTTAGCCGTCCATGGCTCAAGGCGTGGAGCGGTTCTTCAAGGCAGCTATTGTGGACAAGACGCCATCCATATCTTCTGCAGCACTCGTATCGTCCTACCACCTGTTCCCCGCCGCGAAAGATGTGGTCAAACGCTGGGTGAACGAGGCCCAGGAAGCCATCAACCCTAAAAGTTCAGGCTCGCTCTTCGGTAGCAGCACTGGCGGCGGCTATCTCGGAGGCTGGGGATCATCCCCTACGCCGGCGAATTCTGGCTACCAGCCGGTTACCTCCACGAGCCATATCACACAATACCACGCCGTCGGGCTGCTCTACCTCATTCGCCAGCAGGACCGGATGGCTGTTACGAAAATGATCCAGCAGATGGGAGGCGGGCGAAGTTCATCCGGAGCTACGCTCAAGAACCCAATGGCGCTTTGCATGCTCATACGTTATGCTGCTAAGATCATGGAGGATGATCCAAAGTAAGTTGCCTCGCTATCGGATTCACGCGTTGCGTTGACTGTTCCCAGCTCCCAGAGACCCATGCTTGAGCTCCTTGAGGGATGGTTACGGCACAAATCCGATATGGTCAACCTAGAAGCGGCGCGTGTTATCTGTGATATGAAGGGGGTCACTCCGGCGCAACTCTCAAAGCCTGTTGCAGGTACGCCGTCGCGGCGAATCTTTACTTATTGGTATTAACGACGTCTGTCCTGTCCCTAGTTCTGCAGCTATTCTTGTCGTCACCTCGCGGCACATTGAAATTTGCTGCCGCGCGCACCTTAGCGTCCCTTGCTGTCAGCCATCCCAACGTGGTCATCCCTTGCAACCCCGACTTGGAGGCTTTGATTACGGATTCCAATCGGAGCATCGCGACCTACGCTATTACCACTCTTCTCAAGGTATGGTATTTGCAATTGATCTACCTTTCGTGCAACTCACGTCATTGCACAGACCGGCAATGAAGCTTCCGTAGATCGCCTTATGAAGCAGATCACAGGCTTCATGAACGAGATCAGCGACGAGTTCAAGGTCATCATCGTCGACGCTATCCGCTCGCTCTGCCTCAAGTTCCCGGCCAAGCACGCGTCCATGCTCGCCTTCCTCTCCGGCGTTCTCCGTGATGAGGGCGGATACGACTACAAGCGCGCGGTTGTCGAGGCCATTTTCGACATGATCAAGTTCATTGGCGAGTGCAAGGAGCAGGCGCTTTCTCACCTCTGCGAGTTCATTGAGGACTGCGAGTTTACCAAGCTGTCCGTTCGCATCCTCCATCTCCTCGGCCTGGAAGGACCCAAATCTCCGCAGCCAGCGAAGTACATCCGGTACATCTACAATCGTGTTGTGCTCGAGAACGCCACCGTCCGGGCGGCCGCCGTTGCAGCCATGGCGAAGTTTGGTGTCAATGTGCCGGACGCTTCGATGAAGAAGAGCATCGGAGTCCTCCTCAACCGGTGGGTCCCTCTTTTCTCGGTTCAGCCCTGCGACGACTAAGCGCTTCGGTGCCAGCTGCCTTGACGACGTCGATGACGAAGTACGGGACCGAGCTGCCCTGTACCTCAAGACTTTGGATGAGGAGCCATTAGCGCAAGCTTATGTCAAAGACGGTCCGTCCGATGATACATGCGCTGGACCAAGAACTGATTTGATCCCCCACAGAATCGACGTTCTCGCTCGCCGCGCTCGAGTCAAAACTCGTCGCGTATGTGAACAACAACAGCGCTGCCGATGAGCCTCTTGACCTCTCGGACATACCCAAGATCAGCCGCGAGCAGGCGGCGAAGGAGTCTGCGCGTAAGTCCGGTCTCTTGTAAGTTACGACACTCGCTGACGTACGGCCAGGCCCAAGCGCCCTGGAGACCGTCGCTGTCGCTGGACCGTCCCAGGCTGCAACCGGTCCGCCTCCACCGACGGCGGCCGAGGCTCAGTCTCAATACGCGCAACAGTTGGCGGAGGTTCCCGAGTTCGCGGACTATGGACCAGTGCTTAGCAGCACGAAATCGACCCCGCTCACGGAAAGCGAGACAGAGTATCAAGTATCGTGTGTCAAGCACATCTTCAAGGAGCACATCGTATTCCAGGTACGGTATCGGCAACGTCATGGCCATGTCCATGCAATCCTGACCGACGTTCGCAGTGCAACATATCCAACACCATTACCGACACGGTGTTGGAGAATGTGGCTGTGATACTGCAACCGTCCGAAGATTCGGGCCTGACGGAGGACTTTGTGATCCCTTTGCCGTCGCTTACCGCGGCTACGTCTCCCGGGCTCGTCTACGTGTCCTTCACGCGCGACTCGCCAGAGCAGTACGCGATGGCCTCGTTCGCCGCAGCGCTCAAGTTTGTCAGCAAGGAACTCGATCCTTCGACAGGCGAGCCCGAGGAGGAGGGCTACGAAGACGAGTACCAGCTGGAGGAGCTTGAGCTCGCCGCGGCGGACTACATCGTGCCGAGCTACTCGACGTTCACGACGGACTGGGAGCAGCTCGCGGACGCGGCGTCGGCGACGGAAACGTTCTCGCTATCCGCAATGGACAGCATTCAGGGTGAGACCGTCTTTTGCCGCACGTCGGATCGCATCTCACTCTCGGACAGCGGCGTGCGACTCGATCATCGAGATCTTAAACATGGAGCCGTTAGGCGGAACGCAGTCGCCCGCGAATCCGACGGTGCATACGCTGCAGCTCTCGGGGCTCGTTGCGGGAGGTGGGGGCAAGGTACTGGTGCGGTGTCGGATGACGTTTGCGAAAGGGCAGGGCGTCACGCTCGAACTGGGCGTGAGGGCGGAGAAGCAGCAGGCTTGCGAGCTCGTCGTGTCCGCTATCGGCGGCTAAAGACTAACGGTTGGCATTACGCATGTTTGCGTTCGAAGCGGAGTCGTGTTCCTATTTGGATTTGTTGAAACTGGATACATACCGGAAGGAGTTGTCGTTTCGTGGAGACCGGGGTTTGTCGCGCGTGGGTGGGGCGAGTTTAGCCGGGGTGTGCCGCGGTGGCGGATGAGAGCTGCGAGGCGAAAAGCGTCGGCGCAATGCGAACGCGACGCTCGTTCTTGGATGCTTGGCCGAGTGGCGTGCGGCCGACGCGGACTTGAGCGAGCGAGGACGACGGACGTTCACCCAATTGCGATGTAGTGTGCGATCCCAGGCCCAAATATCCTCGAGATTATCGTATCATGCGTCTCACTCGAGTCGGCTACTTGTAGGCCGTTCGAGCGCCTTTCCCCCCTGTCTGTGCTCCGGTCGTCGTGTGTGCTCGTGTGCGCTTATCTGCCTCGCAAAACGTTCCCTCAGAGAAACGACACTGTATCGTTGGCGATGGCGTCGACGTCGAACGGGTCAGGACTGCCTGGGCCAAAGGCTATTCATGTCGACACGCGCGGTGCGAAGATCCTCGTCGAGGAATCGCCCGAGGTGGGTTCCTTTCTACTGCGTGTTCGAGCTTTATCGACATTCTGCCGTCATATCACCCCGTCTGGCCGCCGTCTTTCCTCTCACTCACTCACTCACTTTCTCTCTCTGGGTGTGGTGTCATCTCGTCTGACTGGGCGGATATGCGCAGACGCGGGATAGCCGAGGGATCTATCTGCCCAACTATATCGAACCGGTGTCTCATATAGCTGTCGATGTGAGTGCGACCTGGAATTTGGCCGATGGCTCGGGCTCAACTCATGCGGCGCTACGACAGGTCGGTGGCTCGTTGGCCAAGGTCGTCTACTTTACCCGCTCGCCCGACCCACCTCCCTCGCCCGAATTGAACGGCCGCGTGAACGGGGCCGCATCGACATCATCCCAGTCGCCGCCCTCGTCGCCTCCGACGGCCGGCTCGTCCCTCGCAAAGCGGAACGGGGCGCTGACGCCGCTCGTGCTCGAGTCGGCGGCGTCGAACCCGCTGGAAGACAGCATCCGGAAGCGGCTCCGACGGCGGGCGTCGCTGCAACACTTTCCCGGCGGCTCGCTCAACTTTGCGCGATTCGAGACGGAGCACATCGGGGACTGCGTCGCGTTCGTGCGAGAGCTGATCCGGAGCAGCGCGGAGGTGAACGGGGTGAGCGAGGAGGCGATGCGACAGAGCGTGAAGATGGTCGCGACCGGGGGAGGCGCGCACCGGTTCTACGACATGTTCAAGGAGGAGCTCGGGGTGGAGGTCTGGAGGGAGGACGAGATGGAGTGTCTGATCGAGGGGCTCAAGTTTATCACGCTCATCCCGGACGAGGTGTATTACTTTTCGGACGTGCCGGAGAGCAGCGGCGGCGGCGCGAGCGGAGGGGACGGGGGGCTGGAACGACCGAGTCCGAACCCGCCCAAGTACGCTATCGCGTTCGAGCAGGATCCGACGTGGCAGTTGCCGTGTTTGCTCGTGAACATCGGATCGGGGGTGTCGATCATCAAGGTGGACGAAGACGGCTCGTTCGAGCGAGTGAGCGGGACGAGTCTGGGCGGTGGAACGTTGTGGGGCCTGCTGAGCCTGCTCACGCCCGCGACGTCGTTCGACGGTGGGGGCGCGCATCTGCGATCGCTGTGAAAGAGAAAACGGTGCTGATGGACGATCCTTATTTGTTTGCGCAGAGATGCTGTCGTTGTCCGAGCGAGGCGACAACGCGGCGGTGGACATGCTGGTGGGGGACATCTACGGGCAAGACTACGGGAAGCTGGGGCTCAAGTCGACGACGATCGCGAGCTCGTTCGGGAAGGTGTTCAAGAAGGGCGAGAAGCGTGCGTTCTCGCCGGAAGACATCAGCAAGAGCCTGCTGTACGCGGTGTCGAACAACATCGGGCAGATCGCGTACATGAACGCGGAAAAGTACGACCTGGAGCGCATCTACTTTGGGGGCTGCTTCATCCGGGGGCACGCGGCAACGATCGGGACGCTGTCGTACGCGATCCGGTTTTGGAGCAAGGGCACGAAGCGGGCGCTGTTCCTGCGCCACGAGGGCTTCCTGTGAGTCCCTCCGCTGTCTCGCGCGCGGTCGTTGGGCTGAGCGGGGGGTGCGCAGAGGATCGATCGGGGCGTGGATCAAGCACATCGGCCCCGGCGGCGACGAGGGGCGGCATGCGTAGGTGTCGCAGAGGATATCCGGTTGAGTAGATTAGGCTGGGCTCTGGTCGCCGACGGATGCTTCCGCGGCGTGGGGAAGGGCGTGGGACCGGTCGCGAGGCCAGACGCACGACGGATACGGTCATAGTGCGCGCACGTGGCGCCGTCCTGCGACGGCCAGAGGCAATGCACGCCGTTGTTGTATGTATGAGACAGAGACAGAGATAGCGGCCAGGGCAGTTCGCGTTCGCCGAGCAATCTGATCAGACACACACCGGCACATTCCCTTCGTGCCACGACCGAGACCCCCAAACTCTGAATTTTCCACCATCATATTACATTACGCCCGCCCACCTGTCATGCCTCCCCTCCCCTTCCCTCCAACCCCGACGACGCCGCCCTAATCAGCCTGTCCCTCCCCCGACCCTCCTTTCGCCCCGCCCCCTCCCTAATCTGCCCGATACCCCCTTAGACTAATCGGCCTCCCGCGCCCCCATGGATTCAACTCCCGAGTTTGCACCTCCCGCGTCTCCCGTCCAGGACTCGGACGCGTCCAAAAAGGGCCCCCGCCATCGCCACCGCCCGGACCAGGTCCAGCAGCTCATGGCCCTCTACGAGCGCGACGACCACCCGTCGCTCGAGGACCGCACCGCGCTCGGACAGCGCATCGGCATGTACGCGACCGTTCCAAACCTTATCTGCTACACCGCCTCACCGTCCCTCGTTGTTCTCGAAACGCAGGCCCACCAGGACGGTCAACGCCTGGTTCCAAAACAGGCGCGCCGCCCTCCGCAAGAGGGCGGAACGCGAGTCCTCGCGCGCCGCCGTCGCCCCGACCGCGTACCACGTGCCAGCGCACCCCGGCCACGGCTCGCTCGCCCTCTTCTCGCGCCCGCCGTCCCCCGCGCCGTCCTCTTACGCGTACGATGACGACGACGAGGGCTCGTATACGACCTCGGACGAGCTTCCCCGCCCCAACCAGCGCATCGTCCTCTCTCCCGCGCCCTCCGCCTATTCGGACGACAGGCACACGTGGCAGTTCGCCGACGACGCGGCCGCCGGTCTCGCCCGCAAGGTCCGGAATCGCCCGACGCAGGCCCAGCACGACGAGCTCCGCAACCTCTACAGCGCCAACCCCCATCCGTCACGCGAAGAGCGCGAGCGTCTCGGGGAGCGCATCGGGATGTGCGTCCGTTTTGGCTATCAGACTTTTGCATTTCGATCAACGTTCTGATCTTATCGGCGATGCAGGCGCTACCAGAGCATCACGAATTGGTTCCAGAACCAGCGCAGCCTGGCCAAGAAGCGCCGCGAGGACGAAGCGTCCGACGTTCGCGAGCGAGAGTACGCCGCGTTCCCGCCCGCGTCGAGCCACCCATCCCTGAGCTCGTCGTCCCTGCTCGCCCGCTCCGAGTCGCTCACCTCGATGCACTCGCGCTCTCGTTCGCCGTATCCCTCGACGGCCTCTAGCCAACAGGCGCGCCCGCGCCGCAGTCGACCCGAGCCGTACCAGCTCGACGCCCTCAAGGCGTTGTACGCCAAGACACCGAATCCGAGCATCGAGGAACGGGGCGCGCTGGCGCTCGAGATCGGCATGGAACTCGGACGCGTGACCAACTGGTTCCGCAACCTCCGCCAGACGGCCAAGAAGCGCGGCCTCCGGCACCACGCCATTCTCGCCTCCGGCGAGGCGGACGACGACGAGGCGGACGGAGACGACGACGACGTGAGCGTCGGCATCGACTTTTCGCGCGACGGCACGCCGTCCATGTTCGGGCACGAGGACGCATACGCCTCTCGGGAGCACAAGATGGAGGTCGACGACGCGGAGCGGCACAGCACCAGCGCCGGAACGGACGACGAGCAGCACGAGGCGCTCACCCCCTCGTCCTCGCCACCCCCACCCTCGAGCGTGCCGCGCGACGAGGCCGACGATGACTACGACATGTCGCACTTTTCGCCGCGCGAGCTCACGTTTGCCGCGCTCGAGCACCTTGCGCGCATGAAGGACATGGAGATGGAGACGTTGAAGACGATCAGCGCCGTCGAGGTTGCCGGGGTCCGCGTCGAGGACGCGCTCCTCCTACTGACCTTTACCGGGCGCCGTCTGGAGGCATGAGGCACGAGGCGGTCGGCGTCGTCATCCGCCGTGCGACACGGCGTTCAAAAAGTTTCTGTGAGTCAGCCGCTTTCTTATTGGCTCGCCGGAGCGCGCAAGTAGATCGGTAACGCTGATCGAGACTACAGATCCTCCGTTTTAATGTTCTATAATTCTCCACCCCTCGTTCGCTGCATATAGTTTTCCGGCCCGCGGCTCACCCCCGGCACCGGCCCTTCAGGCCTTATTCTTGTCTGCTCTTGCTTTGGACAAAGTATGTTACCTATCACCGACTTTTAACCTCTCTGCGTCTCCTCCTCGTCGCGCCGCCCTGCACCACACGCACGTTGGGCGCGCTTGTCTCCCTCTATTTATCTACTTTTTTTCGGTGCACATGCGCATACAAGCTCTTTGGCACCCCACTTCGCTCGGCGCGTTCATAATTCCCGAGCCCTATGCGCTACCCACTCCTGTCTCTCTCGTATAACCCTTCCTGTCTCTATCGGAACCGTAATCTGTGTACACCCCTCGCATGCATTGTTTTGACCTTTTTTTCTTCTTCCGTATCATATGTGTATATATCTCTCTCGGTCCCCTCCGCACGGTTTATAGTTCCTAATCCGCATTTCACTGTCGTTGTTCTACAAAACCCGCTCGCTCGGAATTTATGCATTTTCCGAGTGCGACCTTCATTTGTTTTTTGTGTTTCGTGATATCTCGTTTGCGTATGCAGTATGCGGTATGAACAATCTATGACATATACGTCCATTCAAAGAGTGGGATTGCCGGCAAGAGAATGAAAGAAGTACGACGCCGGTGGGATCACCGACGATGCGGTGGGCGAATGTGGATGGCGGCCGCGGGGTTCGACGTTGACTGTGCCGTCCAGCACCGACAGCATATCGTCGTGCAAGACAATGAGGGCGGGGCCGGCTGAATGTGGTAGGTAAACTCGCGATAAGACGTCTTGGATAGACCACACCGGTGTTTGTCTCAGCCACGGCACGCGCACGAGATTTCTGAGACGCTTGCAAAAGCGAAGCAGGGATAGCAGGCGCGGGCGTAAGGCGACATAGGCTCGGTGTACTAGCAAGGCCGTGCGGTGGTGCTCGGCTGGACGAAGGGAACACCCATATTGAAGTGCGGGGGCGGGGCTGCAGCGCTGAAGCGGACCAGCGGGTCGGAGTCGTGATGATACCCTATGTTTCATGGATGTTCAGGTCAGAGGTGAAGAACTCGTGGGGTTATTGCAACGTCTGCGAGCTGGAGCTCGACCGCTCGTCGGGGTAGGTGGCCAAGGTTGCAGGACAGTTTGAATCCAGTCAGAGTTGATAAAACGGATGAGTGAGACAGGAGACAAAGTCTACTAGCCAACGTCGCTGTTCCGCCCGTTCTCAAGCGTTGAATCAAATGACGGTGAGTATCACGCATAGAGTCGTCTGTTCTATCTGAGGGGTAGTATACGCAATGCAGCAGCTGTAACGTTGATTGGATTCAGGAACACCAGTACAAGCGATGGTATGTAGAGATGCACGACACCAAACACTTTGAGACGCCATGAACAAAGTCCTAATCTTCGTCCTTTTTAGGTGGAGGACCGCACGGTTGCAACATGCGCTATGAAGTCGATACGGTGAGAGATCAAGACTGCATAAGGGACAGCGAAGTGGGCGCACCTCGGTCATCTCAAACTTGACACGGCCGGTCGCCTCCCCATCAGCAATAGCCAAGTACGAGAGCAAAGTGGGATGGCCGACTATGGACGACAGTGTATCGCGATGCTGGTGGGTGAGCCACTCCCTGACCTGTGCGTCAGACAAGGCGAGACTCGCGAGGCAGAGGAGAACAGACATACCACTTCGTCAAATCCGCATGTCCTGAAGGATGAAAACGATCAGCTGCCGATTCCGTCAGACGTAATGGAGATATCCACCTGTGCCTGTGTAGCGAGCATGCACTAGAGAACGGTCAACGATCGACCCTTGCACACAGGATAGCTTGTAATAACATACAATGCTCAAGTTGAGTGTTGGCCGTGTATCGTAGCTCCGAAGACTAGAACGATATTCGTTAGCGAGCGCTTCTGGGAGCGAATGAGGTGAAGTACCATGTCAAGGAGCGCGTTAACCAGCCGCTTCTCTCGCGTCAACTTTTCTCGGTTGACAGAAATCAACAACGACACTCGTCATCTCGGTGCTCCTTCTGAATCGAAAGACCCACTCGGCGCAGGATTCGTCCGACCTCACTATGTCTACGAGCAAGCTCAAGGCGAAAGTTTCCGGACTGAACAAATCTCTCGATGAGCTCGAGGCGCAGCTGGAGCCTCTGTTAGCACAAAGTTTACCAGAGACGTCCCTTGGCTTGGATGTTATACAGCAAGCGAAGCTGCATGTGCTAGTCCCATATGTGACATACGACCTCATATTCAGTCAGTACATATTGCAGATTGCGGATTCTTGCACTGCTCATCCCTGAGTTTATTTCCTTGCCCCGTAGTATACCTGAGAGCCATGGGGATTGATCCAATGGCCCACCCCATAATACAAGAGCTGGTACATGTCTTCGGAAGATACTTCAGCCCAAGCGCTCACAGTTCACTAGGAACGCGTGAAGAAATACTTCGAAAAGATCAAGGAGGCGGAGGATCCTGCTAGACGTCCGCATCATCTTTCGCGTGTCTCTTCATCAAGATTCATGTTTGCCCCTTCCAGGTTCTCTCGTTGTGGACAAGGGCGTCGCAAGCCGGTTCATCAAACATGCAATATCCCAAGCACGAGTTGATCCGCCCACGAGGCAAGAGAACACCCACATACGATTCAACGAGGAAGTCCCCGTAAAGGTTACTAGCAAAATGCGCGAAAGGGCCGACTACCAGAAGAAGCTCACAGAAGAAGACGAGGACGGGAGTGAAGATGGGGAAGCTTTGAAGGTTATAGAGGACGAATCTGAAGAGGAGCATGAAGAGGAGGCGTCTGGCATACCGCAAGACAAGGGTAAAGCCAAGGCTGACGATTATGAGAGTGGTACCCCTGAGGAGACCGCTTCGCGTGCAGGCGAAAAACGGAGAAGACCAGTCGATCCTTTCACAGGTACGTCCAAGCAGCGGTTCTCCAAACCCTTACGCTTATCCCGTGTCCAGGTTATGGCTCCGCCATCCGTGAGTCTGACACAGCGAATCCGAGTTCTGTCTCGAAGAAGCCCAGGAAACAACGTAAGAAGACTAATTTAGCCACCAGTATTGGTGGTGCTTAACACTGGTGAATGTCAGTCCTGACCAATGTATCAGTAATAATGCTCGAGTAATGGATCCCATGTTAAGTGCAACAAAGCCTCCGGTCACCGAATGAGCCGGCAATAGCCGGAGATGGTATATGATACGTCTCGGGCTGCCGCTTTACCCCGCACTCTGCCATCTGGGGCAGCGAGGACTCAACACGATGTTTGTACGAGGGTGCACCAGGCTAGGAGGTCGTCGCCATCTCTTGCTCTACTCCCGTGCTATGTCCGCTACGCCTGCGTTTCCATTGACCCTACCGTCGGCCGAGTCGCAGTCCGCAGAGTTTGCGTCTCGAGTGTCCTCGCTAGATTCTTACTTCAACTCTCCTCGGTTCACCAATGTCTCGAGGACGTACACCGCCGGCCAGGTAGTCGCTAAACAAGGCAGCTTCCGCCCCCTGCAGCAGTACGCGAGTTTAGCGTCAGATAAGCTATGGCGGTTGCTGGAGGAACGTGCCAAGGAGGGCAAGCCCGTACACACTATGGGTGCGATTGACCCGGTCCAGATGACCCAGATGGCAAAGCATCAAGAAGTGGTGTATATTAGTGGTTGGGCTTGTAGCAGCGTTCTGACAACTGCGTCCAACGAAGTCGGCCCTGATTTCGGGTAAGCACTGCATAACTTGACTTCTCCAATGCGGAGCGTGACCATAATGCGACAGGGATTACCCTTATACCACCGTTCCCAATCAAGTGCAGCGCATATGCCGTGCCCAGCAATTACACGATAAGAAGCATTACGACGAACGGATCGCGGCCATTAACGCAGGCAAGCAACCTCCGGAAGCGATAGATTACCTCCGGCCTATCATTGCGGATGCAGATACAGGGTAAGAGACGGTATTGTTACGAGGCTCTATATTGAATCCGCTGTGACCATTGCAGACACGGCGGCCTGACTTCCGTCATGAAACTCGTCAAGCTCTTCGCCGAGTCCGTACGTTTTCTCCCTCGTATTTGCTCACTTGCCGCTGAGTATTGCGATCTCAGGGCGCTGCAGCAATTCACATGGAGGACCAACTTCATGGTGGCAAGAAATGCGGGCACCTCGCAGGCAAAGTGCTTGTACCAGCATCTACACATGTCTCCCGTCTTGTAGCTAGCAGATTTCAGCTGGACATGATGGAGGTACGGTAGCAATTGCTATCCTCGCGAGCAAAACCAGTTCAACTCAAATACATTTAGGTGCCTATGATCCTCATTGCCAGAACGGACTCGGAGTCTGGCAAACTTATCAGCAGTACGGTGGACGTATCGGATCATGATTATATCAAGGGATGCCCTACTTCGTACGCGCATTTCCATATTCACAACAAAAGCATTTGATGCTGACGAATTGGCAGCGGCCACGAGAAGCCATTATCTGTTCTTATTGCGGAAGCAGAGGCTCAAGGTGCCACAGGGGCGCAGATAGACGAGCTCGAACAAAAATGGACGGAGGAACACACTCTGTGCACGTTTCACGAAGGTGAAGCTTGGTAATTGAGTTGGCTTTTACTTCTCTAACTAGTCCTGGTAGCGGTGGAGAAGGCTATATCTGCAACGCATTTTGCTGACAAGGCAGCAACGTACCAGAAGTATCTCAGTGCAGCGTTTGGGGGCAGTAACTCTGAAGCTCGTCAGATCGCCAAAGAGATTCTTGGTCGGGACGTGGAATGGGACTGGGATCGTGAGTTGTCCGTGTAGTAGTCCGAGTTATCGCTTATCATGCGGTTTTGTTCAGTGCCGCGAACACGAGAGGGCTATTACCACTACACTGGCGGCTTGGAAGCTGCGATTCGGCGGTGCATGGCCTTCGCACCGCATTCGGACCTGCTCTGGCTCGAGACCAAGGAACCCAACCTAGAGCAGGCGCGTACGTTCGCTCGTCGGATCAGGGAGAAATTCCCCGGGAAGTGAGGCGACACATAATCACAGCGGGTTGCAAGTCTAATGGTTGAGCGCAGGATGTTTGTGTACAACTTGTCTCCATCCTTCAATTGGTCGGCGCACGGATTTTCGGACGCGGATCTCAAGAATTTCATCTGGGAGCTTGCTAAGGAGGGTTTTGTACTTCAACTGATCTCGCTGGCGGGCCTGCACAGTGGGGCGGTCACAACGGCCGAGCTGGCCGCTCGGTATAAGGATGATGGCATGCTAGCTTATGTGGAACTGATACAGCGCAAGGAGAAGGAAATCGGCTGTGACGTGCTTACCCATCAGAAATGGTACGTGAAGGGCTCACTCATCTGCATCTCATGGAAAACCTGATCCGGGGGTGTACAGGAGTGGAGCGAACTACATCGACGGCATATTGACAACGGTGTCCTCCGGTTCTTCCAGCACCTCTTCTACAGGCAAAGACTCTACGGAACACTCATTCTAGGAGTCCGTGCGGGGGGGGGGGGTTCAGTATGCTAGGATATGTTTTATTCTTGTACAGTTGGCGACCTCCGCTGAGTTCATCCAGCTAGCGATACTGAGTGACCATAGTGAGGGATTTCACGTCGCAGTGAGTAGAATACATATGTACCAAGACAATAACGACTACCCGGTTGGTAAGAGGGTGGTTGAAGAAAAGGAAACAAGATGAATTATGTGCATGAAGAGAGCAATATATATCAGCATAAATTGATATCAACATGAAGATGAAGATTAGTACAACGACACTGCTATGAATGGGATGTGAAAGAGTGGTCCATCCCATGGTGATAGGTTTGCGAACGCGGGAGACCGTGCGTATCCACCATTTCGAACTCGCTCGTATCGAAACTGCTGTCATAGGATGGTCGCGGAGATGTTGATACAACTGATCCGCTCCTTGGTGGCGAGGCCGCCAACGCTGACGAGCTGGAGGTCTTGGAGGCAGTCATGGACATCCTGCTTTGCGACAGCGAGCTCACGCGCGGCGGTGACTGTGTCAGTGGCGACGGCCCGTTCGCTTGCATTGCACGGAATTGCTCCGGCACTATAGGGCTGGGAGGGATCTCCGAGACGTTCGAACCCCGGTTGAGAACGGCGTTCGCGACTTCGAACATGCTTGGCCGCCTCTTCCTCTTTGACGCGTCCATACTCCCTCGCTGAGATCCAGAGGCATCAGAGCCTCCATCAGAACCTTGCTCGCGCGATTGCTGCGCCAAACTACTGGCCGCGGACTTCCATGTCTTGAGAATAGATTTTCTCGCAGTGTTTCTCCTCTCATCCGCAGCTGCTGGTGGCGGTGGCGCAGAGCTGCGCGGGCCGTTGGACATAGACGTACCAGGTCTTGACGATATGGATGGCTGTGGCGAATGTCCGGTACTTATCCCGCCGCCACTGTCGCGTCCGTTCTGTTCGGCGGGAGATCCGTTCTGATGCTGCAAGAGCGTCGCCGAAGTGACCTGCGGCGATTTCGGGAGCGGTGGAGCATCTGCTTGGTCCTGGAAGGAGTCCGCAGGCCACGGTGAGCGCGGAGGCCGGTCGGCGGTGGAGGAAATGGAGTTCTTGTTGCTCTTCCGCCACAGTTTCTTGATACCTTTCACGCTTACAAGGGGAGTGGATCCCTTGGGGGCCTTCGACGCTGACTGCAAGTTCTGGTCGATAGAATCGGCAGAGAATCGACTGGACGCGCGGGGCAAACGAGGTTCAGAGATGTCGTCGTCCACCATCGAAAGCTGCGAGTTCGCGCGACTAGTCATTCGCGACGATGCATGCTCGTCATTGGCAACGGTCGTACCTGATTCCGTGGACGAGAAGCGACCGAAAGGGTCAGGTGAAAGCGGGATGACGGGAGATTCGGCACTTCGAGCCACGCTAGGCGTCAGCGGCGGGTAAATCCCTTGCTCTTCCTCGAGCTCTCGCTGCCGGCGTTTCGTCTCTTCGGAGATTTGGCCAGAAGCAGACCTACGACCTGAGTAAGGGATTTCCTTGCTTACTCCGTTGATGGCCAGTCGGGGCGGCCCCGGCGGGGAGGGCGGTGCGCTGATGTCTCGATCCGATGCTTCCGAATAAGGTGAAGGAGTGCGAGCCATGGAAAACGGGACAGCAGGCCATTGTGGTACCTCTTCTTCCTGAGCAATGGACATGGTAGGTTTCACAGAAAAGCCTGATATGCTCGCACTGCGAGCTGTCGCCATACGATGAGAGGACCCGCGTCCGTTCCCTAGAGCGGGACTACCTGTGGTCGAAGGCACCGCAAGAGAATTACCCAGAGACGATGTTGGACTCAAGCCTGATCCTCGATCGAGGCTCGGGGAGCCAGTCTCTGGGAGGTCGTATTGGAGCGTGCTCGGCGAAAGCTGGTTCAGTGTCTATCAGGGAATTAGCCGGCGCCACAAAATTCATCACTTGTGATAGCGCACCCTTTCAATCTCATCTAATTGCGCTCTCATGATGTACTGACTCCGTCGGTGATCATCCGGGTCGCTAGAATCCCACTACAACGGATATGTGTCAGAGACTTTTAGTGACGAAAATGACCATATCTCACCTCCTCTTCGTCTTCGGCTTCAACGCTCGGTTCCAAACCCAGGTCAAGATCCTCATAGAAGGCTCCACCCCTCCTCTCTACCGGACTTGTCATCTTCCCGAGAGCCTTCTCACCACTGCTGTTATCAACCGGTTCCGTGACAGCCGGTGTGTCCGGCTGCTCGCCTGTCAGGTACGGCAAGTGACTTGATCCCAAGGCATTGAGCGGGACGGCAGCCTCTCCGCTAGAGCCCAAGCTAGTGGGTTCGAGCTTCAACGGCGGTGGTACGCGCTTCTTAGGCGTACCGCCCGTTGGACTACGACTCCGACCGGGCGACGCCTCCACGCTTCCGGTGCCCGGCTCTCCCTCAGGACCTTTCGACATCCGCCTCAAGATGTGCTGTACCTCTTCCACCTCTTTCTCTGTCTCGTCCTCGACCACCACCACCTCCTCTGGTTCCGGCAATGAGCCTAGGTCGCCGGCACTGATCGCAAGTTGGACGATGCTCTCGTTCTGAGTAACTGTTCGCCGTATGGTGGTTCGGCGGGAATCTGGACCTTCGTCATCGTCCGCTTGTTCCTCAGCCCGCATGGTCGCCCAAGTCTCTTCATCTGTACCAAACACATCCGTTAGGGGATCCTTGGCACCAGGACCAACTATAGTGGGATCTGCATCGCCTGCATCAACCTCGTCCCCGTCCCCGTCCTCGTCCTCCAACGGTGCATACTCATTTGGTTGACTCTCGTCGGCTGTTTTGGCCAAAGAAAAGAGAGAGGAGGGACTGGACGTTTGATTTCGCAGGATCTCCAGTTCTAATGGTGGTTTCCTCTCCTCCCTACCCTCCTCACCCTCCGCAATAGATTGTTCCCTGCTCCCAAGACTACTGGGAGGCATCGAGCTCGCCGCAGAAGCCTTGCGTTTCTTGTGATTAAGCCTGCGACTCCGTATCCAGGGGTCGAACCAAGTCGCTTTGCGTTTGTCGATATCGAACTCGACCTTCGCTAGGACTGGTACGAAGGAAGGCGAGGTGAGGCCGGGGAGATCGAAGCCCAAGAGGTCGGCGTCCGGGTTCGTCGACGAAGCCGACGAGGGTCGTCGTGTAAGTGATGGAGCGATGGGGTCAGAGTCGGATCGGTGAGAATGGGGAATGGGAGATCGTGAACGAGCGCTGGTGGATGACGACAGGTTTCGCTGGAGGTGCGAGGCAGCACTGGCCGAGGAGGGTGTTGAGGGTGATGGGGTAGGTGGAAACTGGAACGAATGCGAGAGATCTATGGTTCTGGGGCTCATCAGCGTACGGAGCTGCGAATTGGAGCCCGTCGGCTGAGGGGACAAAGGTCCAGGCGAGGCACGACCGAGCATAGGTGTCGCGCTACGAGAAGGGCCGAAATCCTCTCGCTCAGCCTTCAACGCTCGAATCCAGACGTGCTTCCACATGTCTTCGGATACGCGGGGACCAGGTTCATCGTCCGGGACTCCCTCGAAAGCTGCTCCTGGTGAGGACAGCACCAAGTATAGCACCAGTCCCGACGTGCTGGGCAGAGCATACTCCCTGGCGATGGCTGCAAGCTGCAATTGCAATGATTGGTGCAATGGGACCACGACGCCGCGACGAAATTGCGGATGGTACCCTGATGCCGTTGGTGGTGGTGGTGTTAGGTCGTCGGTAGCATGAGGAAGGTCGGGAGGAGGAATGACGTGCAGTAAGTATTTGGAAGTGGGTCCTACGACTGTGGACGCGGACCATGGGGTTGAGGATAGTGCAGACGGGGTCGGAGAGCGGTGAAAGTCCGATCCGGAGGGAGAAGAGCCGGGCAGGAATGGCGACGCGAGGTTCGGTGACGATGCGGAGAACGGAGAGTGGTGGTATGGTAGGGGTGTTGATATGCCGAGCGCGTTTGCGAGTTTGGCCAGGCGATGGGGAGGTAATGGGGACCGTGGTGGTGCCCACTGGGGGGCTTGGTTCGGTGATAGAGACGAACGGGGTGTATCGTTAGGGTCTGCATTCTGAGCGTCGTTCATCGTATACTAGTCTACAACGACGAAGGTAAGTCGTTTCAGGCGGGACCTTCTCTGGATGAGTCCACTGGCCTGTTCGTAAGCGAGGAGGGTTTATGCCTTGCTGTGTAATGTCTCCATACACTGTCGTCGCCAATTCGTACTCTGCAGGTTTGCAGCCGTCGTCAGTGTCACGAATGTCGCTTGCTGGTGTAGCAAACGGGTTTGCAGGCCGTGAACGTGGGGTTGTGTAATGCCGTAACGCAAGCCGCAGTCAATTGCAAGCGTTGGCGCGTCTGAATTTAATAATTATGGGCCCGGGCGTGCCTGGTGGCCAGAAAAGCAGACAAGGGGAGAGTCGACGATGGAACGAAGAGGAGATCCTCTGCCCGCCTGTGAAGCCCGACAAAGCTCTTCGGGCTACGGACTTCTTCGTGGCTGCAGTCTGCTCCGTCCTCTGATCATCAAGTACCGCTGTGCTCAACGCATCAGACGGTTTGACGCGATTCTCGCCGTCCTCATCAATGTTTCGACTCGTGAGATTTAGTCAAGGGGTATTCGGTCCAGATGCGGGTATTGCTAGCACTCCGGCATTTCACCAGTTCGGTGGATCGCTGCGGTAAAGACCGGAAAGCACAACTGATCTTCTATCCGCCTTTTCTCTATGCTATGTATCACTGTAGACGAACCAACTCGATTGACTTGAGTGCAGTAGCGGTGGTGCTGCTGTTCAGGTCTTGATGACCTTGTAATCCTGCCATCCGATCTCAGTGAGCTTTTCGACTTTGCCCGTGACTTCGTTCTCCATGTTCTTCATGTAGCCTTCCATCGCAGTGACTAACTGCGGCAAACCCGCCGATAGAACGCGTACTGCTAGTAGACCAGCATTCATCCCGTTATTGATAGCCACGGTCGCGACCGGGATGCCTCTCTGAAAAGCAAGTTAGCGAGCGCGTCCTGACTGAAGCAGATAGCCTACTCACGGGCATTTGCACGATACTATGCAGTGAATCCACGCCGTCCAGTGAGCTGCCTTTGACGGGTACACCGATGACAGGCAATGCGGTCAATGCCGCGACCATTCCAGGCAGATGCGCAGCACCACCCGCGCCTGCGACAATCACCCTTACACCTCTTGCTGCCGCCGACCTGGCGAAGTCAACCATGCGATGGGGCGTCCGATGCGCGGAAACAATTGTGAGCTCGTAGGGAATGTCGAACTTCTCGAGGATACGAGCAGCTGGAATCATGACGGGCAAGTCTGAATCCGATCCCATGATTATCGAAACGAGAGGCAAGGCATGGTTATGAGCAGGAGCGGGTGTCGGCGGACAGAAGGAGTTCGCTTCATCTTCGGAGGTACCCGGTAGAGCAAGGAGAAGTGGCCGTAGCCGCGATCGCAGTTGCGCATCCGAATCGGCTGTGAGAGTGATGTGCCCCATCTTGCGACCTTTCCTACATTCGCTCTTGCCGTACATGTGCACGCGGGCCCCGGGTGTTTTGAGAGCAGCGTCAACGACGGAGTTGATATCGTCGAAGGAAGAGGACGCCCCGATGATGTTGAGCATGCAAGTGGAGATAGCTGGGTGGATCAACTCTGTGGATCCGAGAGGGAGGTCCAGGATAGCGCGGAGATGGTTCGCGTATTGCGACGTGGCGCACGCCTCAATGGTATAATGTCCGGAGTTGTGAGGTCGCGGTGCAATTTCGTTGATGCATATTGAGCCTGGGAGTCCGTCCGTTCACGGCCGCTGAATAGTGCAAGAGAGCGACTCACCGTCATGCATGAGGAACATCTCCACACCAAAGACGCCTGCTCCATCGAATGTCCTGACTGCTGCTTCGGCGACGTTGCGCGCTCTCGTGGCGACACTGGCATCTCGAACACGCAGTGGAGCAAATACCAAGTGACAGATGTTTTCCTTATGGACGGTCTCCACAGCCGGGTACGATATAACCTCTCCGGAGACGGAACGAACCACCATTACCGCGATCTCCTTGTCGAACGGCATCCATTTCTCGGCATAAAGAGGGCGGTCGGAGAGGAAGGATAGCGCCTGTTCGGCGGCGGACGGATCTTTGAGCACGTAGTTCCCGCGACCGTCATAAGCAAGCGTACGGCTCTTGATCATGAGCGGCAGCCCGAAACGTTCGGCAACGGATTTGATGCCTTCCACGCTGCTTTCAATGGCACAGAACTCGCCGATGGAGCACCCATGCTTCAGCAGATGTTCCTTTTGCCGGAACTTGTCCTGGATCGTTCGGATAGTCGTCGGACTCGGATGAACCTGGACCTTTCCCGCATTATGTATCTCCTCGAGCACATCCACGCCAACGTGCTCAATCTCAACCGTTAGGACATCGACCTTGCCAGCGAGTTGTTTTATCTTCTCCGGGTCGGTAAAGGCACCGTCGATGTGCTCTGAGGATGAGACAACCTGCTTGGCTGGAGCGGCGTCGCCTTTATCGAGGATCACGATTGGGACAGTGAGCAGCGATGCTTCAGCTGCCAGCATGCGGCCTAACTGGCCACCGCCTATGCAATGGATGTCATTGTTGTCGCGGATCGCATAGGGTGACAAGCGGAGAACCTGGACATTCGGCTATCAACGCAGTTCCAGACAAGCGTTGAAAGAAAACGTACCCACCTAGTACACCAACTCGTTTAAACTCCATCCGATGTACAGAGAGCCGAGTGAAGCTGGAAGATAAAATAGTTGGAGAGGCGGAGAGATTAACCCCTGTCTCTCCTGTTTCGCACGCTCCTTGACAGGCAACGGGTACGCGTTAACGGACTGGTACGGTACATGCCCCCACGACCCCCAGAGTCGTATATCATCTCCACTGGATCACGTACATGGGATGTTCTTGGACACCTATGCCATTCTCGTTGGCCTCATGAAGGGGCAAGCTGAGGCACGTAGAGTTCCGGTCTTCTCGGCATGCGAGCTTGGATTCAAGCGTTTACATCGGGTCAAAACCCGACCGTCTTCTTCAGCAACCGGGTCATAATCTCTTATCGTGCGCATATATGCTTCCGACCTCCTACTACCTGCGTGTACTGCGGTATCCCCGAAATCGCGGTTTATACGATTGCCAGCATGATCGCTAGTTTCCTCTTCCTCGGCCTTGCATCGTCGGCTTGGGGTGTCACACCAGACGAACAAACATGGCACGCACTCAACAACAGTGTCGACGGACGTCTCTATAGTGCCTTTCCTCTGGCTGGTTCATGCTTCTCCATCGTGAATGGCCATGATGTTGTCAGGGACGCGTCCGCCTGTTCAGCGATAGAGGCGGGATATACCAATGCATCTTTCAGAGTAGCCGAATTTGGCGCATATATGATATCTGAATGGGAAGGCTGTCAAAGCGAGTCTAAACAGTGCCTCCTTGATGATACCAACCCCACGAACCCGGATGCATGGACCTCGTTCAACTGCTCACAGGGTAGTATCGCACCGCGCTATGTACGTTCCTATGCAAATTTGCTGTTCCATTGCCCTTAAACGCGTCAGACAATCAGATCGACGTTCAAGCGGCATCGGATGTGGTTTCTGCTTATGAATTCAGTTCAAGGCATGGCGTTCCTTTGGTTATCAAGAACAGTGGACACGACTACAAGGGACGTTCCTCCAAGAAGGGTGCTCTTGGTCTCTGGGTAAGTGTTTGCAAATTTTTGGCCTGTGGATATATCGAACGTCCTCCTTATCAGGTGCACAATCTCAAAGGGATTACCTACTCCTCTTCCTTCACCCCATCCGGTTGCCCAGATACGGTGAGGTACCATGCAATCACCGTCGGAGCAGGTGTCAGCTGGCAGGAAATATACCAATTCGCTGACCTGAATAACTTAACTGCAATCGGCGGATATCACCAGACCATTGCAGCCAGTGGCGGCTGGGTGATGGTAAGACAGGTTCTCGCCCATCTTTCTCATTCCATGTCAACGTTTACTCCCAGGGAGGTGGCCACAGCGTGCTATCACCCATTTACGGCCTCGGAGTCGATCGCGTACGCCAATTCAAAGTGGTCACGCCAGATGGCGTATATCGTACTGTCAACGAATGCGAAAACGCAGACTTATTCTGGGCGCTAAGGGGTGGCGGAGGTTCGACTTTCGGTGTCGTGCTCGAGAGTTCTCATGCTGTGGAGCCCACCTCCATTTTGCTACAGGTGTTAGTTGCTAGCAGTAGCCTTGCCCTCCACAAGTGTGCTTAACGAATACCTCCAGTGCCTCCATCAAACATACCGGGAATTTGACCGCCCAAGGTGATTGGCTTGAGTTACTGGTTGATAAGGCTCTCGGCTGGGGAACAGAAGGCTGGGGCGGTCATATGACGGCAAGTGCGCCATGTCTGCTGAACTTCGTCTTGACTCACGGTATGTCCTAGGCCACATCCCTGATCAACGTGACACCGCTTTTGTCGCTTGAAGAAGCGCACGCAAGTGTTGCACCGGCGGTTGCATTTGCGCTCCGGAACGGGGGCACGGCGGTTATCGAAACGCTTACCTGGCTAGCATTCTTCAACAAATACGTTCTGGTGGCGGAAGCCGCTGTAGGCGTGCCAACCATCCTTGGCACCCGGCTCATGCCCACCCAGTTGTTCCAGTCGGCTGATGGTCGCACAAAAATTTCCTCCAACATGATTAAATTCCTTACAACCGCGGGCCCGTATATTATCCAAGGCACACCGTTCCTATACAAAGGGTCGAGGAACGCTACTAGTATCACACCGGCATGGTACAATTCACTGTGGCATGTTAGTGTCATCATTCGGTATTCTATCTTCGGGTTTGAGATTGACGATTCTCGTCACCATCAGCTCGGCGTGAGTCGTGGATCGTGGAATTACAACGCTACCCTGAACGACAAAAAGTTGATTTACTCGACGGTGCATAATGTAACCCAAGCCTACAGAGACATCGCTCCCGAATCGGGGGCTTATTTCAATGAAGGTGATGTCTACGAGACAGACCACGAGCAGGCATACTGGGGGGCAAACTACCAAACACTCCTGCAGATCAAACAGAAATACGATCCGCACGGGATCCTAGATTGTTGGCAATGCGGTGAGAGTTACAACGGTGTATTGTTTATCAAACACAAGGCTCAACAATAACCTTCAGTCGGCTGGAAAGGATCGGATAGCCCGGAATACGACTGTTACCTGAACGTTCTCGTATGATGCAGCCGGACGCACGCCATTATATGTCTCCTGACAACCCAAAACAAATGTCCTTCAGTTTGGTCAGAAAACGCTGTGAGAGTCCGCGAATGTCCCGCTGGTGCTGCGTACTAGTACGGAGATGTACTGCTTCCTCACACGCTGAACACGGACTTTTCGTGCTAAATCCAACAACTTGTTCACGCACGGACACGAAGGCGCGAAGTTCAGATCCTTGCAGTTTGGACAGTCGGAGACCGAATCTACTGATACTTGCGCCTGAGATATCCGAGGGTTCCCGAATACGGTGCTCGTTTGTCGGCGAACTTGAGGACCGGAGTACAACGCACATTGGAGAGGTAAGACATGTATTTGATACTATCATGTCCCTCAGAGGCGTACCGTAATCGCGCGCTATACTGTAATGGCGGAGATGACTCTGAGACGCCACCAAAGTGCCACAGTCGGCTCGTTGAAGCTTCTCCTGGGACGATGGGGCTGCCGTTACCTCTTCCGCATACCAGCACTTCCATAAAACGATTAATGCGGCGGACCAGGCCCGGCTAAAAGCTGCGCTAGCTCGCTGCCTCGTGGTGACCGCGAGGCGCGAGGCACGTGGACAGTATGTTGAGCAAGCGGCCTGCACGTATGAGGCGTGCCCCGTCGCGTTCCCCCTTCTTTCCCCGTGTCTTGTGTCCGGTTCTCTACATCTTATCGTGTATACGATTATACGATTTACGACCCCCACGACTTAACATGGATGGAGGGCAACATATCCATGATGATCCCAGTCAGAATCTTGTAAACAACCCTTACGGGTTTTACGACCAGCAACAGCATACTGAAGGGCAATACGGCCTGCAATATGCCCAGCAGATGCAGGGGGGATTCCCTGTTGTGCATCCTGGAGCACCACCTCGTGTGTCTCATACTCGCTCTCTCCCGTCCTCATGTCGATCTCAAAGATCACGTTCCTAGGCTCCCTGTCGGCGGCAGACATGCAAGGCCTCCAGTACCGTGCCATGAACATGCCACCCCCGTATCCGCAACAACCCATGTATAACCCCACCGCAACGCCCCCCCAACACGTGGGATTGCCGATTGCTGCCTCGCCCCCACCTGCTTCGCCCAGCATATACGATCCATTGTCTCCCCCCGTCTCGGGCTCAGACACTTCTGGGGAAGGCCTATATCAAACCCATTCCAGGGATAGTAGCGGCGCCGGCTCACCTGTATCCTCTCGGGGCCACAGTCTTGTTCATCGGCATATTCGTGGGTATCACCCAACGCCATCACCGTCAGGTTCGTCAGGTCGGCGCAGCCGCGACAGATCGCTTTCGGACGACGAAGGAGACAACATGGGACACGTCTCCCTGGCTGAAGCTATCGCTAGCACGAGGAAGGAGGCCACTCGTCGCCAGAGGATAGAGGCGGAACAACGCCGGCGAGACGAACTACGTGATGGATATGCAAAACTGAAGGACGTCTTGCCTGTGTCAAACCAAAAAAGCAGCAAGGTGTCTCTTTTGGAAAGAGGTACTTCACTGTCTCTGCGTAGCCATCTGGTCTCTGATTTCTCCCTCAAGCCACCAATCACATTGTGCACCTTGAGAAGCAAAACCAGCAGCTGAACCAGCGTCTCGCCGCGCTAGATCAAGAAGTTCAACGCCTCCGCGCGCTGAACGAGAAGATATCGCTCGCGGTCGATACGCCTTCGCCTGGACAGCCCGTCCATCCTATCGACAGTCGTCCATTGTCGCCTCCTCCGGAGATAAACCCGTCCTCGCACTCCCTCACGTCTGTGCAGGGGCAGAATCCTCCAAATGAGGAGTCCAGCGGTTCCGAAGCCGGATATTGATTGCATCCATTCTCTCTTTGCTCGTCGGACCATCGTACTGCTTCCTCTCGCTCTCCTCCCTGCCCTTCTATTCCCTCCTTTTCTTGCCATGCTTTTGCCCCAGCAGACGCCTTGTCGCCTTGGGTTCCTCCGATGTGCATGGCCCTCGTAGTCGACGCCGGATCGTCGTATTACAAGTGCCGCAGCACCCCATCGATGACTTTGCATGCCACTTTCCTGCAATCAATCCGAGCGTGATCGAACTTGCTGGCCGACGACCCTCGCGGCATCCGACTCGCCCCCATAATCTCCGCAACCGCCGTTCTCATGCTTCTTTTCAACTCATCGCAAGCAATGTACCTTGTATCGCATGCATCCAACATATTTACGACGGCTACGACCTACACACGACTGGCGATGATCCGGGGTGGACACGGAAAGAATGCATCGAGATATCAACTGACTTTCTGATAGGCTTCGGTCTTCCGTGCACTAGGTGATTGTTGTACGTTGTGGCTGTTTCTCTCATGCCAGTACAACGTAGGGATGGACCGTGACGACAATCTTGTTCTTGCTCCTTGCAGTGGTCTCCACCTATGTAAGCAATGTAATAGACTATCTGATGCCCCGAATGCAATGAAATTGTACCGCTTCTCTGATTCGCTCGTCGGGATTGGAAGTGGCGAGTCGTCGTGATCGGCGGGCGGCACTGAGCCTTTTGACTAAGTCCACAATGTCAGCGCCTACGCAACAAATAGAAGACGAGATAGATCCAATATGGACTAGCAGTCGTACATCGCGGCAGATCTATGTACTCGGGGAAGTTGAGAAAGTACGCAACCCTATTCCCCTGGGCTACCCTACTCATAAGCTATACGTTCAGGATATCAGCCGTCTATTGTCCCTAGCGGCTTCGAGTATCTCACTTTTGACTCTCCCTCAAACAGATACGGAGGGGGACTCCCTCCCACGCGGAGAAGAGCGTTCTGAGCAGTTAGTACTCGAGGTCAGCGAGTACTTTGAACGATTGGATGTAAGGATGTCGTCAAATCCCTTGCCCCTTACCCATACTGACCGATGTTCTGATACAGTCGATTCAATTTGCCATTCGCTCCACGCTGGCACACATAAGACAGTCTCGCATTGCACCGTCGACCATCCAGGCCCCTCCGCCGGGCTTCGTGCCGCCCCCTCTGGGCGTTGGTCTCCCTTCTGTCGGTCTGGCCGCAGGCAAGCGCAGTCGCGGGCTCCAAGAAGAACGCGTGGAACGCGATGCTTGGCTGCTCGTTGTGGACGCCTTGAAACGGCTGAAAGAAGCGAAGGAGGCGGATGATGCCCAAAGCAAAGATCAAATGGTCTTCGACGACACAAGCTAATCGCTACGAGCGTTCATCGACGCTAAATAAAATCAACCGTATGGTAAAGTATGTACACATATCGTAATCAAACACGGCTTGATTCATGATCGATTGCTGACAGACACTCTTCAGACGCTGGCCTCTTCCAGCGCATCCTCGGCCTTCAACAAGTCGTCGTCTCCTGCCAACTCTGTCTTCTTCTTCGCGTCGACCTACAGCGTGGATGGAGCCGTGAAGCCTTTTAGTACGATGGAACGGCCATGCTGAACTCACGACAAGTTCGCGAAGCTCTTGCACCGTGCTGCCCAGACGATGGGCAGTGTCCACCACCATCTTGTTCGACTCTTCCACAAGCCGACCCTGGTCATTCCTTCCATCAAGTTGGCCATAAGGGGCAACACATGTCGAGAGAGCTCACTGCGTTCTTCACGTCCCATTCCTCCGCGCCGTCCGCTATCAGTTTATCGCGCTTCAGCTGTAGTTGCTCCGCTTCATTGCGATACGAGTTGTGCTCTTTGAGTAACCTATCGGATCGTGTCCTCATAAGCATGCGTGCTCTCGTACATGCCCGTGTTTCAGGCGCATGCGGCTGACCGTTTCGCTGCTCCTGATTTAATCTTCAGTTGGCGCTTCAGGGTCGCTGTATCAGACATGCTGCCGTTTGAAGGAAGACGAAAGAGTGTACAAGATTGTAGTAGATCGGGCCCAAGATGTGAAGATCGCGCCGGTGACGCAAGGGCCAGCTTGAACTTCGCTACTCGAGCATCGATTCGATCGTGGATCCGAAACGGAATCTGGATCCTGCACCAAGACCCTAGACTCCCGACCCCCCACACATCGTACACAAGCCTCCTTAGAATAGCACTGATGGGCAGTAGCGGACTCGATGCGCCGAAATCCAGTATATATCAATGAATCATCCATTCAACTCGGATGGTAGATATGTGACTATGGACGTGTCGAAGTCGTCTGTCTAACAAATCGCTAAGACGTAGTCTACTCCCACCGATTCTGAAAGAAATTAAAAAAAGCCGATCGTCCATCAAGCAAAAAGCGTGACGAGGACCAGACCGACCGGGCAAAGCAAGCCCATCGCATGAAGGAGGTTGTCCAAGGCGGACGGAACGGCGTGCGGAGCATACGGAGTACTATGTAGGTGTGGCAGCAGGCCTGCGAGAGCAAACAGGGGCGGAACGCTGCGCCCGACTGGCGGACAAAGCGAACAGCCTGCGCGGAGGAAAGTCTGCGTTATCGACCGATCGTCGACATGTCGCGAAAACGGGGAGCCCTTGCTCGAACGAACAAACCTTCTCATAGGCCAACGGGTGGCCACGCGTGTGGGCGGTGGACTAGCCAGCAACGCCCCCTGCGAGGACTGACGAAAGCGCGAGAAGGAATGTCGTGAGCGACATCGCCGAGTGCTGCATGCAAACGGAAGGAAGAATCGAAACAGTCCGCCGGGCATCGAGTAAGCCTTCGACGGCTTGAAGCCATCTACGAATACTAGGACGCGCCATCCGCCATGTATCCGCCAGAAGCGACCTCCAATGTGAAATGCGACACAGAGCCGTGCTTGGTAAGGCCCGTGGAGCGTAGGCGGTAGCAGCCCAGCTCGGTCGATCGGAGTGGTTGTCGTTCGCGAGGGAAAGGGAAGAGGCAAAGCTCGCGAGCTCTCGTCGAGGTGTCGGGAGCGGTAAGGTGGACGTGGGGGTCAGTCGGCGTAGTCGATGGCATGAGCGAGGACAAATGTCGAGACGCTCAGTATGGACTGTGTTGTGGATGGGGAGAGGGGTGGACGTGACAGGACATAAATGACGTTCGTGCAATAAGTAACGTGTACAAGGACATGATGAATGCTGTTGATGTGGATGCCTCAAGGCAAGTGACTTGGTTGAACGTTCGTGAAGAGCCTGCGTAGCCGGTGATGACCGGGAGAGGGTCGGACCGCCAAAAGCCAGTGTGTTGGCACGCCGGGGCACGGAACCACAGTGAAGTGGTCGTCGCCTCCATGGCGCAGACGGGAGTACTTCGATGGGGGTGGATGGGAGACATCGACAGTTCTAAAAGAGACAAGATAGAGCTGCCGCCAGCGAGGCGTTACACCTACGATAGGTGCGTAAGGTGCGGCCGCTAGGACCGATGCGCCTCAAGCTCGGACGAGCAGTCTTGCGTCGTGTGGTGTCTTCTCCGAGCATCCTCCAAGGAGGGGCCGTCGTGTTGGGTAGGATAATCATCGGTTGGGTGTCGTTATCGAAACAACGGGGGCTCCGCATATATGCGGGGAGCGTTGGGTCATCGGGAAGCGATGGGCACGGCCTGGTGCGCGACCGATGGACCCGCAGGACAGAACGTTGGGAGCGTCGCGGACGCGCTAAAAGTGACCAAGCTCTCCACAACAAAAAAAGCATCGAGCGTGAATGCAGTAGAAGGCGAGGGTCGTAACGGTGTAAAGAACAGGTGATTAGAGAAATGAGGAGCAATGCGGGATTTAAGGATACAATGATGCGATGAGGAGGATGCGTGAGGTCCGTGGTAGCATGCAGAACCTGCGGCCAGGCAGGCGTAAATATCGTGATCATTCGGCGCGCGGCTAAGCCGCGGCCTTCCATGTCGTCGGTGCAACGCGACTTTTGATGTCCGAACAGGCCGCTTAGTATACGTTGGTGGTGGACGCGGCGGCGGCAGCGGCAGCTGCTGCGTGGCGCTGCTCAGCGGTGCCGAGCATGAGCGCCTCGTTGAACCTGAGAAAGATAGTCGTCAGCGAAACTATACAAAGCGCAGAAAGCAAGGTGCTACTGACTGGCGCAGCCGCTGTACCTCGGCCTCGGCCTGTTGAACACGGGTCTGCAGTTGCTGGTTCGTCATCTCCAAGTACTTGATGTGGGTCGTCGCTGGAGGCGCACGTCAGTTGCCGTTTCTGATGACCGAGATCACATGAACAGAAGCATACCGCGGTCGAGCAGGCAAACCTTGCTGGACTTCTGGTTGGACACGGGGAGCGCGTCCTTGAGCCTGCGGTAGCCGTCGCGGAGTTCATCCCTCCGGCGCTGTTCCGACTCGATACGTTGGCGACGGATTTCCTCGCGACGCCTTTCAATAGACCTGAGTTAGCAAAGCGTGCCATTTAAGTCGCCGCGCGTGGGCAAGTTGACGGATGGTGATGCTCACATATCGGAACCAGCGGGAAGGCTGGAAGGGGTGAACTCGACGTCATCCTCGTCGTCGCTGCCAAAGTCCTCGGTCTTGGTACGCTTCTTGCGTTCACGGACGGCCCTGCTGGGGATACCGGACGGACCGAGCGGGTTGAAACGATGGGAGCGCGGGACTGCCGAAAGGTTCGAGCCGCCGTGCGCGGAGGACGCGGGCGAGGCGGTGCCGCTGCCCCGGCGGCGATGGGACATGCTGTCCGAAGAGAGCTCACCGGCGCTCGGGCCGGAGAGGGCCGCGGGGTAAATGCCGGCGTTGTCCGGAGGCGTGTATGGACGCCCGGGAGAGGGCGACGTCGTGTACGACGGGTTGACGGGGAACGAGTACGGCTCCATGTTGGCGAGGTTGAGCGTATCGAAGTTCAACCTCGGGGACGACGCCTGGCCGTGGACTGGAGATAGTGATCAGCTTCGATCGCGGGAGGCGGGAAACATGTTAAATGCTCACGACCCAGGGAGGAGACGGCCATCTGCTGGGAGCCGTGCATGTAGTCGATCCCGAAGAGGGGGTCGTACGAGAAGTTCGGCACGGAGCCGTCCATGAAGTCCTTAGGGCTTTCGACGAGGGTAGCGTCCATTGCTGCGACTGCGAGATGTGGTGTACTGTTGCACGAGAAGGTTCCCGGAGGAGGATATAAACCAAAAGGAAAAGGCGCGGTGTTGCTGCGCGGTTGACGACAAAAAAATGAAAACGTATAAACGCCCTGTTGAGAAGAAGCAGGTTTGTTGTAAGCGTCGCGTCGCGACAACGTCGTGGAGTACAATAGCGGGCGGAAATGAGCGGGAGACGGAAAGACGTACGTTACGAGTACAAGAAGAAAGGTGGTGTCGCGTACTCGGCGCAGAGGCTACTCGGGAGGGAAGGGAGGAAGGGGGACCCAGGAAGGGATGGGGAGCGGAAGCAGGCCGGGTGTCGAGCTATATATTTCGGCGGAGGGCGCCATCAACCTCGTGTCGGCCCAGGAACCCAGAGAGCCGCCAGCCCTCGGAGGCCTGAGAATGCCATAATCACCGCAGACGCAGCTGATACGCAGATCGCCCTTCATTCTGCGAGTGAACGCCGACCGCAGATGGGAGGAGCCCCTCTTCCGCCGGGCCCACCACCCGGGCCCTGTTCTTTCTGCTCCCGCCTTCCACATCAGTTCCCCCCGCCCCATCGGCCCACCGGAAATCACTCGTCCGATCTCATCCTCTCGCCCTGTTTCTCCGACCGTTCACAGACCCCCTCTCGACGGTCCCCGCCAATCACCACGCCTCGCCGCCCCCTCCTGTTTGATCCAGCAGCACACTCCCTCTCTCTCTTCATCCGACGAGCAGCCCTCGCCGGCCGCACTTTGCCCCCGCTCGATCAATATATCGCCGGTGCGGACGAGAGTTTCAACTTAGATCCGCCCTTCCTCGACCTGGGCCGTTCTTTGCTCTCCCATTAAATACACGAGGCCTGCGACCACACGACTCAGCCCTGGCTTGTGATCCCGGGGGATGACGATTCTGCTCCGTCTGCGGGACCCCAACCTAAACGACTTTCTCCCCCTTCCCTTCTCGCGAGTGGCCAGCCAAAGTCCGCGGTGATCTCACAGCTTTCCGTTCGAGCGATAACCGTCGTACTGTACGGCGTCGGTGGAGAACATGGTACATGTCATGGCCGCAGCATAAGAACAGCCTTGGCTTCTGGCAATCCACAACGTCTACATAACCGTCTTATCCTTCTCAGCGCCAGTGCGCAGAATGACCCGGGTGAAAGGGCCGACAGAAGCTGGGAACCCCTCGGTTGCTTTTCATTTTTCCACGGCTTCATGCAAAGGAGCACAGTTCGGCCCACTCACGCGTATGGTTCCCCTTGATATATGGACAGCTTTCTCCCTTTCCCGGCCACGGAAACGCCCATATTGTCATTCGAGGCGACGAACCTTGTTTCGCTGGGATCGGATCACGGCATACTCTTACCAGGACCTACAGATGCGTATCCTTACAGTGCCCACGACTTGCGTTCTTGAAAGCCATACAACAATAGTATTGCAAGCTACGAGCGCCCGATACTCGGTAACGTGAACATTCCAAGCAGACGGCGAACAAATCACAAGCGGTAAACTCCGGAAGCAGCGTCCCGTACAGCGCACGGGACCAAAGAAAGAAAAGCCGATACAACAGGTCGTTAGACGTAAGCGGTTTCGTAAGGTCGTAATGGATCGTAAGGATAAGGAATAAATACGGAAATACGTTACGAGGTGGCAGAGGGGCGATAGAAGTAAAATGTCTTTGAGCCAACGCAGGTGTCCGTGAATCCGCGATCTGCGCGGCGTTGAACGTCCAGGTGAACGGGGAGAGACCCAGAGTTGCGTCCGACTCGGCCCTTCACCGCCGCTTGACAGCGTCCGGTAAGCCACAGCACATTTACGCCTTGTAGTAGCCTACGAACAAAACATGTGGATCAGAAAAATGTCGACATGCTGTGCACGGTTCCGTCGGTATGGAGGACACGAGGACGGAAACAGCCAGAAGCTGAGATTAATGATCCCCTTACCTCCATTGAAAGGACCTTGCATGCCGCGGTAGTGCTCCAAACGCTTAGCGAAGCGCCAGGTGAGGAAGAACATGTAAATCTGCGAAAACGCCGAAACAAGAAGCGTCAATTTGATGAGCTTGCATCAACAAAGAACACTGCCATGAAAGAACCACAGCGCAAATTGGTTTGGCGCGTGAAAGGGTGATAAACCAAGTGAAGACTGGAGAAGAGTGGGGAGCGACACATCCGAAGGGAACCGTGATCCTCAAACGAGCGAACGAAGAGGGATGGTCATAATTGTGCAGGAAACTACGCACCTGCCACACCAGGTCTATCACTAGGGCGACAAACCAGATGATGAAGAGAGCATTCATCGGTGTGCAGAACCCTGCTGGGAATCCATACGCGTTGGCGTAGCTCTCTGACTCAGGCCATATCTGCCGGCCGTTGTCGCATTCCCAAGCGATCTTCCCCTTGCTGCATGAAGAACGGAGTCAGAAGATCCATCAAGGGCCGAAGAAATATATCAGAAGGTGCTACCCCGAACGAATCGGGTGCATAAAGCGGAGCGTCGAACTCCACGGGAAACCTGTCGAAGACTCACCCTCGCTGGAGTTCTACCAAGATGAGGATCGCGCGGACCGCGCTGATGACAATCAAGAACGGCCAGGTCGATTTGCAGACGCGTGTCCAGATATATGACCGCTGCGCAGCTGGATTAGCATTCTCCACTACGCAATTCCATATGGACCATACGTTCGAGAGCGCGAATATGTTGATCAGCGCTATAGCCGCAACCGCCAAACCGATGCCCCCGTAGATGAACCTGATAGGATCGATGTCATTTGTCAGGGCCGGTCATGGGTAGAGCGGCCGAGCATCGTACGAACCACTCCGGGAAGGTGAAGAGAAACCATTGACCCCACAGTATCAGGAACATGCCTCCGATGGCGCTGTACAGCTGCATGATTCGTTCATCAAATACGGCTCCGTTTTGACCAAGATTCGAGGCCTACCATTAACAAGGCAGCCCATGCCATGGCTCCGGCACGCTGAAAAGATATCTCCATCGGTGTACTTTGCGAGTACGCTTACTAGTAGCTTACCAGCGGGAATACGAGCAGACAGTTATCGCACCACATCGTCGTAAATAGGTATCGCCCTGCAAGATGCGCAGCTGGGATCAGTTCGTGCAATTTTCGAGTCACATAGGTCGACTTACAGAGAAAATGGGATAATGAACAGGTAGGTATAGTATGCCGCAATCAAGCGCCGCCTAGGACGATAGGCTCGCAGTCGATAGCAGGGGCGCCGAGGTCGTCGACAACGGACCGGGAATTGTCACCATGACGGCTCTACCGCTGCGTCACGGTCAGTCACAGCGCACGCTGATTGGTGACACGCGTGCTTCTCTCTAGGGTCGCGTCGGTTGTTCATGATTTGGATCTATTGGATTCTACGGTTACTGAGCGGTCCGCTCTTAGGCTGGAGCCATGGCTTGAGCCTCTCTTTATTGTACCTCACACGCACGACCACAACCGGGATCTCCAAAATCTCTGCGAATACAAGCGGCAGGTCTGTATCGATGTGTCTCAGCTGGTTCCACCCCCTACCCTCGTGCTCAACTCAGAAGATCAGTTTGGGAGACACCTACCCTCATCGGAAAACATGCCACCGTATCTCGGATCGGCTGCCGCATGATATCCGCGAAGCTTTCGCGACGTACTGGACCGTCTGCTTGGTTAACATGTGCCCTACTAACTGCCGCGCTCGAAGCACCCTATTCCACTGCGCAGATGATGGTCTTGAAGCTTCAAATCTCAACCTTGAGCCTTCTGAGGGCTCCATCCGAAGCACCTGACAGATTCCGCCGGAGATTGTATCTGTTTCCCCGCGACCTTCTAGGGCCAAGGTCCTCGTAGGTTCCGAAAGAAAGGCACGTTCACTTAGTGGAGCACAGTGCTCCGTCACGCAAGGATATACCAGAGGACACGTATGGCATATACGCATGTCGCTCAGGCATATGCCAGTTACTCATGCTCTATCGCAGTCTAACCGGTGGGCTTGAACCCTTAAGCCGTCATTGGCGTTGGGAAATTCGCGGTTCGTACAATGTTGGACTATCCAAATGAAACCTCGGTCCTTTTTTTGGTTCAAGATGCCCTGGCAAATCTTCATCGGGCTTCGTCGAAAACCTCGATGTGTTCACTATCGATATAACCGCGCGAAATCGTTGATCTGCACCGGGAGGGGCATCAAACCGGCATAAGCTCTTTGAATCCACTCAGAATTTGCATGTTTCACCGAATTAGTTCCTATAACGGAGCTCGTCCTATCGGAGATGGGACTCATTTGACTTCTCAAGTATGCATTAAATTGCGCTCCGAATTTCTTCGAACCGACCCGTACGAGCATCCGCTTTACATGCCTACGGATGCCACACGAGTCAGCGAGACACCCCAAAGCCAACCCTGACTGGCAATTGCGACATGTTGTGCCGGGATTTTAATGTTATCCCGATTCTCACCAAGGTACCACCGTATCGTCAGAATAATATGAACAAAGCAAAGGGCCCTCAAGAATGGCACTTAATGTTGAGGCGAGAGAGCTATATGAACACCGTGAAACGCTAGGTTTGTCTCAAAAACGTCTTTGCATATAGAACGTGTGCGTGACACGGAAAGAACACGAATCATGTTCGTATCATAACAGTGCGAAGGAGCACCCATATCATCATACTACAGTACAAGGACAGCCGGACACTCTGGAGTGACCAGTGGCTTTCAGTAATCTCTGCCGTAGCCTCCGCCATATTTCTCATCATTCTCGTTACCAAAGCCGTCCTGTCCGTGGTGCCTCCGGTCCATGCGAAATGGATGATGGTAGTCTCCGCCCTCGTCGTCAATGGTCAGCCTCTCTGCACCAAAGGTTTCTCCGTCTCCGTACCCTTCCGTACGCTGGTAGTCATCATCGCGACGAGGTACTTCGTACGCTGGATTGTACCCCTCGCCAGCGAACTCGCGACCTCCATAACCAGTCTGGTCAAGGGCAGACCTTTCCTGGTTGTCCCCATAACCCTCCACACAACGGGACATTCCCGAATCTGGATGGTGACGGTGACTACGCCCGCTATGGTGAGACAGACGCGCTTCCTCTCCGTATCGGGCTTGCTGGTCGACCCCGTCTTCGTTGGCTTGATCTCCAAGCGTTGCGCTGCCGTAGAAACCAGATGCATCTTCCCTTCCTTCGTATTCGTGACGCTCGGACACTTCTTCATAAGCAGGTATAGCCGGAGGTTCTCCGTATGATTCGTCACTGCGCGGCCTGTGGCTACTTCTGTACTCATCTAGGCGGCTTTCGTATAACAGTTGTTCACGTCGGGGCGCAGGACCGCTGGTGTACCCATAGTTATCAGGATTTTCGCGGCCAAAGGTAGTGTTGCGATATTCGGTTCCTGTGGCTCCATCGTTGTCAACATCCGCGTATTCCTCCCTGCCTTGGTCATCACGTTGAGGGTATCGAGCAGAAGATCCATAGCTATTTGCGAATGACGAGGTTTCCGTCTGGGTGTAAGAAGGATTGTAGCCACGCTGAGGATAGTCGGATTCCTGCTGGTAAGTGGTCTGGCTTTGGGGGATTTGGTTATCATCGTCATGACGGGAGTAGGATGACCCGTGGCCTGAAGAAGGGGTCAACTCAGGGGGGTCCTACTTCGAGTTCTGATGTTGTCTCACCTTGGCGAGTCAGGTTAGCTTCTTCGTCGGCATCGAACGAATGTCCTCGATGAGATCCGGATTTCATGCGGGCCTGACCGTCAGGTCCATAGTAGCCACTACCTCCCGCGGCGATCTCCTCCTCCTCTGAGCTAAGCCGTTTGTTACGTCCGTTGCGCACACCATCCTGTTGCGAATCGAACTTGACCTTGCATGTTGTTCTGCTTGTTCACTGCCACACACCTTGGTCAAACCGTCGAGGACCTTTGCCGAATCCTCTGAACCGAGGCTTCCGAACCATTTGTCGAAGGTTTGGAACATATCGTGCTGAATACGAGAATTTCCAATATTGTAGTATGGATGATGGAACGCTTCAAGAATCTATCTCCCCCCAATGAGTCATACATGACACAAACGTGACTGCGATCATGTACCTCATCTATGACATGATCTTCGTCCTGGCCACCGTCAAACCAAGCCTACGGGTCAAATATTGATTAGTGGCAGGATGCCTGGGATTGTACCTGTTGGACTGACTTTCACGATAAGGTTGACCGTGTGCTCCACAACCACCATAGCAACCCGTCCCGCCGGCTCGTTTAGTATGAGGGCGAAATGGTCCTGATAATTTCGTCAACCTGGTGCGGGAGTGATTGAATGCAAAGTGATCCCACCTTGGACAGGAGACTGTGTGATGGATCAGATGCATCCGGGTTGTCGAATGTCTAGTACAATGTGTGAGATCAATAACTGCGGATCCCAAATGATATCATCACTTCGTATTGATCATCGGAGTCTATCACAGCTTTGCTGCCTTCTCCAAGTACAGCGGTGACCTGCGTGACTATGGGCTGGTGGGAATGATGAGTTAAACGGCTATCTGCGATATATCCTTGACTCACCTCCAGGTAAGGGGTCAACAATGTATAGACATCTGATTTACATGAGTGAAGAATAGCTTGAGCGCAAGCATAAGAACTTACATGCATTAAGCGCATCGGTGAGGTTGTCGATCAGTTCCGAGAGGCCAGGTATCATCTCTATCTTCTCAAGCACGGTCTTGAAGATACTGTCCCTCCACTTGAGAATTTCCCATAACTGTTGCTGAACCTCGGGGGGTGCAATATCACCAGGGTCAAAACTATATGCCTTACTCTTCTGGTTGATATCTTCGGCCTCAGAAACCTTGCCATCGCTGTCACCCCCGCCGAGTTTGCCGAGTATGGACTTGAGAGCGTCAAATTTCTCGTTCTGATTCCCGAGCTTAGCCTGGAGTACGCCGGAACACGATTGGTCAGTGGTGGCGGGAGATCAACTGTGTATGACTTGCATCGTTCATCTTCTGAGACAGATCCGTCATCGAGGTCTGAGACAGATGGCTGCATCCCATTATGATAAACATTACGTATATCCTCAAAAATAAAATAAAAACTCATACTCGGTAGCTTCCCCAAGGACGGAGTGAAAGAAGTCGGCGCTTCCAAATGTACCGGTGACAAGGGGAGGAGCCGGTCCGTTGGGCGTCTGAATGATCACTGTGACAGCAAGTCAATTTCTTTCGGGGGGGTTTAGGATAAAAGCATCTGACCATTATCGCCTACATGGCAAAACACCTGCTCGTGACCCATTCTCCGCAGAGCAATCTCGCACCAATTGCTATGGGCGAGAAGATCCTGATTGTCGCGTTAACAGAGTTTCGCTAGGAGATCGGCCAGCTTTATCACCTCCAGAGTATGTAACCCAGTGCCAAGAAGCCTGTACGCTTCCCAAAGATCCGCTCCATCGCGGCCATGAGCACGCCGTCCACGCTCGATGCATTGCTTGAATGTCCGGCGAATATGAGCAGTAGATGTATCCCACCCTCGGTTTTCGGTGGCCATATAATTCTAGCAATAGTGAGGGAAGTCAAAGGTATACAAAGGGTAACGAAGACTAACCTTCATCCCTGTTCTTTCGTCAATCTCAAGTTCACGCGGATCCACAGGAGGACGAAGCTTTGGATGAAATTGGCGAGCATCTTCCTCTTTCTCCTTTTTATGTATTTCAGCAGTGCGTTCGGGACCTCGTTGCAATCATCATTACTGACCGCGTATCCCTTCGGGTTGTCTATGTGCTCCTACGAGAAGAATGTGAAATATCCGGTATACGATAATTACCTTCACGTATCACTCACCACGGGAAGGTATACACCTAGTCGATCCGCCGTCACTTCAAACTCTCCGGTTGCAAAGCCGAAGCTCATGAAACCCAGAACCTAACAACGATAAGGGCTATGGGAAGTACGGTATAATCAGAAGGCGGCACCGACCGCAACCACGAGTACGAGGGTGTCCGCGGACAACTTGCTCAAGCCGGCGATATCCATTGCCTGTATTCGACGTGAGTTGCTTCTAAGGTACGTTACTACATATGACTAGCCTGAGAATAATCACGAAGCCAGTTTCCCTGACAAACTCGTCAGAAAGCATGCTACATATCACCAGAATAACCTCACAAAATAGACTTTCTTGACGTCTCCACTAGTAAACGTAGCACCACCAGAGGCGGCGTTCAGCACGGATTGTGCTAACTGAAGGATTCCTCCACCACCCGATGCAGCTCCCGCAGCTTTGGCGAGATTAGTGAGAACGTTTTCGATGTCACCTGGTCAGAATCAGCTGGTATATCATTGATAGCTAGTGATGGATGCACCAACCGTGACGGAATGCTTTATCTTCATTCACTCAGATTCAGCCACGGCACGGACGGGTTATGATAGGAGTTTACCGTTTAAGAAAGCGAAATCGGCTATACAACGGAGAGAGATTCTGTGAGTGTGCCACTGAAGGTAGGCAGACGCCGCGTACGGATGTCGCCTGCCCCGAAAGCCAATGCGCCTTCTGACAGCACGCCTAGCACGGTCGCTAGGATGAGGACCGTTAGAAGGGACGATGCCATTTGGTGCTTGACGCTTGAACTTGGGAGCTCGAGGATCAAGAGACAAGTCTTGTTGAGAATTCGAGACCCAGTAACCGGCGGTCTTATACCGATAGCTCATCTCGATCTTGTCTTGGCAAACTTCATCGATCGCCGTGCAGTCAGGAAGCGGCCAATACCAGTATGACGTCGTCGTGCATTGCATGGTCAAGTATGGCCATGGCTCATTTACCACGTATAATATCTCTCCGATTCGTGTACAGAACGCTAGCATCACCGCCTGCAGCTGAACGAGTGATTCCAAGATGGGTAGCCACATCGTTGAAGAACGAGGGGTGTGGGAACTTGCAAGGATGAAGTGCATTACGGTAAGTTATGACGTATACAAATACTATACATACAACGTTGCGTGTACAAAGGCGACGAAAGCAGCTTGTCCCTCGAAGGGACAACAATAGCGGTTGCTTATGACAATCGCACTTTCTTTGAGGGTTGTGAGGGTCCTTTCTCCGGATCCTTGCGCTTCTTAGACTTGACGGCGCTTATGAGCTCCTTGGCCCTCTGTTGTACTATCATTGCCACCTGTCCTACCTCCGACTCTCTGCCGTTGAAGGTGACGGCGTTGCTAACCATCAAGTCGATGTCAGCCTCTAACGCCTCTATCGACGGATATTTGTCGGCGTCGAGCTTCGTTCGGATGGTCTTCAGGTCTCGTGCGTCCTTGCGAGGGATGACCTTGAAATAAGAAGGTATTCCCAACGCGATTGGATCCACGGGTTCTCGAAACACGAACGATCTGTCAAAGGCGTTAGCGAACAAGAATACGCCAATTTGCTTGACTCTCACATGTCCTCAGATACGAGCTTGCTTAGGGCGTTTTGAAGACCCTTCTTCTCCGTTGGACTCATCTTCTTTTCTTTCTCCTTCTCCGGGGCAGGCTTCACAGCTCCCAAGAGCTCCTTCACACGATGCCTAAGCAGAACGGCAACCTTTCCAACCTCGGAGTCCGGGCCATTGAACTTGACGGCATTTCGAACCATCAGGTCGATGTCTGCCTCAAAAGCCTCGACCGAGTCATATTTATCGGCATCAAGCTTCTGGCGAATGGTCTTGAGGTCGCGCGCATCTTTTCGAGGGATGATATCGAAATAGGTAGGTATGCCCAGAGCCACTGGATCAACTGGCTCGCGGAATACCCATGATCTGTGGCAATCGTCAGTTAGCGAAGAGAATGCTGAGCCCGAACAACGCACATATCGTCCGCCTGAATCTTGTTCATCACTGTTTGGAGGCCTCGCTTATCCCCGTAAGACAGTTTTTTGTCCGGGGCCTTGTTCCACTCCTTCTCGAAGACGCCCTGCAAGATGTCTGCGCATACCACGGGGTATGTCCCAGGGGGATTGAATTGTCGACAGTTTCTGAACATGAGAGTCATGTCATCGCGGAATTGTTCCATGGTAGTGTAGCGGCCTTGATCAAGTCGCTCAAGCATCGTGCCGAGATCCATAGGATATTGAATCTCGTCGTAGTACCTAACCCTAGTTGAGTCGAAGATCCAACAACATGACAGGTTAAACGTACGTAGGGCATCCATCAGCCACAGGATCGACTGGACGAAGAAAGAGCTGTGCTTCGTTCATCCCACGGAGGTGTTTGATAATATCCCGGCATTTCTTGACATTGATGGCAGTTCCGGGACGGGACGAAGTTTCACGAGGTGTCGAGGGGCGGACAGGAGCAGACATTTCTTTTTCTTTGATTTTCAATTTAATTGGTGGGTTGAGAGGTTTCTGCACAGCGATTTGTGAGGCAGGGGAAGGGTCTGTTTTGACCTCAGGAGTTCTTGATGAGCCACGCGCCTCGAGTTTCTCTTTCTTCGCGGGAGTCGCTAAAGCCAGAATGTCCTCATCGTCCATATCACTTGCGTCCTCCGATGTAGATTTCTTCCTCTTTGTGGAGGTTTTGGCGTCCTTTTCCCTCTCCATGGCAATAACCTCCTGGAGTAGATCATGAGACCCATCATCTACATACGGCGGGGGAGGGAGATCAACAGCGGCATTCTCCGCAGGCTTCTGGATATGTGGTGTCCATCGCGACCGTGCCGACTGGCGCGCATTATCACCTTTCTTGACAGTCTTGATATGTGGCCCGTCGCTGCGTGACGACTCGCCGCTTTGGGGGATCATCCGGAGAGAGCCTTGGGACTTTGAGATAACAGGGCCGGATTGTGACGGTCCAGGGCCATGCGCATGTGATCGATCCGCTGCTTCCAAGGTCTTCTTGATGCGTTCCCATTCTATGCTTGTGTAAGGCGAGGAAAGCACGATCCACCGGTGGGTACTCACGTCTATCAAAGAAACTTTCAAGCGCGACGGCTTCGTTCCACGGATATGTACTGGGAGCATTGTACGTTTTGCAGTTGTTAACAACCAGCCTGAAGTCACTTTCGAACGCGAATCGATCACTGTATTTGCCGGCCTCCAGCTTAGCGCCCATGGTGCTGAGGTCCATGGGCTCCTTGATAATATCAAAGTACCTAATTTGCTATCAACGCATGAAGCAACGCAGATGTGATATGCACCCACTTTGGTGCTCGATCTCTAACAGGATCGACTGGTTGCAGGAAAAGGGTTGCTCGCTTGTGTGTCTGCAGCTTCTTTAACATATTACGACATGCCTTGAGGTCATTGTGAGACATTCCGGAAGCCTGCGCCTTCGTGAGATATCTCGTCCCATTCTTAGTCGGCTTTGGCGCGACCGGTTTCCTGGGTGGTGGCACCTTGAACCCATGCCTTGAGGCATCCGCAGTCAACGGTGTTCCAGGGAACTTGACCTTGGGGGTAGCTGCTCCGGTGGTAGGTAACAGCTTCAGTTTCGGCGCCACGGGAATACTAGGCGACGAAGCCGCCTGCTGCGGATTCATCTTGTTGCCACGGTGAGGTAAAACCGCCTTGACTTGCGGCAGTACAGGGGCTGTCTCCAGTATGGGCGTCGGTGGCAGGTGGATGGTAACCTTGGGAGGCGTCTCTTCATGCCCACGTACGACAAGATCAGCGAGCTTTAGCAGACACCATCGAACTTCATGATCGACGTCTGGGGCACTGTACCGGCGCTGTCAGCGTTGACTATGAGAATATGTACTGATCACCAACACTGCTATTGGCATCAGAAATTGGCGTAGGATCTCGTTCTTGCCAACCTCCTTGTCTTTGCGAAGCGTCTTGATCAATATGTCGAGGTCTGTCTTCTTGTTTTCTTTCGCCTTCTCCTGTAGTGCCCCGTCTTCCTCAATAAGCAATGAATCCGTCTCTTTCAAGGAAGTCTTCATCTCTCCCATGGTGACCAGCAACGCCAGACTTTGACAGGCGTTGCGAGCGACATGACGACGCACGGTGCGGCACGGATCGTTCGCCATAACTGCGAGTACGTATCGCATGATCGGAGGAACATACCACTTCGTCAGAAAGAGGGCATCGAATGCGGCCATTCGGACCTGTGTATAGTTTCCCTCTCTACACCGTGATGTTCACCACAAATTGTTTGTCAAGTGATACCGCAAGAACCACTCACCGAGTCAAAGGGAAATATATCCGAGGATCATTCGGAATGAGATCAGCCATGCTGGGCAGTAAGTAGAACTATACAATCGATAAATGATCGGTCAACTAACATGGAAGCGGAACAAACCTCGATAGCAGCGATCGTGACCGCATTATGAGGAGATGGAATCAGGCGATCCATGCTACGGTACCGATCTACTTCTGCCAGAGCTTGTCTGAGTAATACGACGTCGTCCGACGATTGTTCTGTCTTGCTTTCCATAGGAAGGAGCTCTCCGCGCTCAGGCGGCGCAAGCGAAACAATGGCACATCCTAAAGCGGATATGATGCTGCAGATATAGAACGCATCTGAATACTGCATGGGGTGGAATCAGAGAATAGCGCAAAGTGTGTGATAGCGAACAAACAGGATTCGACGTGTTGTCATTGTACTTCAATTGATCAACCAGAAACCGTCTGATGATGGCAGGAGTCTTGCCGTTTTCAAAACGCACTCGAGAAATTGCGGTGAGCAGGCTCTGGATGCAATGTCAGCCCGGCGGAGGGGATGTTGCTTGGCCACTGTACCTTGCGCACAAAATACTCTGATAGATCTGAGAAATCGTTTGGACGCGGAACATAGGTATGTGTGAATAGATCTTGATGAGGGTCCTCGGGATCATAACAATATCGCAGGAACAATTTAAACAGATGAAACAGCCCCAAATAGTCAAGCTTGCGAATGGCACACTGAACGCAACGTAAACAAGTGAGCCGGGCGGAACGGATTGGCAACACGTACCGAAACGAGAGCGATTATGGCTTCGCAACGTATTCGGAAGAAATAGTTGGAGACGAGAGCCGTCTTCGTCAGCGTACTCGAGACGATCGCGGTGGGCTGCCGTGAAAGCGCATACACGGCCTGTAACACGTTCTATGGGTGATCCCTGAGTTGTCAAAATACAACCCACCTCAAGCTGTGCGACCACGTCCCGGTCACGTTGAAGCTGCGATACCCACATGAAATCGGGTTGTTCAAAAGCGATAGCCGCGATCCATTCGAAGTCAGCGTCCATCCGTATCCATTCGTAGGTCGCGCCACTCATGATCTGCTCATCCTCTTCGGTCCAATCGGCGACCTTCCAGTTCTCCCGCTCCTCCTCCTTCTCCCATATATCCAGGCCAAAACTCATGTCAATCATGCCGATAGCCTCCGCAGCCTCCGCGTCGCCCTCCGCAGCAGCTTGCGCTGCTGCCTGCCTGGCGAGATACCGCTTCGTGTTCCGTCTAACTCGCTTATACTTGGTATTGAAGGGAACCTCGAAGCGCTTGAACTCGCTTCGAATGTCAAGAACGTGTTCATATGGTGTCCCATCAGCCTCATGGATCCGGACAGTCATTTGACCCTGTGAAGATGATCAAGACCTGGTTGCTCGTCGTGGGTCACATAGTACTCACCTCGAAGAATGGCACAGGCTTCCACAAGGCCCTCTTCACCTCATCATGTTCATACAACCTATAGGCGGGAGCCTCCTGTCGCATGGTTATCTCTACGGCCATCTTCTTTCGATTGAAAGAGGCTGAAAACCCGAAAGATGGGCACCCGCTGCCGTAAATCCATTGTTCCGCGAAAGACCGGGGATCAAGTCCGCTGACTTTCCGACACATACGCAAGAAGTAATGTGTCGACAGCGCGTTACTTGGTAAGTCGCCACTGATAGCAGCCAAGAACACCTTGGGGAGTATCCGTGAAAGACCGAGAGAAGTTCCAGACTTGCAAAGCCGCCTGTCCAATATGTGTAGCACAAGAGGGGCCTTCAGGTTGATGAACGCTAAAGATGCCGCATCCGGGGGCTCGAAGTTTTGTGGCTGACAGATGGGTGGCATCATGCCACTGTCGTACTCAAGCACCCTCTGCATATCTTTCTTGATTCGAAATCTGTATTCGTTGTTGCCAAACAGTTTCCGGATGAAGAGGCCGGTGATGTATAGGCCCAATCCATTTACGAGCCACGTATCGGACCATGTCTTCGGCTGAATGTTGATTCCGACCCATTGGCAGGCCAGCGCATGACTGAGGGACTGTCGACATTCGAACACCTGGTCGATAGCGTCACTACCGTGCAGGAGGTCGACAGTAACAAGGGACATGGTAGCGCCGTCGAAACGTTGCGTCGGTAATTGATCTACGAAAACGAGTTTGTGGGAGCTGAATGGATACGATCCGAATTCGGTGGTGTAGAAGGACATCGCCGATCGTAGGAAAGGAACGGATGTGGAAAGGAAAGATTCATGGCCAGGTAGACAGAACGCGTGCATGAGCAGTTGGGATGAGCCGACAGACTCGTCCGCGGCGTTGAGTTCCTGCGCGATCGGTAGAACATGGAAGGGACCTGCTGCCCAGGTGATATGTTGAACAGAAGTTGCCACGGACTGGCTAAACAAGAATATTGTCTTGCTGGAGTTGTAAGGGTGCGCCACCTGAAGTCATGAGTTACCTTCGTTCGACCGCAAGACCAAAAGCGACGTACCTGTTCTGCTAGCTCCCCACTACACACGACGATCGTAGGGTATGCACCTTGTTGATCGCCTGCCTCACCGTCCAGTTCGTCTGGATCGCTGTCTCGTTCTTCTAGATAGCGTGGGACAACGAATTCGAACTCCCATGTGCATTTCTCCCAGAAATTGTCGATACAGGGTACCCAGCATCTTGCGGCATCGGGCGACGATGGCGTCGTGTATGCATGTGGAATCCGCTGAAGGACATGAGGTAGGTATTGACACAGCATCTGGTGACTACTCACGTAGGGATACGAATCACTGGGCAAAACAAACTGAACGCCGTCGACGGGATGTTTCAAGCTGTAATCGACGCGGACAACTATGGGCGCGAACTCCGTAATGGATGCGGCTTGACTGAAGGAAGGTCCCGGAGTCTGTGGTTCAGGAGTGCCAACTTCAAGAAGGATGGAATGAGCCAATCGCGCAGGTTTCGTACTGTGGCGACTCACATTCGCTTTGTATACCAGTTACGTACGAGTTACCCGCCTGCCTCAACGATACTCCCTCGGGCACAGCAATGGACAAACCAGCCTCATCCTCCTCGGCCAAGGCCGAATATATCTTACGTTTCAATTCAGGGTGGTTGTGACAGTCTTGTATATTGGAAATGTTCAGGTTAGAGAATGAGTCGTGCTGCACGAACTCGGCCGAATGCGCGCCCACAGTTACCGAGTGGACAGCTACGAAGGACATGCGTCAGCGCATCATATACACGGCCTGGAGGGAAGTCCGCACCGCACTGCTTCAGATGCAAGTGAATCGTTTTGAGGTTCTTGGTCGTGGGCACCAACGTGATCTCTGTGTAGCCCTAGCATCGAGGCCTCAGCTACCGTCCGTTAGTGTAGCCGGAGTTGCCTAGGCATACCCAGAGGGAACCGGCAAAATCCACCTCAAGAACGACCTTTTGATGGCTAGTATATGAGAGAAGGATATCAGAGCCAAGAACAAAATCAGATCTGGGTGGAAAGGACGTATATAACGAAGCCACGACGAAGTTGTTCCCGTTGCATAGCTTGCGCGGTTGTGCCAATCGGTTGTGCCAATAGGGCGAGCGCCAGACAGAGACAGGCTACAGCAAAAGGTAGAGGAACAAAGTCCGAACAGAATCGCAGGTCCAGAAGAATTCGCAAGCACAACGCAAGCACAAGACAATTCTGTCGTGTCCTGCGCCAGTCTGACTCTGAGTTGAGGGGGTGAGGCAGAGAGCAAGACGTGACCGCGCGTCGGAGTTGTATTCATTGAAGCTCAGCTTCGGCGGTAATGTGGCTGTGTCCGGCTCTTCGCTCGGTGCTCCGACCATGTCTCTACTGTTCCGAGTGCTCCATGGCGAATGTCATCCAACATGGATGGCACGGGTACGTAAATACAATATCTTTACTCATCTGCAGACAGAGTTAATGCAGAATTCCGCTTTGCACAGTTCTCAACGAGCGCGCCCGTGCTGGCGCGGAAGAAGGTCAAGGCCCCACCGGTACTCTCTAAGAAACAGCTCGCAGCCAAGGCTAAAAAACGTGCGCTAAAAGCGAAGGAGAAGAGCATATACGAGAAGGAAAAAATGACACTTGCGCAGGCCATCAATGTCCTTCGTGTGCGTCTGAGGTCTACTTGCCCTGCCATGCTAGTTGGAGAATAGTCACCACAGGCAGTCGAGGTCGCGTCGCCAAACTCAGCCTATGAACTGACAATCAAGACTGGAATGCCCAAAGGCGTAGCTGTCCCGAAAGGGCGCATCGTGTGGCCGCGTGAGGCGAAGCCCCGCTCCAGGGATCGCATCCTGGTATTTGCAGAGGGAAAAAAAGCGGACGAGGCTCGGTCGGCGGGTGCCGACATTGTGGGTGGTCCGGAACTCATTGAGGGTGTATGTATTTGTATGCGTCTGACTCATTGACAAGATTGAACTATGGTTGCACAGGTTATTAACGGTCGCCACCAAGCTACGACGATCCTGTGTACGCCCGACCTCATCCGCGCTATCACTCCGAAACTCGGTCGTGTCCTGGGTCCTCGTGGATTGATGCCTTCAGAGCGGCGAGGTACCGTCACCGACGACGTCGCCGGCTATATCCGCCGTTTAGCAGGCTCCGGAGAGTGGAGGGCGGACAAAGAGGGAACCATCCGGGCTCCCGTTGGAAGGGTCAGCGCATCACTCGTACAGCCTGTCACGAAACTAATCAGGGCGTTTAAAAGATGCACTGGCCCATAGATGACGTGATGACTAATGTTAGGCATGTCCTGAACCTGGTCAAGCGGGCCACAGGGAACATCAAGGATCCCAAGGACAAAGACAAGGATATACCTGGTACAAACAAAATTCACATTTGAGCGACTGAGTGTGCTGATCTGTCATACTTCCACAGTGAATCCAATCACGCGAGTGGTCCTCAGTTCTCATAAGGGGCCTGGAATTACTATCGGAGATACTTAGGGTACAGCTGCAGTAATGCCTACAGATTATTGTGAGATGCACAGCGGTGGACAACATTTGACATAAGAGCGGAGGACAGCGAGTTCTATGCAAGACGCAAGTTGAAGTTAATAAGAACAGCAGCCGATTGCCGTTGCAAATTGTCTTGAACATCCATGGACATCCGCCCACACTTTCAGTCAATCTCCTCTATCTTCAACGCTCTGATCCTTTCCCGTCTCAGCTTTCTCTTCTGTTCCTGAATGTCCGCTGAAAGTTTTCCGTAGCTCTTCTTCCCCTGAGAATTGATCTTCCTAGACTCATTGCGACCTCGCTTGCCGATGTCCTCGCCCTGGCCAGCCAGTTTTCTATCTTTGGCACGTTGAGGTTGATGCCGTTCTTGTGGTGGGTTCTTTGGTTCATGCGGGAATAAATCACCCCATTCAGATTTCCGCGCGTCGTAATAGGGTTGTTTGCCTTGTGACTTTGGTACTGTCAGGCGCATAATTTTACCTGGCCGACAGCTATGAGCTACCGACGTACACGGAACAATCATTGACAACCTGGGGCGGCTCACCTTGTGGCGTGCACGCGTCAATGATGATGTGACCACTCCGTTTGAGAGGCGGAAATATCAGACGTGGCCAATTGTAGGCCTCCCGCCGCAGAGCGCTTGCTATATCTTCGGCGAAATCTTCCGTTTCCAGAGCCTCCGACACGTCGCGTATCGCGGCAAGTCTGTCAGAGTCCTCTGATGCTCTTGTCCTGATGTGCGAATTGTCGGAGTCCACTATTAATTCCGCCGGTTGCATCTGCTGCAATCGAGCCAAGTCTGATTGCAACGCGCGCTTTCCAACGAGACCAAGTCTTCCTCTTTTTGGTTCGTGCGCACCAAAACCTGGGCGAACACCTCGCCGGACGACAACGTACGAGTATCCGACGTCTTCGTGGCCAGTGCCAGAGTGTTTCGTTTTCCTGACAAACTCCGGTCGTTGCATGCGCTGCGAGAAACCGCAAATAAGGTTGCTTGAACCCGCAGTGTACAGCGGACATGCGCCATCATGAGGACACTATTTTGACGTGAGGGTGAGATGCGACGATGGAGTACACAAGCGCATCGAGAGACTCACGGGAGCAACAACATGCGAACCTCGGGTAGGCCAACTCTCGGTATCTGGATCCTCTAGCTCTTTCCTGCCGAGTTTCAGTAGGACCTCCCGAGCCTCAGCAATTGATTCGAAACCGGCCTTTGTATCGTGATCGATGAGTACCTAGATGATAGAATTCGTCATTGATAATGCAGAAGCGTGTGAGGATACTGCACTCACTATAACGTCGGCGCCGCTCTGCCACATCTCCTTCACTAGTTGCTTCTTCTCAAGCGGTGTCTTCAGCGCCGAGATCGCAAACGCGGACAGCGCTATAACATCTCGGCCCTGGGCTTCAGCCCTTGATAGCTTGTCGTCTTCTTGAAACATGCGCCGCCATAAAGCCACTAAGGCACCAGTATCGCTATCTGCGAGATATTTTGTCCAGTCGTGAGTTCGGCGAATGATATGTACACTTACAGGTCAGTAGCCGTTTTCCGATTGCTGCGAGTCCTTCACGTTTCTCAATGGCAAGATACGACGATATTGTCGATTCTGCGATTGTTCCATGACTTGAGTCTGCTCCACTCCGTTGGAAAGCGTGCAGCGCTGCCCTAAAGAAACGCAATCGGTCAGCAGAGCAAGGGTCATCACGGGCTATGGCGGACCCACCATAGACCGCTTCCTGTCCCAGCATACCAATCAATCAACTGGGAAGGTGCCCACTCAGGCCCTAGCCTGTCCTTAAGATGGTCGAAAACCGACAGTATAGCAGAGTAATGAGCCGGTAGAGCAACGGTGGCGAAGGCAGTGCCATCCCGCTCTCCAAGCAGTTCGCGTTGATGCCTCGAGTTGTATCTGACATCGTAGAACGAGTTCCAGCCGCCAGATCCGCGTTCCCCTGGTCTAGTTTCGTCCAGGAATAATCGCTTCGCATCGGAGTGTAGCTGAGATTTGTCGGAGGCTGTGAGATTGGTGAGCGTCGCCGATTACGTTCCTGATCAGCTTAACTAACCTGCAATGAGACTGGAGATGGAGTTATAGAGCTCAAATGGCAGTATAGTCGCACCGGTACGTTGACTTCCAAAGTGAGCCGCCGGTGACTTCCTGGTCAAGTCGTCGTCCGCCGATTCAGAGGAGGATTGTTCGGTCAGACTGGACGACCCAACGGACGGGCCATCCCAGACTTCCAATTCCCGTGGTTCGCCGGGGAGATGCTTGTGCTTATGCTTGAGTAACGAAATATCGACATCCGCTAATAACGCTCGAAGAGAAGGGTCCAACTTCAGAGGTGCATTGAGCTGCGTACTGACTTGGCGAGCTTGAATAATGCGAACAGAGCTCCTAAGCGAAGGGCCCTGAACGGATCGAAGCATGTTGCAGCGTTGTTGGCGAAAATTGAACGACCTGGAGAGAATAGTGAAAGAAGAGTTACATTCTATACCTCACCAATTTCCCGGCAACGCCGCGAGACGCGACGCGCCCTTCCGGTCGACTACAGTCCGCAATAGCACTGGTGTTAAGAATATCCTGGCTACCCCTCATCTGTGCCGCTTGACCGTCGTACGCCATGATGGCCAGAGCAGCCTCACCTCCTGATACCATCGAAGAGCCTCCCACCAAGAAAATCAAGAGAGACAGCACCAACGAGCATGCGGACCCCGATGAGCTCGACGAATTGGACAACATACCGGCCGAGGACTCTTCTTTGAAAGCTTCGGATCTGTACCTTGACACTGTGCGTGTTCAGTTCACACCAACGCTCTGCTTGGCTCACGCGACCTTTCAGATTAACCGAGCCGCGCTCGATTTCGACTTCGAGAAAGTTTGCTCGGTGTCAACATCCAATGTTAACGTGTACGGATGCCTTATTTGCGGAAAATACTATCAGGGGCGTGGTCGTAAGTCGCCTGCCTATGCCCATTCGATCCATGAGGATCACCATGTCTTCATCAATCTCGAGACCACCAAGGCAAGAACAAGTTGTTCAGATGCGCGTCTCTATGCTTAGCTTACACCTCAGGTCTATGTGCTTCCAGACGGTTACCCAGTGAACGATCCGTCCTTGGAAGACATTGCATTCGTTCTCGCTCCTTCATTCACAACAGCATCCTTGCCCCAGGCCTCATCTCCGCTCTATACTTCCAAGCCTTCGTATGATCTATCCTCCAAGCCGTACCTCCCGGGTTTCATCGGCCTTAACAATATCAAGAAGCACGATCACATGAATGTGGTTATTCAGTCCCTTCTCCACGTACCTCCTTTGCGCGACTATCTCCTTCTCTCGCGTTTCGCTGGGAAGGAACCCGAACTTCTGAAACGGTTTGCTGCTTTGACTAAGAAACTCTGGAATCCGCGTCTCTTCAAGAGTCAGGTCAGCCCCCACGAGTTCCTGCAGGAGGTCGGCCGAGCGAGCGCGGGGAAGTTCCGACTAGAGAAACAGGGTGATCCTGTGGACTTCCTCAGTTGGCTGCTGAACCAACTCCATAAGGATACAGGTGGCAGTAAAAAGGCGAACTCCAGTATGCGTCCACTTCTGGTGAACGTCGTATTCGGCTCACTTCTGCTAGGCATAATCTTTTCTTGTTTCCAAGGTCAGCTGCGAATGGAGACCCAACAAATCGTTGTGCGACCGGACGCCGGACTGAACGAGAAACCCCGATTTGACATCGACCGAGGTTCGTGCGTGGCGCAGATTTGCCTGTTTCTAGCCTGAAGAGTTGCTCAGAGACGAAAACCACCATCTCCCCATTCCTCTTCCTGGCCGTCGATTTGCCTCCGCCACCTCTCTTTCAAGACGCGGTGGAGAAGAATATCATACCACAAGTCACTATCCAAAGCGTCTTGGCGAAATACGATGGGAAAACAACCTTGGTGAGTCTCAGTATCTCTGTCTTGATGACTTCTTGACTTGTCGCCAAAGGAAAATGTCGCAAGAGGGCAACTACAACGGTTTAAATGCCTGAGACTGCCGCAGTACATCATATTGCATTACAAACGGTTCACGAAGAACAACTTCGTGGAAGAAAAGAACCCGACCATAGTGAACTTCCCGCTGCGAGGCCTTGACTTCGGCGAATGTAAGCCCCCGCTCTTGTCGCGAGATTGCAAGGCGATGGCTAACTGCCGACGGCGTGTGCTCCTGTGCATGCCGTTTCGATGCACAGATCTGAATGCTCCGTCTTCACATCCGCCGACGATGTATGACCTCTTAGCTAACGTCACGCATGAGTCAGTTGCCGGAACAACTCGTGATAAGGAGAACACCGTCTGGAAAGTACATGTCCGAGCGGGAAGTGGCGAGGGTGAGAAATGGTTTATGATACAAGATCTGATCGTCGAAGAGACCCGTAAGGAGATGATCTTCCTAGGAGAGACCGTGTTACAGGTGAATATGGGTCCATGTTGCCTTCTTGGTATCTGATCAAGTCTTGAAATAAATAGATATGGGAGCGCCGGGCCACGACCGGTGATGAGAGACATCGACGCATGGAAGTAGACAGATGACATTTCGGTGCTATGTACCTAATTTCTACGCCCGGGATGTGACTGGTCATGACGGCAAGCAATTGGAGAGATTTCTCGAATCTGTCATCGTTTCGCGGCGACGTCTAAACCTCGTCCATGCTGTTACTTGGTTGTCGTGTCCGTTAGAGATGGAGTGGAATGAAAAGATTGCATCACGCAAGAGCTTTGTCATTCCGCAACTGCGATGGTCTGGGCGCGAATATTCTCAGGGATTGGCACCAGCAGAAGGGCGTGAGTGCTGTTGGTCGTTGGGTATCGTGATCTTTCCGTCGGACGTGAGTGCTCCCCTTTCTCGTGTCTTCGCAAGTGACGCAACGGCAGAATCCCTTCGCTGTTCCTGACCACTGCACGTTCCGATAAGCACTCGAGCACGGATCTGAGCCATTGTACCGGTACTGACCCGTCGATCCCAAGGTCCGGTGGGTGGGGCTGCACAAGCGGCTTGAATATATACACGCCGGATATAACGCCTGCGATTCATCACGGATTCAAGCTCGCAACAACCGCAGCAGTTCATCAGTATTACCTGTTAACGCCGCGATAAAGTATGGTAGGAGAGGGCGCCGAGCCATGCCAGCGAGGCGATTAATGAGATGAATCACAGAAAAGGCAAGTAAGAACGATGATTCAAATTCAGCCACCACCGAGTCACAAGCGTCGGCTATCATTGTACGCTCCCAGTCCGTTCGGTCACCAATATCCTCGAGTCTGAACGCCGGCAGTCTGAACGCGACGTTCGCCGGAGCTATGCATGGGCTTGCTCAAGCGCTGCCAGTGCCTGTCTAGCCGCTTCCTGTTGTTCTGGGAAATCAATGGATTGATAATTGCCTCGTTTCACAAGAGTCGCACCTCCTTGGCAGCAGCTTTCGTAGGCGCAGAACCGGTGCCCATAACTTGGCCGTCAACTAGCCGCTGAATTAGACACAGACAGAGCTTTGCAACCATGACTCACTCTTTGCAGAGGAAGTCCACACCAAGGACTGAGGGGTTCCGGACTTGCTTTCTACCCATACCAGAGCGTCAACCTTGCCTTGCGACTGAAGGTCTTCGATACACAAGTGAGTACAGGAGACGACACTAGCGATTAATACGCACAATTGTTCAACATGATTGTAGGACCTGTACCGCCGCGTGAGCCTATTTGAAGAAGACTTTATAGCAACGAACGGCTTACGAGTTGCCATAGCTCTCAGAGTTGCGGAATGCTGACCATGTCGAGGCTAGCAGGCGGAGCTTTATACATGCTTGGGCTCTGGATTTGGATGGTGGACGGTCGTTTGGTCATACGTCCCGGGCCTGTCAATCGTGCAACGAACCGCCCCCTGACATATAATAGTACTGCGCTGGAGAATCGAGTTAATCCGGTGGAGGCTCGGAGGCTCGGTAAGCCGTTAGTATTCAGCGGAAACGACATGCTCACAGGTCGTACCTGACGTATATCATCGACCTGCGAGGTGCGGTGCAGAGCATGTCAACGTCTCATTTGTAATGTTGTAAGAACCGCAATGAACGAGAATCATCGCCTATTTTCTCAGTGAGATCTCGGCATATTCAGGCGGATATGATGCGTAGTTCAGGGAATGTCGCTTCTCCTGAAAATAGAAATTCCTGAGGCACGTCCATTCAAATGCAAGTCATGGCACTTCTTTATCGCACCGGATAATGCTCATCTTAACACTCAAGCCGTCGAAAACCGGCGCTCACGGAAAATGCTTGAACACCGAGATGATGAACCTCCTGGCGTGAGGATATCCTGCCAGAGCGGATTTGAGCATCTAGTATGACTGTGCCTAGATGGGCACCGCTGTGCCGTCTTCCGACAGCGGCTCAGCTATAAAAAATCGTGAATTGGAAAAGAACCAAGATATCAAGGGTGACGCCGCCTGAACACTGCGGAAACGTAGTTAGTGGAGCTCCTCGACGTATTACTATCTGCCCCGAGCCGTCAAGCTTCAAGCAAGACGCTCCACAAGACCCCAAGCTCTTCGACGAGGCAGACCTGGGTGCTATAGTGCCGATATGAGAGAAATTTACCGATCGCCAATTGTGTGCGTCCCGGATCGCTCGTGAACAGATTCACACAGGTCCTCACCACTCGGTCCGACAACATCGTCGTTGAACTCATGATTGCAGTATGGACATACAAGAACAACGTTTGTCAATCCGAGCTACCTGAACGATATTCTACGCTGGCCACTATCCCATCAAAGAACTTTGATGAATAGTAGTAATTCAGAGCGTGTCCGTGGCGGCGTAGTGTTGGAGGGCGTTCGCGGCGGCATTTTCTTCCGCCCCAGCTTTGCTGTTAGCCGCGCCCCTTCCCCGTAGTTCATCATTGACTATACATCGATATGGCTCGGACTGAAATAACAATGTAACGGAACACTCACCAAAGACAGTGGATAACCAACTGTTTCCGCTTCTGTCGGTCTTGAAACGAATCGGGGGCGGAGTGCCGTAAAGCCTTTGAACAACGGTGTTCAGTTGATGTTTGTTCGAGGCTAGAAAGACATGAGCATAGGTAGAGATATGCCGCCTGAGCAAGAGGTATGCTGCTTGAGCGTCGTACCGCTCGTCGACATTGATGGTACTGATTTCCTGCACTGTCGCAGCTTTGATGTCGGTATTGTGGGGTCGATGTCGATGTGAGCGCATCGAGCAAGGCTTTAACGATGTCCACGATGGCAATGGAGGTACGTTGAACGCTCGCTGGGTCGTCCAGCCATCTGCACTCAATCGTTCAGCTCCGTAACGCGCGGCAGTGATTATCTCGGAGGACGGAGAGCGGATGTTGCTGGTCAGCTCATATCTCAGAGAAGGTGGGGCGAGGCGGTTGAACCGGGTTTGACATGTAGCTGAGATTGTTGCGCTGGAGAGCCAAGACTGGGCTTGTTGAGAGCAGGAGGCAACGCTCAACCTGAGAACTACGAGATTGTCGAACAATGTGAACGTCACAGCGGGACTCGGAATTTGCGTCGCAGACCAGTGAGGGTGAATGAGTGGTCCGGAATACCGCTTGCCAATGGTGGTAGGGCACCGGAGACATATGCCAAGAAGATGGAGGAGGTCGCAGATTTTGCCAACATTCTTCCAGAAATTGAAATGCTGGGCCGTCGTAGCATCGCGTGCAACCAACTTACGCCTGTAACAGCCATCCGTATATCGTCGACATATGACATTGGTCTTCACAAAGTCGGAGCTGATACACAAGAGATGGAGTCACCCTGATAGGTGTACGCAAGCTTTCTACCCAGCCAGAGTGGCGGTCAAATTCTCCGAGGCACCCTCTGAGCCGTTCCGCTCTTAACGGCATGATGGGAGCAAGTCCTGAGGGCTGGCGCTTTCCAGAGGCAGAATCGTAGATCTCAGTAGCACGGATGCGCAAGGGATGTGCGATCGGAATTACGTATACTTGACGAGCTTGCTTCAGAACAAAGCGCCAACGTGGCCCAACTGTTGGGGGACACAAAAGTGCAGAAAACCGCGGGTGGCCAAGTTAGATCGGAGCTGGTATCTTTGGCCTGCCTTGAGCCGTGAGCAGGGACACGGTATAGAATGGTCGAGCGGTCCAAGGAGCAGCGATGGCTGAGAAGTCGGCGTTCAGAATCAACGGCGTGCGCGCAGAAGGGGGCAGGAAACGCCAGTTGGTATCAGATACCATGCGGCTTTGTGGCAAGTCCAAGTCTTGACCTAGCGTCAAGCTTGATCGTTCCCTTGATTGGCGCGAGTTGATGCCAGCGTAACTGGCCATATACCTTGAACCTCGGTTATACCTCTCTCAGTGTTAGCCCGGAATTTTCGAGGGAATTTTCTCCAGCGCCCGCGATGGCTGGCCACGGCGGACCCTGAGACGTTGGTACACGTACACGTCCGCGTAGAACATACAATGATGCTTTGTTCCCAGCCAACGCTTTATAACCGGCGAATCCGGTGTAAGTGAAGCGGTAGGATCCACATATGGGGTACCCGATGGAGGATCACAGACGCCCAAGTGTGGAAATATCCAATGTAGGTTGAACGCCCGTATGTTGTAGAGATCCTCCGCGGATAGGATATTTCTCTGTGCATGAGCTCATAGTGACCGCTAGGGTTTAGCGCTGACCGATGATACCGGAACCCCGCGCTGGGCTGGAAAGGCTCATGTTTCCGAGGGGCATCCATCTTAATGCGAATGGATCACCTCAGATAGGCAGTGCGTTGGGCGATGGGCAAGACCATTGGCAGATCCGCCACTGACGTCGACATGCATGTGCATGGGAAGAAATGGGCTGTTGAGAACAAGAGAAAGCTGCCCGCTCGTCGTCGACGGCGGCTTACAGGAGTGCTGACGCGCTCAGGCATGTCAAAACGGAGTGCCCTGGAGGAGGATGAAAATAACAAATGGAGCTCGGAGAAGGAGCCAGAGCCGGTGGCGAGAACCGAGCGGCGAGCGGAGAGATGCGAACCATAAGGGTGTGTGGGAACTTTTGGGCAGCATCTCGCTGTCGTTCCCGACGGCGCCCCCTTGCCTCTCGTCGCTCCCCAGGTCAGCCGTCCCTCCCGCCATAGGCTCTCGTTGGAACGTACATCCTCGGACTCCCGTCTTCAGTGCACACAGACGCAAGTTAACCTTGTCATCGTCCTTCTCGACCACCACATCAACGCCTCTCGTCGTCTTGAGTAAGCGCGCACTCTTGTTGCCAATCCCATGCCTAAGTCCACTTGTGCCTCGCTCACCTGCTTGAACTAGGTTTTCATTCGGAGGACAACTCGGCCTTTGAACAACAGAGCCCTCTTTCGCCCCAGATCATCGATCCGACATGTCCCAACAACAGGGTGATATCCAGGAGAGGATCGCCGCTGCACGGCGTGAGGCCGAGAGCTTGAAGGAAAAAATTAGAGCAAAAAAAGAGTCCTCGGCAGACACTAGCTGTGAGTATCCTGCAATGTAACATCGTCGATGGCTCGGCGCTCACTCGTCACCCAGTGCGCGCCATGGCGCAGGAGGTCGAGCCCCTGCCGCGCATCGTCATGCGTCCCCGCCGTACTCTCAGAGGTCACCTGGCGAAGATTTACGCTATGCACTGGGCAGCGGACCGCCGACACCTCGTCTCAGCGTCGCAGGACGGTAAACTCATCGTATGGGATGCCTATACGACCAACAAAGTTCATGCTATCCCGCTACGCTCCAGCTGGGTCATGACTTGTGCCTACTCGCCTTCCGGCAATTTCGTCGCCTGCGGTGGCCTCGACAACATCTGTTCCGTCTACAACCTCAACAGCAAGCAAGAGGGTGTCAAAGGCGCCCGCGAACTCAGCGCCCATTCCGGATATTTGAGCTGCTGCCGCTTCATCAACGATCGCCAGATTGTCACCAGTTCTGGCGATATGACATGCATGCTCTGGGACATCGAAGCCGGTGTCCGAGTCGTTGAGTTCAGCGACCACACTGGCGATGTCATGAGGTAAGTGCCTTCCCGCCTATCTGTAGACCACGGGTGTTCAACGACTTTCAGTCTGTCTCTCGCCCCCAATCTGAACACCTTCGTATCCGGCGCTTGCGATGCCAGCGCGAAACTGTGGGATATCCGAAGTGGCAAGGCGACGCAGACCTTCACGGGCCATGAGTCAGACATCAACGCTGTCAAGTAATTTTTTTGCCTTTCCCAGCAGTTTTACAACAGTTTTAATGAAGCTTCCTAGCTTCTTCCCGAACGGCGACGCGTTCGCCACTGGTTCGGATGACGCATCCTGCCGATTATTCGACATCCGCGCCGACCGCGAGCTCAACACCTTCACGCATGATAACATCTTGTGTGGCATCACGTCCGTCGCGTTCTCCATCTCCGGCCGCATACTCTTCGGCGGCTATGACGATTGGACATGCAATGTCTGGGACACTCTCAGGGGTGAGCGTGTAGGTGTCCTCACTGGTCACGAGAACCGCGTCAGCTGCCTTGGAGTCAGCGCGGATGGCATGGCGCTCTGCACGGGTAGCTGGGATAGTACGCTCAGGGTGAGTGAATCGTCCGGATAGCCAACCCCTCGAAAATCTGACCTCAGGGCATACAGGTGTGGGCGTAATGGTGACGATTTACGTGCCTTCTCTCTCGACGTTGGAAATTCGACATCCCCGTTCCGGAACTCTTTCACCCCTCCTGGTATCCATCTGAAGCTATCTATATCACCCGACCCGTGTGCCCATGCGGCCGCGTTCATACTGTCCTTACATTACGTTCTTGTGGTTAACTTTCTCCTTCCTTCCTTTTTATCTCTAGCGCTGGTGATCGATCTATACCGCTGTCGTACATGAATGCATTGTGTGGATTTTCCTCTCGATATTGGCGTGACAAGAGCACACGCGTGTGACTTGTGATTATACATAGTCACGGCTCTGGTCGTGACGGATTTTTGGGCGGTTGCCCAGCCACAGAGTTTGAGCTGAGGGCTGCAACGATCCCTTGTAATCTATCGAGCTGTTCTTCTGGTCGAGTTGCGATGCCCCCTAAACAATCGATCTTCAGGCAACCTGGAGCGCAGCACTTTCAGCTAGTGCATAGATCGCAACGAGACCCACTCTACCATGATCCCGACGCCAGTCAGCAGGTTCTCAAAGCGTTCGAACGGGAAAATGCCAAGAAGGTAGGGTGCTTTAATATTCAACACCGACGCTCGTTACGGACTAAGTTATATAGGGGAAATCTCGTGCGGAATTGGAGAGGACGATAAATCCGTCCGACCTTGCACACGATCTCGAGCGAGCGAACATAGGGGAAGCTGCAGCCCATGGGATCTACTTCGATGATACCGACTATGATTACATGCAACATCTACGAGAGGTCGGAAATAAGGAAGACGGTGTGGAGAGTTTCTTCGTCGAGGCACCAGTTGTCTCGACCAAAGGCAAGGGCAAAGCGAGGGATCCCATCGTCTTGAAGGATTTGCCCGCGGAGGTTCTGCCCTCGGCGACTGAGCTTCCACTCAACTACGAGTCTCAGGAGGCAGTCCCATCGTCTATCGCTGGTTTCCGGCCAGACATGGATCCCCACCTCCGACAAGCCCTGGAGGCGCTTGAAGACGATGCGTTCGTGGATGATGGCTTGGAGGACGACTTCTTCGGAGAGCTCGTTAATGATGGAGAAAGAAACGCGGAGGATCGATTTGATTATGATTTTGACGATGCCGGAACGATTGACGACGATCGCTTTGTTGCCTCCTCTTCGACGCAAACCGTGGAGAGCACCGAGGAGGAAGAGGAGCCCGGCTGGGAAGCACGGTTTGCTGAGTTCAAGTGGATCCAGAAAGCAAATGCGACATCGAACGACAGATCGGATGACGAACATTCAGAGGGTGGCGATACGATCGGAGTCCTACCTCAGATTGCCGTCATCGGGGGAAAGCATCGACGGCGAGGCGCATCGGACGCATCGGGATATAGCATGAGCAGTGCTTCGCTGTATCGGAGCGAGGGCCTCCAAACTCTTGACGACCGGTTCGACAAGGTAAAGGTCTCGCATCTCCTTGCGCGCACTCTTCTGACTTTGACTCGAGTAGCTCGAGCGAGAATATGCGGACGAGGACGGCGAAGATGAGGACTTCGACGAGGACGATGATGCACCTGACTTGATCACATCTCGAGAGGACTTTGAGAAAATGATGGACCAGTTTCTGGCCAACTTCGAGATCCTCGGCGGTAAAATGAAGCCAAAACTCGAGGGGGATAGCGCAGCAGAAAAGTTAGACACGTTCAGACGGGCTATGCGCCACGATAACAATATTCGTGTCCATGATGGGGACGACGGCAACGAAAAGGATATCCTAGTACCTGTTGACGTCGACGACATTAGGGAGCGATGGGACTGCGAAACCATCCTTTGTAAGTCGCGAGCCTCATGTTACTGCTTCGGAAGATGACGTTTCCCTCATCAGCCACATATAGCAACCTTGAGAATCATCCTCGGCTCATACGCGCCCGGAGTGAAAAGGTCATACCTCGCATCCGCATTGACCGCCGCACTGGGTTGCCTTCGGTAGAAGTCGGGCTGAAACAAACCGAAGCGCAGAACGAAAAGCCCGAGGGCGAGCACGACGACGACTCTGCTCGACGTCGGTATATTCTCTCATTGCCTTGGTCGTGTTTCTGAGCTATGATCAATAGGAGTGTACGTTACAATCGCAAGACCGCGTAATGAGTCAAGAGAGGACAAGAAAGCTAGGAAGCAAGCTGCCAAGGCAGAGCGTCAAACTCGAAGAGCAGAAAAGAAGCAGAATACGGATAGATTCGGTGCAGAAATCAAGCGGCAGACGCAGAGCCTTGTGGCCAAAGAAACAGCAAGGATCAGGAAGCTGTGATTGACAATGGGTCTATTAGACGGATGGTGTAAAGTTATGTGCTGGTATAATACAAATGCCTAGGAACTCCATGAAATGCTCAGTGTCTTGTCACATGCCTTACCAATCAGGCCAAAGCTCAGATAAACCTATGTCCTCTTCTGGTGCATCCTGCTGCTTCATCCAACGGTCGGGGACCTTCAAGCGAAATGTTTAAATCCTGCCTGGTTGGTCGCAACGAACCCTGTGAACCACGTACCAACGGGAAGTAGCGCTCCATCGCACTTATGAACCGTTGCCTGTATTGCTTGGGCGTGATTATAGTTGGTTCTCCCCGACTGCCTCCTCCGCCAAGGAAAGCGCTATCTTTTACCCAACTCTCCAACTTCTTGTCCCACGTATAGGTTCTGATGTAATCTGAAGCATTTGTTGTTAACAGCTTGAAGGGCCGCACAGCTAGTCACTGACCAACTATTCCGACGACCAGTTCGTTGTTAACGCTGTCCACACCGACAACAAGAGAGTAGTCCATAACATTCACATCGGCCAGAAATTTGCTGTCGTTGAACAGTGCTCCTCTTAGAATGCGCTTGGAATGTTCTCTCAGATAGAATGGAGCGGTGTGTGCGCCTGCGCGGTTGCATCAGTAAGTGATACAAGGCAATGACACCAGATACAAACTTTCAACCAGGTTCTCGTCTAGTAGTACTTCGTTTTCACGGCCTGTTGACTGAACCCGACGGTTTCGAGTGGAGCCTTTGAGGTCATATATCTGCCCACGGCGAACAGCGTGCAGATACGACGTAAGTTCATATATGAAATGCGCGAAGTACAAAACGCGTGCCTTCGAGAAGCGTCGGTCATAGAAGAGGTTTTCCATAACCAGCAAATTCATTTGCGTATATCTCGTCCTTGACGTCGATTGGTCTTGTGTTTTTCGGAACGTAATCTTATAGCATCCAAACACTTTGGCAAGCAAGGTGGGACGCTTTAGTATCCTATTAGTCCCTGGCTATCCCAAAATGCTATGCAAACACTCACTTGGGCGACCACTGCTGAGGACATGTAGTCAAAGTATGCAGGAGCGAAGGTTGCCATAGCTTGTAGCTCTGCCCTGGACAGTTCCTTTGCAATGAACCGGTCGTCTTAATGCTTGTCAGACAGACATCTCGGTTAGATTATGCGCGAAGTACCTTTGGTTTTCAAGAAGGCGGAACCTGACTTTCCCCCGCTGGCATCCCATTTAACGCAGCGCGCGAGGGATTCGACCATCCGTTTCTCACAGTCATATGTACGCCTGAGCGCATCGAACTGCTCCGGGAACAGAACCGTACAACTGATCTCCAATCCGCTGCTCTCAAAAGCTATAAAAACAGGTGAGTTCCAGACGAGATATCTATTCGGTAAGGTACGTACTAAAAACCCATGGGAGTTTCGACGATGGAACTCGCATCTCTTCCGTTGGATTCGCGCTGTCGGAACTGTCGACGTTGACCACACCCCAGGTCGATGTAGATTCTGCCACGGATCTATCATCCGGCATAAACGCTTCGCCGCTGCCATCTGCCACCTTGGGTTCCCTGGCTTGCCTCTTCTCTGCTCGAGATTTCGTGAGCATCTCGCGATATTGCGGGGAGCTATGAACCCTCATCAGCGATAGAGCTCGTACATAGAGGATTGGTTATACTTCAAAACCAGAGCTATGATGGAAGTGGGTTCATCCGTGCGAACCACCATGGAGGCATCCCTGAAGATATGCTCAGGATCGGCAAGAGGGTCATCCCCGTCCAGATCCATGCGATGTCGTTGATGTGAGAGAGGGGCTGGCCAGAGGCTTGACAACGCTTGACGTAGCATAGAATTGCGATCTGCGCCGTTCGGGTTAACCTCCAGGTCGGATTGAGGTGGAGTCGACAGGCCCTGGACTTTGGTAGCATTGGCCGCAGAAAGCAATGGCGATGACGGTGCAGACACTGAAATATCCAAGCTTGGCGTGAGATCTTGAACTACCACTGGGGAAGGATCTTGATGAACTGCCTTCCCTAGCACGGGAACATCGTCGTTAATCGTATCCAAGGAAGTCGAGGCGCCCGGTCGTGAATCGCTGTTTGGGAATGGAGACGCGGACGGAGATCCGGACACAACGTCGGTTGCCTGTGCGCCTTCTTCATCCCCTTCACCTTCGTCATCCGCTTCACTGGAAGAATCGGATGCCTCGAACTCATCGTTGATCGCGTCTTTGACGCTGTCAAGAATTTCGACCCTGGCCCGGGACGAAGCCACTGGACGGGCTCGTCGGCCACGGATAACCGCATATCGACGGTTTGCACGTTCCTGATCCCTCGTTATGCGCTCGAAATGCTTGGCGATATGAGAGACTCTGCTTCCGGGAACGACGGGCTGCTTCCGCAGGGTGGACTTGCCGGCTGCAGCTGAGGAGGGCCGGGAAGCACCTCTCTCTCTGATAAAAGGGCGATTACTGCCTTTCACTCTGATGATCTGAGAGGGACCAGCGATGAGCCCCGTTTCACCAACCGGAGATACAGCTTGAGTACGTTTGATCGTGTCCTCTGTTCCATTACGCGTCAATGAAGGACGCTTATCTGGCGATGCTCGTCGTGATGGCAATGTTGACTCGATAGAGGGGACTGCAGGCCCAGGAATACGGCTATTTGCCTGAGTCCCAGTCGGCCGTCTAGCGGGAGTCAAGTATCGGGGCGCAATGTTCGCCGCGTAGCTCGACTCAAAATCAGAGACAGACGATTTCCGGAGGAACACAGGCTTGTTGACGGGTCGATTACGATGGCGAGGGAGTGGTCTGGCCGAAGGTCGGGATGCATATTCCTGCTCACTCTCAGATATAGGATAATGCGGTGCTAACGCTGTCTTGGCAAGATCACGGACACCTTCTGGGGGGAGGACTTCTGAGTACCGCTTGACTAAATCTGCAACAGTGGGTTGTTGAGCAGTACGCCGCGGAAGCCGAGATAGGCGGGGAAGCATGGTTTCCTCCGGACTATTGCGCCGTTCCTGCAGAAACCCGATTAATATGTGGTGCACCGTTTGTGGCCGAGATCCATACCTGGATTGGGGACGATGGGGTATCAGCAGACGGTTGCGTAGGTCCGCGGCTAGCGCCAATCGTCGAGTCGCTATCTGCGCCCTCCTCATTGAGCACGGGAGATTCAGTAGGTCCCTTCGTAGCGATGAACTCCCCTGCCGGTCCTTCCATCGGGACATCGTCTCCAGCTTCTGATTCTGAAGCTGACGCATCTGAGGACAACGTCGATGCTATCGAGTCGCCTGTAACTCGTCTTCGAGGCAAACCTTCTTCAGCCTCTGAGACACTTGATGACGGTAGATGCTGGTTGTCGAGGAACCCATATTTCTGCCACATGGAGCCTAAACCGCTGACAGTCCCAAAACCAGATACTCTTCGTTTGTCCACCGCAAAACCGCCCATCTTCGGTTTCGGCAACTTGTCGAAGTCCTGCTGCCAGGCTACGATCTTGTCTTGCCGGTATGCACGGGCTTGGTTTAAAGCCAAAGTATCCGTAGGGTCTGACTCGTCATAAAGCCGTTTCAACAGCTTCGCGATCTCTTCTCTCTCGGACTTGGCCCTGTTGATTAGAATATTCACTTGGCTAGCTACTCCGGAATCATATTCTTCGTCCCCGGTGGCGGCATCGATCTTGATATTCTTCAGATCCCCGATTAAGGCCGCATACCATAATTCATTCCTACTTAGTAAACGTTGATAGTCGGCGTTCTTCAACTCCAAGAGGGTCTCCGGGCGGACGCGTATGCGCATCGGTGGATAGACCACTTCATGAAGGACAATCGGGTCCGTCTGGAAACGGATTGTCATACCACGGTAAGCGAAGTATCGGATGTGATGAGTGTAGATGTTGTGATGACATCCCGCGCCTTGAACAAGTTCAACATCCGCCGGATAGAAGTGAAGTTCGAGGAACTTCGCCATCGAATATCGTTGCATTTCCTCCGAAACGGGTATGAAGGGCGTCACAGAGCCGCAAACACGGCAAAGACTCCAGGTGGTGATTAATTCCGGCGCTAACGGATGATAGGCCCTTCCGTTGATTTGGCCATCCCACTGTTCCACCGCTACCAGTATCTGAGCTTCGTGATGGACGTAGACAGTGCAATGCCGTGCAATAGGCTGGTTACACCCCTTGCCTGAACAAATAGCCTTTGGGTCCAGGAAATGAACAAGTGTTTCGTGAACAGACTTCTCTATGAACCGTCCAAGGGTGCAGTCGTTTTCTCCATAGAATGTCATGTATTTCATCTGCGGCGGGAAGCATGGTCGTCGATGTCCGTATTCATTGATAGGCAACTTCATTTCCCACAGGGCGATGTTTTGATACTTCTCCACGTTAAGGTCATCCTTGTTTTTCCGGAGATACCACTCCCAGATACGACGCTGCTCCTCATGTTGCCATTGAACATGGCTGAGTCGACTCTCCAGAGCAATGTCCCTCGACGTCTTGAGAAGTACCATTTGATGGTCCGAAGAAAGTGCTGAAGGTAATGGCGATGACGGGACTGAACCTGCGACATGGACAGGTTCCTGATCAAAGTAGCCCAACTCTTGTCGCGTGGACACCTGAGACTCGGAGGCAGGAGTCCTCGGGATGTCGGGGGCGGGCAAAGACTCGATCATCGCTCTAATATCATCCTTATCCGTCTCGTCCGGCGTAACGAGGGTAGGTTGCGCAATGGAACCTGGGTCTCCCCTAACTTGCGATTTCTCTTCACGGGAAATAACCTCATCTTCCCATGCCCGCTTGTCGCGCATCAGTTGCTCATCAAGTTCCTTCATCCGGCGAATGGGGTATGGCGGAGGGAATCGTAGGGTCGCAGATACTGAGATAAAGGTCTTTAGGTAGGGGTCAAGTGAATCCTGGATTCTCCGAGAAACACGGAGCTGTTTGGCGTCCTCGGTCGGTAGATCATCATCGTCAGATGGTTCCGATAGGTTCTGCTCTGTTGTTCCAGCGACGGCCTCGGATGAAGTCAGGACCTGGGAACTGTATGGCGCTGGCGCAGCATCATTGGTGAGGTTCGGAAGAGCGATCACGGAGTCTTTCCATAAATGGGTTTCCAACTTGAGATTTCGGACAGTGAACACGAGGAATCGTGTTACCTTCTTCACGCGTCGCAATGTTTCAATATCCCCACCTCGTAGAAGAATGGTGCATCCCATATCAGGGTTGCATCCTTCGAAACGCAAGTACGTCTTCCGACGACCAGGAATCAAGGGATGGTCAAATGTCTGGATCCGGAAGTGCTGGCAGTGGCCTAGGCGTGACTCGACAACAAGCTTGTCCATCGAGGAAAAGATATCCCCCTGAGTCATCCGGGAGATGAAGGTTATTGCGGACTCTTTGACCGATCTCGCAACTGCGATATTATGCTTTGCCAATTGATCCAACGCGAGGCGAGAAACCGACTTCTGCACGAGGATCACATGGGGACGCAATGCCGCGATGCGCGTTGCCAAATTACCGAGATATTCTTTTTCCTGGCGAACGATCTGGCCGAAGTGCATGTACTGGCCTTCCACGCGATGGAACTCGAGAGGAAAGGTAACGAGCATCACGCGTGGGTTCCGTAGATTTCGCAGCATTTGCTTATGAGCGACGTTCTTGGTTATCACCGCACCATCGACGTACTCCGAATTGGACGGAGAGCCACCGGGAATTTTCTTGATTTTGACATATCGACGCACGTCCATCTCAGCTCCTTGCCGCTGCGGAAGGGCAGTGAACGTCATCTCGCGAGCGATGCGAAGCGCCAGCTTCATCAGTACGTCTTCCCATTCCGTCGGGTTAGGTATATTCTCCGTCTTGAGCATCTGCTGAAGCATGATACGCAAATGAAACATGGAGATGAGGTTGAGCTCCTGCGCATAACTGAGGAGAGCGTCAATCCGCGCACACAAGTAAGGATGGCTGTTATCTTACGCTGTACTTTCTCTTCTGGTACGCCAGCCATATTCAGTCATCAGGTTGGAATCATAACTAAGCCTGCTCTGCACACGGCTGCGTATGAATGGCGTCGAAGAGTCATGCTCCGCATTGAAGGAACTGAGGCGCGATCGAGACATATTGTGTGGGCCAGGACTATCAATCGGATATGCCTGGTCAGCAACGCCAGTGGGGAATTGTATGGTGCTCAAGCCGTCCGTCCGCACAGACAGCGAAGCCGGGAATTCAATTGGTGCGTTCGAGTTCGGCGAGGGTGATATATCTCGGGCGTCAAGATGGGGTGATGATGCTCCGGAATCCTTGTCGTCATCCATCTGTGCACGGCGGAATGGCGCGATATTCCCTCTAGCTGCTTCCCACATTTGGTCATCTTCTTCGGTATTCCGTGGCGTATACACTGATCCATTCCCGTCCTCCGGGATCGGCCATCGCCGTTCGGCGATAGAGAAGAGGTTGAAGTTGTCATCCTTCCGGCCGAAGACATTGAAGGCCGAAAATGGGGAATGGGGGTGTCCTAGTTGGTGGGGCGGGAAAGGGGAAGTCGCGCTAGAAACAATCGAGCGTCTGTCGTCATCGTCATCGTCGTCCGTCTTCGAGGCCTGTTCGAGACAGAGATTGCACACGCGAATCATTCCGTCATGACCAAAGCGGCCACCGTTCATGATGTTGGATGCGCATCGGGCACAAAATATCTGGCCTGATGGGCATGATCAGCATGGATGATCTTTGTGAATTCGTATCTTGGATTTACCGCATATACGACAATGGTGTTTCCGACGCCATGCCGTGAACGTGGTCTTGCAATCATAGCATTCCTTTGCATTATCGTCGTCCATCCAATAATCACGCGAAAGACCTGTAAATCAAGTTATAGAAATAGGCACAGACGTATGACGAATACGTACCTTCTCCCCTAATCCTGCGGATGGCTTTGGAGATAGAAACTGGCGGCTTGCTGCTCATCGTTGTCCGTACACTGCGGGCATCATCTGCTATCGGAAAGCCGGGTATGGATGTGCCGTACGCGCCACCGTCAAGAGGGTCGTATGACGGAGAATAGAGTTGTGCGCTTCGAGAGGAGGGACGGTCATGCTCTGCATTTAACGATGGAGCATCGGAAACGACTGGTGTCAGAGAAACCATCGGGGCGGCTGTTTTCGATGCTGACACTTGTAGCGATGTCGGACGTTCAGCCAAGGGTCGAGACTGGGATATACTAGGCGCGGTCTTGCTTTCAGACGTTGACGGACGCCTTTGATCCGCTGAACTCGAGGGTGGGTTGACGTTGGAGGCAGAAGTGGTGCCAGCTCCTACGGACGCAAGAGGTCCCGCTAAGGAGTTCTTGACCTTGGAAAAGAGAGAAGAGACAAGCGCGTAAGAAGATTGATCGTTTTCGTCCTCCTCGGCAAATGGATTGAAAGATGTAAGACTAGTGATATCGTCAACGAGCTTCGTGTTGCTGCGTGAACGGGGAGAAGTGATAGGGCTTGAAACGAAAGGAGCTGGATATTTCGGTAATTCCATATCGTTAAGCTATGAGTAGTCGTACTCAATGTTCATGGTAGTTGAAGGGTATATCAGAATATACTTAGCATGAGTCGCGAGTCCAGGAGCCCCACGGATGGACGCGATACACCACGTGAGGCTCAACATTTCTCGCTATTTCTCGTTCAAATACTATTAGTAATACTTGAAGTCGAGTAATGGAAGGGGTCGGCGAACCAACCCAATCCTCGCGTTTTACTTGTTACTTATTAAAGTTCCAAAGAAATCTGGGAGCGGTGCATCCGGCGACAAGCGGTATGGCGCGAAATATCGAGGTTGCTGTAGCGAAACAGCCATTTGTTGAACTCACGTGCAACTTGACGGTGCTGCAAATCCTCGCCAACTTCCAAGCTCGATCCACAGGGAATCAGGGATCTCTGTGCCGTCAGATACTGACTAGAGAGGCTATGGTATCCATATATATTCATACTGGAAAGCGCCGGGTGCCCCGGTAGCATACCTTCGCTTGAGCAGAGCTGCACTTGCACATACAGTATGCAAAATCACTAGATTATTATCAGGTAAACTATAGTATGCAGTTCCACAAACTACGACTCGATTCGATATTCCGTCTGCAATTCCGGTGTATCACAAGTGGTAATTAAAGGGTTGCAATTCTGCATATGGAACGTACACCTATGTTGCGATTCGACGCAGAAGGAGGCCCCGAAGACTGGCAGCCGTGAGAAGAGTAAACGTAAGACGCGAGTTCAATCAATTGCGTCGTTGCAACACAGCCCCTGTTCACAAATACCGGTCCAGGGATATACCTGAGCAAGCTCAGGTAATGCCCCAAGAACGTCCACTGTTAAGTATGAATATCCGCGGTTTCGCGAACTGCCGCACGACTCTGCCACAAGTTATGATTGTTGACGGCGCTGTACCGATGTGGAGTTCCAGAGAGTTGAAACGCCTCAAGCCGGATAGTTCGAAGGCTGACGGACGTAATAGGACGTAATCAGTGACATGGTGAAGAGGTGACGAGTTGGCGACGCGATAAAATATGCGGAGTGGTCATTTACGACGTATTAACGACGGTTTTTCCTCCCCTCAGCTCCCTTTCCTCCCCTTCAGACCGGCTTGATGTCTTCCAGAACGCCCAGTGGGGCATTCTTTACCGACAGCGAGTCCATTTCGCCTGCAAAGCGCAGAAGAAGCGACTGCCATAGTCCCCCCTCTCTAGACGTTGCTACCGTTGAGCACCCGAAACCGGAACGTAGACGCGTCAACCCAGAAACTCTTGCCCAGAAACTTGGCCCTCAGGTCGTCGCTGATCTCCAAGCGTGTATCACACCCGGGATGACTGAGATGCCGTCCTTCGAGATCCGCAAGCGAATTCAACAGCGGTACAATATCGACAGGCGCCATATCTATGACTGGTTTCATGCCATGGGTTTGCGCGTCGTGAAAGACGAGAAGTCCAACTCGTCGAAACGGGCTGATGAGTCCAGATCAGTACTGACGGTACGTGGATCGTTTATCCTGACCGTACTAGCTAAATGCTACACGCAGCTTTGCGCCCGAAGAAACAGACAACCTCCGATCAGGGGACCAATCACAGTAAGCTGCGCCCACTCTGCGACGGAAAACATGAGTTCTGTGTCCGTGTCTCCTGTGCAACATCGACGGCGCAAGACGATGTCTTCTTCCAACGACCGTGATTCGGTGGCGTCCATTCACTCCTATACCCCCACCATTGGCAGTGACTCCGGTGAGGTCTCGGAAATTCGTTCACCACTGGGCTCCTTATCACAGACTCCTGGTGTTCTGTACTCTGGCGGACGTTCTGGCCTTAATGCATCTCTGCTCCATGAGTTACCGACCTTGTTTGACGACGACGATCGACTGGTATACCCAGATCTTGCTGCTCCTGTGCCTTCGTACCCTTTGGCCCATGCGCTCAATTCGACTCTTACTGTGGCAACTTCGGGCAGCCCGTCTCCTGGTCTTGACGAGAACGACAATGAGCCTTTGCCTGAACCTGTGATGAAACCGATCACGTTGGAGGACCTCAACGATACTTTTCCCGAGCCAAGCCAGACAGCGCCCATGTTCTCATCTGACTTGGAGTCGTCTACTATTCAAGAACGTCAAGAGACTTACTCGTTTATCTCTGATGCTTTGGGGCTGGTGACCGCACCCGACGCGGGGGCTACGCCGATTCAAGAGGCCAAGGGCAGCTATCAGGCCTACAAACAGGACCTTTCGCGTATTTACTATGGAAAGATCCTCGATGCAACGGACCGCGCTCCGGGAATTCGCTCCAATTCTTCCTTGCCCCACAGTTCTGCAGGCTCGGACGACAGCATTGGCAGCCTACAGCTCAGGGACCACCCTCGGCAACTTCAGGCTATCCCCCCAACGGCGACACAATGGCCTCGGCGCATCGGAACGATGGATTCGCGAACTGGGAACGACGGGGATCCTACATACCTTGATGCTTTCAGGCACGATCGTGTCCCTCCTTCGGTTGACCTTGATCACGGCATGGTGGCTGCTTGGGTGTCGACAGACCGCGGCAACGCGCCATTGTATGCGCGAGAGGGTGGCGTGGCCAACCCGATGTTCTTCGATCCTCAGGTTGCGTTAACTCCGGAATTCGAGGACCTGAACGCTGGCCAGTACATGATGCGGTGGTACAACGGACATGCTCCCGATCTTCGAATGTTGCCGACGTTCGAAGCGCATCCTACCGATCCTCGCTTCTACTTGGCCTCAGACCCTTACTATCCCTCGATTCATACGGAGGAACAATACTATCCTGAGTTCGCCTTCCAGCCTCCACCTCTTGGCGATGCACCGATACACATGCCGATGACCATACGGGACGGACAGCCTTTTGGCTTCCACCATCCAGCCGAATCGTATGGACCTCCCGTTTTTCCGGCGGATTGCCTGGGTCATGGAGTCATTCCATACATGCATGACGCCTCAACCCACTTCTACCCGCACGCTTCCTTTCTTGAAGACGGCGGATACCGAATCCAGGAGGGCTACGACAGGCCGCCCACTGCGCCTTTAAGTAAATGCGCCAACACGCACGAACAAAGAAGCACGCCACAAGTCTTCGATGGGCTTGTCTCCGCCTCGGGTGACGAGTGTGAGTTTCAAAGCGCACAGTGAAGAGGCGCCGCGCCCTGTAGCCCAAGAAACGTTCGTTCTCTTCCGCCTATTTCTCTTCGCACACGTATAGGTAGCTAAAATATACCGCTCTTTCACTTAGTACCCTTTTCGCTCTTCCAGCACGTAATATGGCTCTACCTTACGCGGGACCTCCCTAATACCTCTGTTATAGTCGTTCGGTGTACCTTTTCTTCGATGATCGACCATATATCGGGCATGATGCATCGTTGTCGCTTCGGTTCCCGTCCCCCGCGCACCACTTATCGTCGAGCCTATTTGTGTATCCAGCCATGACAATGATATGAATCACAATCAGGGACAGCCGTCCTGAAACATTGATGAAATACGTATATGATCGGTAATCATGCGTAAAATGTTGGACGTGCATCACACTGGAACCCTGCTGGAACCCCACCAAATGCAAGTATGCCAGCTCAAATCCGCATGTACTTATTCGGATAAAGATGCACGAGGTGATCCACGGGACAGCCACGATGCATGCACATGAGCACAAGTAAGTCGAGACCAATCCCAGTCTGGGTCCGGAGTAGACGCGTGTACTTGTTTGAGCTAGTCCTCCCAACCGGATCGACCATTGAAAGGAACGAGGGCAAGGGAAGACCCATGCTGGATCGCGAGCACACATAGTGCTGACCCAACGCTGCTCAGGGACCTAGGCCTGTGATCGGTGGGTAACAGTTGTCCTCAGTTGTCTCGGTGCTTTGTTCGCACGTCATGGGACGATCTGGGACGATCTGTCGAGTAAGCGTACGCGTAGCGCTTTGACGATCTGCTTCCGATCCTACCCTATTCCCATAGCTTTCTCGTTCGCAGATTCGCGACCACACAGATAGCACATGCCCGAAAAATTTCCGGGGCCATGAGTGCGGGAGGACGAAAGAGAAGTTGCCAGGCCCTCCGGAGATGATGCTTACAACCGCAGCATGCACCTGGTCTCGGAGTTCGGGGCGGAGTAGCGGTGGCTCTTCGGTTCTACTGTACGTCCTGGGGCATTTGGCTTGGGGATGGTAGTGCTCAACGGCCATACATCGAGCCCATACCCATCGGGAATTAAGGTGTTTTTTTCTTTACACACCGAATTAGTGGATCGTTCTTTACTCGAGCGCCTATGATTCTTTCATCGAATCGCACAGTGGCAAGGATCATCGATCATCGTTCTTGCATGTCTTTGGTCAGTGCGCAGATCCGCTCGATCGCTCCAGCGGGCCCAGACACGCTCGCAGAGAAAACTATCTCAGAGGGCGAACACGCTGTATCCTCGGAACTGAAAGGTCACACGACGTGGGATGTGAGACCCAAGGACGCACCCATGCCGTTATTCTAAAGCGAAGTTCATTTACGTGGCCTAAGAAGGCTCTGGACGTCGACCTAGAGGAGTCGACGGACCGCTGCCCGATGGAAAGCTTCTGAGGTGGTGGTGGACCAGGATTACGAACATAGGTCCCTAAACAGGAACGGCTCACATACCCCCAAGGTTTCACGGCTCCAGTGGGCACGCACCGATTCACCCGGGGCGCGTATGTCTACATATACAAGTACAACTACGGGTGTATGCTATCATGTCCATACACATCTCCCCCTGATGCTATGGAATGGGCGTATGGCGCGACGATAATCCTCATCGCCTCCGACGGTATAGTGCCTCGACCGTAAGCCCCTGGTAAGCTTTATGCGTTTGCGACATGATAAAGCGACGATCTGAGCGAGCTGCGCGTTCGAATGCCAACATGGCACTTGATAATCAAGCGTCATTCGTTGGTCGCTGGTTGCTTGTTATCGATCTCTCGGAAGCTTCGGCGGAGGTGGAGTAGGAAGCACTACTACCGGTTCCTAGTATGACGCCAGGCCCTGGCCCTCGACCGCGTCCCCAGAATGTGGGGTACGACCGGCGGAGGGAGCGAACGGGGAGGATCGAGTCCACAAATGGTCGCCAGAGCGCTGGGAAAGTCTGCAGCATTTGACCGAGTATATCGCTGTGCAAGTTATCTCCGTGAAGCAGACATGGGAGCTGCCATCCGGTTTTTGTAGTGCTGCATAGTGAGTGCACACCCTGTATTATGTGGCCGTTCGTGAATCAGGTATATCCGGAGAGGCTGTCGTTTATCTACCACGAATGTTCTAACCCTCTGCTCGGGATCCTGGAAGATTCGAGAACGCGCAGCCTGAGGGGCTTCTAGGTCGACGACGAAGTCGTAATCGTGATCGTAAGATGGTGTCTCTCTCTGAGACTAGTACTACGCTTTGCAAGCATTCTTGGTCAAACAGTTCTTCCGAGTGTTCGAATGTTTCTCCTTGACATGGCCATTCCACCATTATTGCTGAACCTTCTGATGCAACAATCAGAGGACATCGTATGGCGTACCCGCAGCGATGGAGCTAGCGCCGGCCGGTGACATATGAATGTTCAGATATCACATAGTCCATAACTCGATATATCGCTTGCGGTCGGCATGAGAAGTACTGCCGAAACATGTAACATGTGTCCGGCGCCTCGAAGTATTAGAGTCCAATCATTCGAACCGAAAGGTTGCTTTCCAAATCGCCAGTCCTGACCAACGTACATTTATAGGTGATACATCACGTCTTTTTGGCATCAGCCAACGTCAAGGAACCATGACCGGACGTTTCCGTACAGATCACCGCCAAACGCAAGTTTAGGACTTGGGCACTAGTGTGAAGATCGGAACGGCCTCCTATGGCGCTGCTCTGTGGACGTGCAGCGGTCTACCCCATTGAGCGCTCTGCCGGAACACACCGCGTCCTCGTTGTCGCGTCCGAATAAGGGTTGTCAGGACGTCGCGCCGACGCCGCGCAGAGAAGCAGCGTCTTTTAAGTTTGCAAATCAGGGAGACGTGTCCGCGCGTCGACTCAGAACAGCGTAAGGCGCGGTCTTGCGAGGGCCAAGACAACCGTAGGTATTCGTCGTGAAGTCGCCGGATCCGCCACTGCGATAGTCCCGCACAAATTGGAAGACCGGTGTCACCCCGTTGCCCGGAAAGAACTGGCCAAGGTGTGCAGAATTTCGAGTCAACGCCTGGCCGTTCATCTCAGACGAACAATCGCGTAGGCATCTCCCGATACTCGTATCATGGCCAAGAAAACTGGCTCGCGAAGCGCACATGGTTTGCCGTTATCAGACGCTGGGCATGTCCACACGTCCCGTGAGGTCCGCGAAAAGGCGAGCAGTGTGTGTAGCCTTGTGTAACCGATGACGTTGTATAGTACCTGAAAGATGGGGCGACTGCAGTCTCGTGCAAGGCGTGGGCTTCAGTCCCCCGACGGCAGTGCGATAACAGGAAGATGCCGAGCCGAATTTGACGACAATATCACGTCCCTGATCGCGATGCGACTGTAAAGATCCGGTCCTCTTCAGCATCCCCATGTCCGCACAGAGAAAGAGAGAGACAGCTGTTGCGCCCGAGAAGACGGATGCGAGAGAAGATCCGTGTGCGCCCCCCACCGCGCCCGCAGAGAACGAGTCGCAATGGCCGCAAAGCGAGACTGGATATGGGCGAACGGATCCCGCGAGCAGCACGGCCGTTGATGGAGAGGGCACGAGGCGGTGGCAGATGCTCAGAGGCAGACGGAGGAGTATACAATGCGCATACGCATACGCCGTGGGCAATGCCCCAGCGAGGCTCGAGCGCTGATAGATAAGAGTCAAACCCGGGGGTGGATGAAACCGACAACCTTTTCAGTTTGCGCCTGGCGCTGTGGCGGGTGAGACGGGAGGTGTGAGTGAAGTCATATTGCGTTCAATATGGCACTGCGAATGTGAGACCGGGCGCCGGTGTGAGACGAGCACGCCTTCGGGGATGCTCTCTCGGTGCCGGGGGTGCTGTACTCTACACGTTCCGGTGTCTCAGAGCGTTGTGGCCATTCACGGACTGGTGCGGGGACACGCCGCGGATTCGAAGGTTAGGCAGCGAACGCCACCGAGTGCGCGAGGACGGTCGTATCGCGATGGGATGACATGCGGCGGGAAAGGAAGTGGGAGGGCGATTGGTCCCGGATGCGGCAGGTCGAGGATAGGAGGGCGTGCGTTCGCGAATGCCAGCTTGTGGGGGTGGCTGGGAAGAAAGCGGTCGGATGGGAAGATAAGATGCGTACTGAGATGGGATGAGGGTGTGATGCCCATGGGCAGCTGCTGCAGATGGCGGGCCGGCAAGAAGCGCGCGGGCGGTGTAATTACGGTCGTGCGGGAGAGACTCGGGTGGTACGGCGGCTGGCGACGCTCGCGTGGCAGGCGATGTCGATCAGTCGCTCGGATACGGCTGCTCAGCTGGCCCAACCAGGGGCGGGCTGTTGGTGGTCGCGGTCGTCGGTGGCGACGACGGCGTGCACGGGGAGGAGAATTGATCGGGACGGATATTGCGCTGATCGGCCTGTGGGCGGCACGGGGGGTGGGCGTCTGATAAGAGGCGAGCTGGGATCCGGGCGGGTCGGAAGGAGTTCGCGCGGAGGTTGCTATCGCTGTCCTCGAGGCTCGACCGACATACATATCACCCACCACTCACACGTCCTCCTCCCCGCCGCCACCATGCTCACCGTCCCCGTCCCGCCCGACCGCAGGGACGCCCTCGCCATCGTCGGCGCACGCGGCCGCTCTCGCGACGTCTCCCCCGTCGCCGTCGCCCGCGCCGTCCACGAGCGCAGGCGCCAGCCCCGACAAACGCCACTGCCCAGCCACATCCCTGCTGACCGTCGTCCGGCCACCACGGCCAAGCCACTACCCATAATCCGCGCCGCCGTCGACCCCTCGCCGCGCCGCGCCTCTCTTTCTTCCTCTCGCTCGCCGTCGCCGTCACCCGTCGTCGTCACCCCCTCAGAGGACCCCCCGGCGACCCACACGCCCATGACCCAGCCCCTCACCCAGCCAGCGGCACACGACCAGATATGGCCCCCGGGCAGCCTCAGCATCCAGGAGCAGATGCAGCACGCTTACGCCCTCGACAACATGCACCTCGCCCGCGTCCTCTACCTCAAGCTGCGCGGCATCGAGGTCTCGTCCGACGACGACCCCCGCATCGCCGAAGTCCGCGACGACGATTTCCAGCCGTGCTTTGTGCCACCCGGAGCGATTCAGTTGGAGGAGGAGGATGAACGCATGCTCATGGAACGCAGGCGGGAGGAAGCAGAGAGGTGGAGACTGCAGGAACGGGAAGAGAGGCTGAGGGAGCTCGGCAGGCGCTGGGACGCGGAGAAGGCCAAGATGCAGGCGATGAAGGACCGTGCCGCCGCCTGCAGGGCCAAGACGGAGGAGTGCAAACGACGCAGCGGCGAGCGCGACAGGAAGGCCGACGCCCGCACCCGCGCCCGCGACACCCGCGCGCAGATGGACGCCCGCACCGAGGAGACGATGCGCCGCCACCTCCAGCTCGGCCTCGGCACCTCCGCCGCGAGGCCCAAGCTCTCCTACGACGCCCTCTCTCCCGCCCGAGCGAGTCCCGCCGCGCGGCAAGAGCCGTATATGCTCCGCTATGACCTCCCGCCCCCGATCGCCCTCGCGCGCTCCACCCCCGCGGGCGCCTCCCGTAGCCCGCCTCCGTGCAAGCCCAAGCCTCGCCGCGCGCTCACCACGCCGTCGCCGTCGCCGTCGCCCCAGCGCGCGCACTGCATCCCCTTCGAGCTCGTCGTGACCTGTATGTCTGGACCCTTATTCCCGTCCGAGGACCCTTCGTGTCTGCGGGGCAGGCCCTCGCAGAGGCAGCTTTTGGACTCGCTCGTCAAGGCAGGCGAGCACGTCGCCTCCACCAAGGCCAAGGCACCCACCCGCACTCCGTACGCTCCGCGCCGCACGGACTCGGCGCTCTCCAACGTCAGCACGGACTCGTCAGACTGCCCCGTGTGCTCTGCCAACACCAGTAGGCAGTCCACGGTCTCGTCCGCGTCAACCTCCACCTCCACTTCGCGCTCCGGCTCGTGGCTATCCTTTGGAAGCCACATGTCCGTCTCGACCACCATCACCACTCCCGCCGCATCCCTCCGGTCCAAGGCATCCTCCGTATCGTCCTCGGTCTCCCCGCGAGCGAGCCCGAAGGTCGCGTTCGCGTCCTTGACTATCGTACACACATGCACGTGTCCTCGCACGCGGCTCACCCGCGTACCGCTTGCCGAGTGCCCTCTCGACTACGACGACGACGAGAAGGCAGGACTGAAGGAGCTGCGCGCGATCAAGGAAGAGGATGGAGAACCGTCCCGGAAGCGGGGCTCCGCGACGCTCTCCTTTACCAAGCGCGTTTCGCTCTCGATGAGCCGCGTCGTCGACTTTGCTGCGCGACTGCAGGAGGCCTACGTCCGCGCGACGCTCTCCAACGCCGTCGCCTACGATTCTTATGACTCCTCCCGGTCGTCCTTCGCCTCGCGCTCCAGGGGCGCGGCAGCGCCGGCCCCGACGAAGCGCGGGCTCAAGCCACCTGGCTACCGCGTGCGCGGCTCCGACATCCGCGCCTTCCTCTCCGTTCCAGAACTTGCGGAACCGACTGATGATGAAGGCGACGCGCCCGCGTTATATATACTCCTCCCCCTCTCCTCGTCTTACTCGCCGCCCGCAGCGCAACGCCCGCCGACGCGCGCGCTCGGCCTCGGACCCGGCTACCCGCCGCTCCCATCTCCTCTCCGCCCGCGTTCCCCGCCGCCGACGCTTTCATACCGCGAGCGCCCGATCGCGAACCCAGTCATGCTCCGGCTGAAGGCGCTCCAGAACGTGTGCTGCGCGCGTGCCCTGGCGTGGGAGGGCCGCGGCAAGGACGGGTACATGGGCAGCGGCCGAGAGCGGATCGTCGGCGTCGCGTTCGAAGGTATCGGACGCAGCAGACTGGCGCGGCAGGCGCACCTCGAGCTTCACGCGCAAGTGAGCGAGATTGATGTGGACTGTTGATCGATTGATTTGTTTTCGTTGGTGTGGGCTAGATGAGGTCGTTGGCTAGATGGAGGAGGATCCTTTCGGTTTGACTATGAACACACCGTATAATCGGCTTAACAGCGTTCCTTATCGCGAACCGGCTAATAAAGGCTGTCTCTTGCTCGTTCTCTCGCTTTCACGTTGTATGTTTGCACTTTGTTACCTCACTGTACACCAGTTATGCACGCATTGTAAATAGTATTCCATCCATCCCCTGGGCACATGCATACATCCGATCGTAACTCCATCCAGTGTTGCAAAAAGAGAGCATAAATACAAAACATGAATGACGAACAAGGGTACAGTGGGACGCGCTAGCGATTGAACTCCAGGCCGGGCGCTGCGCCCCCAGGGCCGGGTTGCAACGGCCACCCCGCCGTCCGCTCTGGTGGGCCCCAGTACCCCGGCCCCGCGCCCCGTCCGCGCTGTCCAAACATCGCCGGTCGCCTCGCGCCAGGACCAGGCGCGGCGCCCCGCTGCGCGTGCAGATCCGCGTTGCTCCGCTGGATGATCGGTATCGGTGGGGGCGCCGGTCGGTGCTCGGGCGGGGGCGCGCGTTCGAACATGTTTGGATTCGGCTGAAGGTGCAGCGGCGCGCCTTGTTGCTGCTGCTGCTGCTGCTGCTGTTGCTGCTGCTGCTGCTGCTGTTCGCGCAGCTGCTGCTGGTGCTGCTGGAAGAGGGTGAAGTGCTGAGGAGGCATGCCCCCGCCGCCCATGCCCTGGTTCGGGTTCATGCCCGGGTGGTTCATGCCCACGGACGTGACGACGACGCCGCTCCCGGGCCCGCCATGCCCCGCCAGGCGCACGCCAACACCGCCGTCCGGCCAGCCGCCGCTCGCCATGCCAAGCCCGCCAAAGCTGCTCCCCGGCCCCGCGAAACCGCTACCGCAGCCACCTTTCGCGGCGCGTAGCTCGTTGCGGAAGAGATGCGTGTAGCGTAGGGCGTCGGCGGGCTCGGACGCGAGCCAGCCGAGGCGCTCGGCGTTGCCTTGGTCGATACCGAGCTCCTTTCGTAACTCCTCGTTCTCCTCGCTGAGGCGCGCGATCTCGGCCTCGCGCTCGACCGCCCAATCACCCATGGGCTCCAATGGCGGACTGTCCGGGTCCGCGGACTCCGCGGAGGATGAGGGATCGGAGGGGTCGCGTCCCATGCTTTGAAGCAGGCTGCGGAGGTGATGCGCGAGCCGTTGCAGGGCCATCGCGGCGCCGATGTTCGATGCCAGTTCGTTTGGCAGCGGCTGGCCTTCCTTCGACACGAGCAAAGTTTCGTAATGGCGCGTGAGGGTGTGCTCGTGCTGTTGTGCTGCGGCCTGAGACGAGAACGTGTGATTGGGACATGACGATGCGAAGGCGGGGGTGCGGCTTACGGCGTGGCTCCGGAATTTGTTCATGACGGTCTCCATGGTTTGCTCGTACTCTTTGAGAAGTTGGTTCAGCTGTTTGTTCTCGTGATGTAGCTTTTGGTTTTCGATGACGACCTGCGCGTTGTCGCGTTCGAGCTCGGATTCAAATACCTCTTGGGCTCGTCAGAGACGCCGCGAACGTGAACATGCACGCCAGCACGATCGCTCACCTCTCGTAATGTCGGTATTGAATCTCCTCAGTGAGAAGCCCGAATAGCTGTGTGCAGCCTGATCCTGTGGAAACCCGGACCGTTGGTTTACATACTATCGTGCACGGCGTACGGGGCTCACGTACTTGAAGCTGGCGCGCCTGAGCCTTGAGCGAAGTAGATACCTTCTGATTGTACGCATTTTGTTCGCTCAGTTCGTGAATCAGTTGCCAGGCGCGAAGGAGGTCTGTGTCCATAATCGTCGCAGCTGGGGGTGGTCGCGGTCGCGGACGACCTCGAGCCTGCACGCGACGCCCTGCACAACGCCCATGGCGAGCTTCTGCGGACCCCCGGCGAACGCATCGACCTCGGCCAGTGACAAGCGAAGCCTTGCGTAGCATCCTTTGCATCTATTGATTGCCTTCAAACGTGCAGATACGACATACACAACGTTCTATTTCGCTCCGCGTTCCCAGCGAAATGCGCGGTAAGACAACGTTTGATGCGACACCCTGTCGCGGCCGTTCCGCGACCCCTCACAATCCCCAACTTGCCCTCTCCCCATCATCACCTTTAGCCTCGGAATCCCCTTCGTGTACGGCCACATCTCTCTTTTCTTCGCTGGACCTCGCTATTGGAACTCCAGAGACTCTGCACCTCTGGACCTTTGAACCTTTCGCCCCGTAACATTATCCACCGACGTCGGGTCTCGTCGTAATCCTCGTCCGCCGCCGCCGGCCGCCATGTCATCCATATCTGCGCTCTCTGCCTCGGTCACCCGCATTCTCTCCTTGACCGGGTTTCCGAAGGAGCTGAAGACGAAAGACATCCAGTCGGCCTTTTCCGAGTGGGAGAACGTCGCGGGAGGTTTCAAGATCAAATGGGTGGATGACACCAGCCTTTACATTGTCTTCCAAGACCCTGCGACAGGTCAGTATCACAAGCCACTTTCCCTTCATTTCCTCAATTATATATGTGCCGCTAATGCCCGTTCATGTTCGATCATCAGCCAAACGCGCGTATCTGAAGACGGTCGCGTATCCTCCGGCCATCTTCACCTCTCCGACCACCCAGACTTCCGCTATTATCCGCCCGTATGACGGCCCCGACGCCGTCTCCGTCATCCACGCCGTCAACTCACGGCAGCACAGCAACAACAACAACTCGCGCGGGCAGCGCGCGCAGTCCATGTCCGTCCCGAGCACCCACGGACGCGGCATGTCCGTCTCCAACGGTTTCCGCGGCGGCAACGGAAACGCCGACGCGCCGGGTGCCATGTCCGTCCAGACGTCGCACAACGGCTCGTCCTCTTTCGGGCGCGAGCCGTCGCCGACGCTCCCGAGCTTGCCCTCGCACCCGACGCTCAACTCGCTCATCGAGAACTCGCTCGGCGGCGCTGCCGCGCTCGACGGCTCCGACCCTGCCATCCTCGCCCAGGGCCCGCGAATCGGCGACCCCGGCAAGCGCATGCTCGGTCACGCGCTCGGCGTCCGCCATCCCGGCCTGCCCACGCGTGCTGGCGTGGCCGTGGCCGACGCCTGAACGTATGCGAAGCGGACGTGACATGAACGGACGGGGGGCCGATATGGGGGCTCCCGTGGGCTGTATGCTATATGACAAACGGAGGGTGGAGCGCACAAGAAGGAGAGAGAGAGACAGCTTGGAGGCAGTCCGTTCTCGGTTTACGTCCTCAGCGTGGATTCGGTCCAGGTCGCGCCCCATGTCCTTTCGTTATGCATGGGATGCGATGCAACGTTGCCGACTTTCATAAAACGCGTACATGTTCTTTCTAGTGGTCTCTTGGTATACAGCAAACATGACACCTTAATTGTACAGCTTCCGTGGAGCTCGTGCGCGGCATTGATGGCAGAGTGAATCTCCGCAGGCTGCGAACGGGGTGTTAGCCCGTGTACGCCACTAGACGCATCAAGGAAGGAAAGACAAGGGAGAAGGCAAGTTAGTGCCTCCCTTTCATAACCACCGTGCAGCCACGGATGACGGAAGTGAACCGCGAACGCCGCGGGCTATTTCAGCGCAGAGTAGCATGCGGTCGTGATGCTGTCCCTACTTGCTGCTGCAGGTTACCTTGTTCTGCGTGGGCGATGAGATTGAGTTGCTAGAGAAGGGGACTTCCTTTTGGCGCGATTGTTCAGTTCATTTATGCAAGGTTCTCCGCCATGGCAGAGATGATCCAATGAAACCTGATGAGAGATGGTACACTCGAAGCTTCAGACGGCAGGCGAAGTGTAGGGCTTGCGAGCGGCAGTCTCGGAGATGCAGTGGTTTAGATTGGACATCTGCGATGAATACATATACGTATACAGCAGCAGCTGGACGTAGATTGCGCAATCCACCGCCCCTGGCAGTACAGTAGTCTCATAGAAGATTGAGCATTCATCAAGGAACATCCTGCGGCGTTGACAGGTGATATGACCGTGGCAGACGCGAGCCCAGTGCGGCATGGTTTGCAAGAGAGCATCGCGGGCAGGTGGGGGATGAGCCAATAGGCCGAGCTCGTCGCGTCTCGTATTCAGTTTCCGGATACCCGGATGAATCGCATCCAGACACGATCCATGTGCCGGATGCCTTCTGGCACGGGCAGTTGCGCGTAGAAATGGGGAGGGAAAGGAAGCCTGCGAGATCGGATGCGAGGACGCAAACGGGTGAGAGCCGCGGCCCTTTGGGGGTCAAGAAACGGAATGCAGGTCGCGAATGCGGGCACCGGGGCTGTTGAATGCACAACCGCGGGTGGAAGCGACTGGGGGCTCTATAAGATCCGGCGTTTGGCGTCGCTTCGGAGAGGCGACGGGGGGTTGTGCGCCAGGATCAGAACGTGTGCGGCGAACAGTTGGTTGGGTACAACTCGCGATCTGCCACGCCTGCGCGTTCGGATATGGTGGCGCTCTCTCTTACGCGTGGGTGCGACGGCGCTCGGGAACGGGCACCGATGGGCGCCCGCAAAAAATAGGGAGTGTCTGGGAGAGTGCAGCACTGGTACCGTACCGGACCTGGAGCTGGACGAGTTGCGGATTGCTGGGCAAGCACGCGATGGATGGGAACAATGGCCACGTACGCGCGGAAGCTGCGTTTGATGTGGACATTGCCCGGCGCTGCGAATGGAAGCGACGACGTCCGGCAGCCCTGAGTCTGATCCATCGTCGCCTCCCAAGCCGTTCTTGTCCCGCAAGGCCACATCCGGATCCGCTTCCCCGCCACCGCCAACGCCTCGTCCCCTATATCACTCCGAGACATGCACGCCCCTCCGCTCACCACACTCCCCGTACGCCCTCCCCATGCTCGCCGCTAGCCCGATCCAACACGTCTCCGGCCTTGACCGCCTTCTTACGTCTCCCCCTTTCGCAGATACTTCCGTGCGTCCCTCCTTCTCTTTGTCCGACGACGCCCTCATAACGATATGTCACAGTTCGATCACTGTCCTTCCCTCTCTTTCCTCTGGCCCCATCATCATCGCCGCCGCCCCGACCCCGAGTCGCCCATGTCGACCCCAGCATTGGACTCGCCCTCCACGTCCGCATCAGCCTCGCCTTACCTGATGGACATCACGGAGCCGTATGGGTTACCGTCGGCATCTGAGCCGCGGCCGAAGTTGACCTTGGACACCGCAACTCTGGCGACGATCCCTGCGAACAGCGCAGGTGCCTATCACCTCGGCCCATCATTTGACGCGAACACATCTTCCGGTCCTGAGCCCGCCCCGTTAACATCTCCGGCCTCAGCCTCTGCTCTCTCGACCGATGGGTCCCAGTACTATTACGCCCAGCAGGAGATCGCCCCCGGCCCTTCTTCGTGGTCGTCCTCGCTGATCATCCCGCCACCCAACCGCACCATGTCCGCCGGGGCGTCGACATCGAAGCACGCGTGTCTGTACGCGTGCCAACCGACCGCGGCGTTCCTCCCCCCGGCCTGTGGCGCCGCACGTTCGCCCACGCACATCTACCACAGGAGAGCAGCCGCCGCGCCCTACTCCGCCGTCGCGTCGCCCCACCGGCAACGAATCCCTTTCTTCTACCCCGCACCGGACCTGGCTGCCGGCCAGGGCCGCACGCACTTGGTCTCGCATCGTCGGCCGCACCCGCAAGCCCCATACCGTGTATCATTACCTGCAACCGTATTACCGCCACCCTCGCATATCTATCGTGCTACAAAGACCGCGACCGCGGCACCTTCACAGTTACTATCCTACGCCGCTCCAACGTCCCATCATTCGCTATCGAATATTCTCCCTACGTCTACATCAGCACCACCTATACCCGTACCATCCGCCTATTACGCGCCGACAGCGCTGCCCTACCCGATCGAACAGAAGCCACTCGTACTTCACCAGCCCAAGCCCGTGCGGCCCATCCCGCCCATCGTCATCCCCGATCCGACGGAGGAACCGCCCAGGAAACTGCCGCCGCCGCCACCCGCGGAGGTCGAATCGGATTTTGTGGATGACGACATGGAGGAAGAGCTGGATTGGGAAGTGGAAGCAAGCGGGGACGCAGAGGACGTCGGGCATGGAGAGCTTGCTGCAACACACTTTGGATACGGCAATCGCATCGAACGACCGGAATCTATCCCTCTTCTCTGCCAACCCCTTCCCGGGTACCGAGGTTGACGTGACCTAGGGCCCCGGGTGTATCTAAATCGACCGCATCGCAATGTATATTTTGAGCTTACAGCAATAACATCTCCCGTGCATCGTATTTCGGAACGCATGGAAAGGACCTTCGAACGTGGAGCTGACAGCAACTAGCGCCTAATGCACTGGACCAACGCCATGCATCGGGTGTGTCATCACGAACAGGCAACGTCCAATCGATTCTGCATATATTCCCAACTCGGAACGCCTTCTCAATCAAAGCAAGAGGTTGACTCTAAACGATTTGAATTACGTCACAAGCACACTTGTGCGGTGATTGGTTGACGGAGATGCAGCAGCTTTAACGCAGCAACGGCAAGTCTTCGGAGGTCCGAGAATGTAAACACGCACTTCCTCCATAGGAGAGTCAATGCAACGGTCGAGACTGCATTCGTCTACAGCCATGGAGATCGAACGGTGAGACAGCAACGATGTCCAGCGATAGTATTCCGTCCACGACGGAGGAAAGAAACGCAGAGTAATATCCGATCATGAGGAAGCTGCGGCTACGCAACGCGGTCAGCACGCACCATCGGCCGTCAAGCTTAGCCGACTCACATGCATACTTGGATGGAACCGCGGGCTTGAAGTCGTAGTTCCACCCGGCAGGCGACGGCGTGTCTGTCGGTATCCGTATCTCCCTCGGGAACAGGCCACGTATCCGCGCCTCCACCGCCCGCCGCTGCGTGCCCTTGAGCGTCTCGTACGCCTCGATTTCCTCCTCGCTCCGCTGTCGCGGGTCCTCCTGCCGATTCGCCTCGATGTAGAGCCGCGTATCGCCCAGGTCGTGGAGCGTCTGCATCGCCCTCCGCATGCACTCAAACTTCCGTTCTCGCTCCGCCTCGCGTTTCTTGCGCTGGTGCCGCTGGAATAACTTCCACGCGCGCTCAATGGTCTCGTGCGCCTGCACGGAGGGTATGGCGCGTTGCAGCGCACGGCCCACGTCTGACCGCCAGGAGCCTGTCGGAGAGGGCTTGTTGCGGATGTTGCTTGGGTAGAGAGCGCGCCGTATGATCTCGAGCTTCGGGTCCCCGGAAGCGCCCGCAGGCCGGGCGTACCGAACCGAGCTTTGGGCGACCCTGAGCGGGTGCTGCACCCGCTGGCGCGCCAGCAGCGAGGAGGACATTGTGGAAGGCGGAAGTCAAGTGCAGTTCGGGAAAAGCCGAAATTTTGCCCAGTCGCGACGCCACAGCCGCGCCGCAGGACGAAAAAGCTCCGGGATTGCGTTGGACATGTTACAGGATGATATGCATACAAAATACACCGGTGGATACGTAAAGGAAGCTCCCCCAACCAGATGCAGCGCGGGACGACCGAGGGCCGAGCGCACAGCTAAACATTGAATGCTCTACCACCTATCCCCAAATGCTTCCGCGGTCATACCCATGCCCATGCCACCGAGGTTCATGCCCATTCCCATTCCCATCTCGCCACCTCTTCCTTGAGTGCCGTTCTTCCCTACTACGGCTCCGTGCACCCATTCCAGCGTCTCGGTCCATTGCTCCAATGCCGCGTACCGCTTCTTCTCCAGCGATTGTCTAAAAGTAGGATCAGAGACCGCAATCCAGCGAGGATACAAGGCGAAACAAATCGAGTGGGAATGAAGCTCTAAACCCTCCGTGAAGAGGGAGCGAGACATCGCGCCGAAGCGCAGCAGGCTGGGACCATGGGAGAGAATAATTTCGTGGTGGGACGTACTTGCGATCAAGCTCGAGCCGCATGCCGACCTGGTCGATGCGGCCGTCAACTTTACCCTCGAGGATCAAACCAACGAGCAGCTCCTCCACTTCGGGCACGTTCACGTTCAGTTGCTGATCCACGCGAGAGTTCCATCAACATCACGCGGAGGACAACAACATCGAGCATGGACAACAAACCTTGGCCAAAAACGAGAGTTCAAGCCTTGTGTACGGTTTGATGAGGTCGATGAGGTACTGCGTCCGTAAGCTGCGCAGTAGGTCGCCAATATAGGATCGGATGAATGCGTCATCCATGATGGTCGCGCGGTTGTCTAAGATAGTCTTTGAATGGTGCCCAGACGGGCAATTTATTCCGTACCCACCGCGCAGAATCTTCTCCGCTGCATGCACCTCACGGCGCTGATACGCATCTACGAGATCCGTCATGGCTTTGATTTGTGGATCGCTCTTGTACCTGCAGAACAACGCATTGGAAGAAAGGTAAATTCCACGAGTCGATCCAGACCTACGGTTTCGTCTCCTGACTATCGAATGGATTCACTTCGCTGCCCATCAACATATTTGCGAGTACGAGATACTTGAGAACTTGTATCCGCTGCTGCGAGCCGGCCTCATCGTAATTCCGAAAGGACTCGAAGAAGTCTTCGGAAGCGCGGTTCCACTGCCGCTCGCCCATCCACATCTTCCCGCCGCACTCCTTGATGACGCCCATGATACGCGGATGAGGGATTGCGGACCGCACCGAGTTGGAGGCATTGTAAATTTCCTGAATATCCAATAAACAAACGGAACCCTTGAGCTGGAACAGCAGATGAAGACCTTAAGTTTCTTGAAGTTGCGGGTTTCGTTGTACATTTGTATCTCGAGGGCGTAAATCTCAAGGAGCTGAGTACCGCGTTGAGACTGGTCATCGCTATCGGCTCTGTTTGTTGCTTCGTGAAGCTCGCGGATCAGCTGAGCGACATGCGGATCAGAACCTCACAACGGATGGCTTTGTAGTCCAAATCACCTTTGCCAGCCGACCGTACTCCTTCCTATCGAGCCACAGCTTGGCAAGCTTGAGATTTGTCTTGACGGATAATCGCTGTTCTCGCCTCAGCACCGGAATGAAGACAGGGGTCATGAGGATATACCTCGTTCTTCGCCTCTACCAGGGCATCCTTCGTCACTTGGTAGAACTTCTCTAACACGTCGACCTCTACAGGGCCGCCTTTGCCACCGCCAACATAGTCCAAAATACCGTTGATAGTCTTTTCTGAATAGTTGCGTGTGACGGCAGATTTGGTGTAGGTAAGGAGCTCCGTGTACGTCTTCAGCGCGTCTGCCGGTCGATGAAGCTCCAGAAAGAGAAGCTTAGTTGACTGCTTGAGTGCTTTGAAGCCCCTGCAATGCGCAAAGGCGTCAGCCGTCGATGGTCATGGTAAAGCCGCTCAGTTCACCAGTCGCCCTTCTCGTCCTCTTGTTCGACTATTGCCCTAAAGTCCTTGAGCGCGCTTTCAGGGTCGTCCTCCTTCTTCGCTGTGTGGCAAAGCGTCATGAACGAACGAAAGTTATTCTACCAGTAAAACGCACACTTTGCCTTATAGTACATATTCTCCACGTCTGCGCTCCCTGCGTCCTCGCCGTCCTCGCCGTCCGAGTACTCGAAATCATAATCCTACCACACCTCTCAGTTCGTCGCTCGGTGAACAACCTGTTTGCGGCTTCACCTCATCATCGCTGTTTTGCATGTAGTCGGCGTCATCGTCATCCATGTTGGGTGCTTTGCGAGAGGTAAGATCGGTAGCAGGGAACTGATAGGACCTGTAGACTAACGTGCAAGCTTCAAGCCCGGATAACGGAACGCGCACGCGACGCCACTGTTTACAACACAGCCACTTTCTACCGTGACGTTGCGGCGTTGTGCACGTTTGCATTCGGGAGCGCAGACGGTACAGAGGACCGCGACGACGACGACGACTACGACGACGACGAATAGCAGTGCATTCAAGAGATGGCCTCTACCGAAGATGACCGCGCCGCCAAGGCTGCACGGGCTAAAGCCTTGGTATGTGCTCCCCGTCATGATCCTGACCCCGACCTGATGTATCTTGCTCTCGTAGCTCAAGAAGCGACAAGCTAAAAAGGCCGGTGCAGGGCCCTCTGCCCTCGACTCACCTACGCGCTCAGGCTCACCAGCGCTGTCTGACGCGCCTCCGCCCCCAGGTCCTGCCGAGAAGACCGACGGCGATGTTGCGGACCTGTGAGTTCCGGTCCATCTTACGGCGTTAGCCCAAACCTTACAATTCATCCTTAGATTCAGTGCTTCGGACGGCGCGAACACTGACTCCTCCTGGCTTCATGCGCTTGAACGCGTAGACTCGCCGTCACATACCCCCCCTGCAGCCCCGCTTCCACACAGATCTCACTCGCCCAATCCCATATATGGGCGACCTCATTCGCCGTCTCCGCTTGTTCCTCACGTCAACGGTGGTACTCCTCCAGTTCAAACTGTCACCTCTCCTCCCCCTCGTTCGTTCTCACCTTCGGTCAAGAGCCCTCTCTCTCCTCCGCTTGTCAACGGATCCGCGGACATTCACACACACGTGCAACAGCTGCAACAAACAGTGGACAAGCTCACGTCTGAGAATACGTCTCTCGCTGCATCCCTGGAGCGCTTACGTTCGCTCGAAGCAAGTAAGCCTCCATACTTATCCGAGAGATGGTATACGGGCTTAGTGAGGCCATGTTGAAGGTCAGGCAGCGACGCAGTCGTCGCTGAATTCCGAGCGAACCCGTGTACAAGAGCTTGAGCGGTCGATATCGATTCTTACTGGAGAACGAGACCACCTCCGCCAGTCATTAGCGCAGCTCCAGGAGATCGAGTCCAGTAATTCCGTCTGACATCTCTTTCACACATTTATAAGAGCGCTAATACCCCCCTTTTAGCGAATCGACGAATGGAAGTCAATCTGCAAGAGGAGCAACGCAAAGGTCACGACTTGCAAAAAATCGTCGATTCTCTATCCGCCGAAAATGCTGAATTGCAAGGCGCTTCCGCTCGCCTAGCCCAGCTGGAACCCAGTCAGCATCTCCTCGCATCCCGCTTCCCGATTTGCCTAACTTCCCTGTATGCCTGCAGTGTTGCAGAAAGCCGGCAACCTCCTGCGAGAAGAACAGTCCCGCTCTGCTGGACTCCGTCAACAGGTTTCTGACCTTGAGACTCGCCTGCAGGATATCCCCAAGCAGTTACAGACCATAGCCGCCCTCGAGGCAGAGAAACAATCGCTTGAAACCGGGCTGACGCAGCAGTTGTTGGCCGCCGAAGCTAGTGCGTACCTCCCCATGCAATGACAAATGCGAGTGATCCTGAACGTGTGCACAGGGGCGCAGAGCATGGAAGAGTCTCTTGCTGATGAACGTAGCAAGTCACGAGCTTTGCAAGAGCGCCTCTCCGATTTGGAAACGTCAGTGAGAGATGCATCGGCTCTGCAAGAAACAATCGCAATTCTCGTTTCTGAGAAGTCTTCTCTATCGACGCAACTTGAGCGATTACAGGACACCGAGGCTCGTACGTTGCTCTCACAATTCCCGTACGATGGTAACATTCAAGTTAATGACGCCGTAGGTGCTCAAGAGGTCCAAAACTTGCTCGATCAGGAGCGACAGAAGTCACAGGCACTGGAAGGTCGCATTCGCGAAATGGAGATTGAGGCCAGCACCTCCTCAGCCGAGATCACTCGTTTGACATCCAACGAGAAGGAGCTGTCCGAACGGTGCCGTGAACAGGTGGGTGCTGCTCAAGCTGACACTCACCTGACATGCGAATGTAAACGTTCGATCACAGGAACGGGAGCTTCAGAGAACTCAGGCAGCGCTCAGTGGCTTGCAAGCCGCATCATCTGAAAGTTCTCGAAGAGTCCGTGAACTAGAGGATCAGATCCAAAACGATGATACGGCCGAACGACTTGAGGCTTCGTTGAAGAACACACAGGATCGGGCGGATGAGCTTGAGTTCCAGCTTTCCAAGCTCAAGCAGGTATGTTAAACGTCACTGGTTCGTACAGCATGCTCAGTCACTTCTTTGTGCAGGCGCATGATGCATTGAAAGCCGACCGTGAAGCCCTCGAGGCCAAGCTCCGCCAGCACAGTATCACCGCCGAAGATTGGATCAAGAAGCATGACAGTCTCGAAGAGAGAAACGCAACTATCCAAAAGCAGCTCGATGACATCACCTTCGAACGCGATGCTCTCCTGCAAGACAAGGCAGCCCTACAAACCGAGGTAGATGCGGGTCACAAATCAGCCGAGGACGTGCAGAAGCTGCTTGCTCAAGCCACCTCGGACCTTTCCGCCAGTGCTCGGCAGCTTCAGACCGCACAGGCCGAGCTGCGTGCCGCTCTTCGCCGCGCGGAAGAGGCAGAGCGCATTCAGAAAGATCTGCAGGCTGAAGGAACGCAGCTGCTCCGTTCTCTCGACGAGATGCGGCCGAAGGTGGTCGAGCTTTCCAACGAGAAGGCAGAGCTGATGGAGAAAGCGGACGGGCTCGATGCCGCGTTGAAAAGCCGCGATGCGGTCATCGCCCAGCTGGAGGCGAGCCTTACGGAGGCGCAGCAGCAGCGGGACGAAACCGAAAAGCGAAGGCGCAGCATTGTGGCTACACATGAGAAGGAGCACGCATCCTCGCTTCAGGCTATGTCCGAGCTGCAAAAGGCGTATACGGAGTTGCAGACCGATGCTGAACAGGCTTACAGTATGGTGCGCGATTTCGAGGCACAGCGGCGGAACGACCAGCAGTCGATGGCGCGGCACGTAGAGGATGTTGATCGGCTCACCAGGACCGTCGCCGAGCTCGAAAAGCAATTGGCCGCCCTACAGATAGATCTGGCAGAACGCGGAAGGGCGAGCGAGGAGCAACAAGATTTCTTAGGAAGGACACAGACCGAGATCGAATTCCTGAGAGGAGAGATTGCAGCTAGGGATGACGAAATTGAGAAATTGCGGCAGCAGCAGAACAGCGATGCGTCTCCAACAACTCGCAAATCCTGGAATGAGGAGATGTTGAGCGCCACAAGACAGCAGCTGGATCTGGAGCTTTCTGCCTCACAATCGAGGATTCGGGAGTTGGAGAGTGCAGTCTTCGAAGCTGAGGACAGGGCTCACGGACTGCAGAAGCAGGTCAATTCTCTCCAAGACCAGCTTGCGCACTCCATATTGGTTCATGCCCGCTCTGCATCTCAAGAGGGACGCCGCCCATTTTCTCCGACCTTCGCTGCCACGGGTCCTTCGCGACCGTCCAGCCGGTTGAACCATACAGAATCTCGCCGGCCGTCCCTAAACATGGCTCGTAGGTCGAGCGGAACGCTGGCACCGCCTCCGCGTTCGGCCCTGGATTATAACATGTCTCCAGAGACCCGACACAAGCGACAGGTCAGCCTGAACATGCTCAAGGCACGCATGGACAGTGAAGCGGCTGCCGCGAGCCGCCCGGGCCCACGCGCCATGCCCCCCATACCTGCTGGCAAATCTGGCCACGCTCTCAGTTCAGTGACGGAGGCAGATCCCGAGCAGCAGCATTCCTTTCGTAAACCACAGTTCACCAATGAATCATTCTTCTGGTGTTCTTCATGCAGCGGAGATTTGCTGATCCTCTAATACCGTGTATCTATCGCCTTGGTATGATCTTTGATTTCGTATGTATTCCCACCGACGGTTTGACATTTGACCGGCTGATGATCTCTGCCAATGTACTGCACCTTGCGATAGCTCATGCGCTCATGAGCGCTTCTGACCCGCTTAACGTCCCGTGGACGCTGCATTGCTCATCGACGTTTGACTCTGCCGTACGCCGCGTGTTTCCGAACAGCCCTGGTGTATCAGTCCTACTCTGTCCACCGGATACGGTGAAAATGCTGATACAGATGCAAAAATATATACAGATCTGAAGGATTGACCAAATCGCTAGCATGAAACTGATGGGAAGACGCCCAGTGCTAGGGCTACCGTATAGATTATCCCCTTCTGAGAACGGATATCAATATGTATAATCGTGCCTTGTGTGTCCGTCAGTCCAAAGGTCTAGCCTCAAGACTTCCGCATAAGTTGCAAGCAGTCAACGCATTCCCTTCATTTTCAACTTCCTGAGCCGTGAAAGCAAGTCCTGTGAGGAAGGCGATGCTCAGTAGGATCCGAAAGACGTAGAAGGGTGAGCCGACCTGAGCCTCCTCCGGACGCAGTGAACCCCTACCCCTTTCCTCTTCCACGCCCTTCTCGATACTGTCAAGGATTTCGCCGACCAGTTCGCAATAGTCCACGCCGAAGAAGTGTGTCAACTTGGCCGCGCGTCTTCTCCGTACTTGGAACGAAGACCCCGGAACAGGGCTTTCCGCGATAGTGGCTACATCAGAAGACGAGGACATGGGGAGCGAGCGGCGGCGTTGTGAAAGCACCGAGGATGTTTCGGAGATCTCGTCCGAATTGGAATTGGCGGTTGCTTGACCGTATTTCTGCGCAGCCAGTTGAACAAAGGACTCGATAGCATCACTATGCAGGTATTCGTGAAGTTCGGCGAGGGACTGACGGTCATCCTATGACGTGGCTTAGCGCGGAAGATGGAAAATTGGAGATGTCACATACCCTGTCGATGATATCCGAGAGAGAGTTCAATGAAGCACGGTAGTTCCCGTAGACATCGCCAGCTAAATGTGAAGCCCCGTCTGGAGAGTCCTCTTCCTCGCCACCTCTTGAAGGTAGTAGTTGCTTGTTAGAGTCAGACGTCCCGGGTCTTTCCGCCTTCTTTTTCTTCGACTTTAGCTTGATCGCAAGTCCTGGAGGCCGATTGCGTCCTCCTAGCACCGGTGAGACAGGCTGAGAGACCGCACCCTTGATGGGCGGGGATGGAAGTGGGAGAGCTACAGATGCCTGGCGGGTATGATAGAGCGTTTGTGGGGGTGCAACTCCGAACACCTGCATAAAGAGGTCATGAGCTCCGAGCATCTGCCACTCAGCATTTGAAAGTGCGCACGCGTTCCATCTTCAGTGCCCTGCGGACGTTGATAGCCTTCTCGTGCTCGTCAAGTTCTTGCTTCACTCTATCAACTTCATCGGACCACCTAGTTGGGAAAACAGCCGCCGAGCTGCTCCGGCGGCGCCGGGCCTTTACCTCACCCGCTTCCCAGACCGAACGCTCGAGGACTGCTGCCGGTGGCGGCAACGTGGGCTCTGTGTCCGGTAAATCGAGCACCAACCCAGGAGGTACGCGTGAACCCAGAAAGCGATGAAGCTTTGCCAGCCGTTCGCGCTTGCGCTTGCGCTCCTCCTCGGTTCTCTCCTCTGGAGTCATATGCTCGAGAATGGACGGCGTGACTACCGAAAACTGCGAAAGTCTCCCGGGTCCTGGGGATGGCGAGGCGGCAGCAATAGTAGAAGTATCGTCGGTTTGGTCCCCTTCGGTGAAGTCCATGAACGACGTCGGAGAGATCTGGGCGACCGATTTTCGATCTGGGCCAGGCGCTCTTCGAGATGTCACTTCACCATCACTACCAGTGTCGACGCCTGCTCGGCGAGCTTCAGAGATTGAAGGCGGTGACTTGGGAGATTGCTCGGGATCCATATCTGACAAGAACGAGAAGTGATCAGGGCTCAAGGGTGCCGAGTGTCGACGACCCGTAACGGATGTGTACTGAGGGCGTTGCGAGGCATGTGCCGATTTCTGCGAAGTAGAAGCTTCCGCAGAAGACGCTATGGATGCCGCGCCTCGCGTATGTCCCTTGTTGATGCCGGAAGCAACAGGTAGTAGTAGCCGGTTCGATGGGCTGTCCGGGTACTGACTAGAGACGACATCCGGCGTCTGACCAAACATCTTCGTTATCTTCCTGGTTTTCTTGATCAATTCAGCGCGTTCATGGGAGTTGAGGATGTTCGTCGTGGGAGGCAAGGTCGGCAACAGTTCACGTTTGTTGCCTCGGGCGGGCGACGCTTGCCGGGATCCCGCCTTGACCCTGCTTAATGGTGGATCGACGGATGCTGAGCGACGAGCAGCCGTGAGCGACGGTCGCATGAGCCAAGCAGCGGAGCCGCGTGCTTGTGAGACTTCCGGACCTGGACTACTCGGCATCCCGCTGCGGCGATCCGGAGAGGCGGGCGACTGGGTCGTATTCCTGGAGTGAGAGCTTGAGTAGAAGTGGAATGCCGACGGCGGTGGCGAGCTGGGAGAAGCTAGATCGATGAATGACTCGCGGTCAGGTGAGTGGTGGAAACGGAGCTCCCCGTCCTGTGAATATGGAGTAGGGGGTTGTGAGCCTTCAGCGGATGGCCGCCCGGTACGGTAAAAGTGGCTCTCCAGCGACGACCTTGAATCCGACGCGTACATCGTGCTGGATATACTGATGCGATGTTCGGGAGGGCGTCGCCGCGAAGTAGAGGAGCCAATGCTCTCGGTGGCATCCTGTGACGACGAAGGAACGTGCGACACTGCGGGCGGCGTGTTGGACAGATCGGTCGAAGACGCGTCCGACACGAGCCCTGGACACACAACTGTCAGATCGGCGAGAACAGCATCGTGGCGTTTACGCCGTACCTCCGTCAACCCGCTTAAGACCGTTATTATCCGCCAACTTCATGAATGCCCCCTTCGCCATGCCCAACACCTTGTCTACTCGAGGCAGCGACAGAGAGGGGTGCGGAATGCGATTTGAACGCGAGGATTCCCCGGAGGAACGGCGTACGTCTTCCAACGACGCAGTCGACTGCGTAGAGGGGGAGTCCGGAGATATTTCCTGCGCGACGGTTGCGGGAAGTTCGTCCTGAGATACCCGCGCCTGATAACGGATTTCAAGCGCAGGCGGACGGTTGATGTACGGGTTGGGGACAGGCGGTACCCGTTCGGCGTCGCGAATCCTGGTGATGACAGGCGAGGTCGGTCGCCTGCTGACAGCGGACTTCTTGGGTCTCGGGGGAGGGGGAAGGCCGGATGCCTTGGGCTGGCCCAGGGACCGTGTCTCGGGCTCACGCGTCCGCTGGTCGTGAGCTGGAAAACTGGTAAGAAGGCCTCCTGCGGCTGGACGATGGAGACAATCACCGAGGAGTGCGTCGAGGTCGGGGGAGATCACAAGCGGAGCGTCCGACTTGGGCACGACGACCACATAGGAACCAGCCACATCGGGGTCGTCAGAGCCTGTGCCTTCGATTGCTGCCATCGTGATCACCGGCGTTGATCCTTGTCAACCGGTCGTCCCAGGCGCTCGTTTGAATTGTAGTACGTCGATCGTTTCAGGTCGTGAGGTCGCTGTCGTCGCTGTCGTCGCACTCGTCGCACTCGTCACCGCCGTCTTGCGGACGATTCTTCTGCTTTTCCGGGCCAGACGTTTGAAAAGAAGTCTATACACGCGGTACGTACACGTGTAGTATGAAGAGAAACGGAGACTGAGGGGTAAAGAACGATAAAGGTCAGGAGAGAAAAAAGCACCAAGTCCAGGCTCGGAGACCCGACGAGGCGGTGAACCGTTCCGGACGCCTGAGTATGCAGCGCTCGCCTGCATCAACTGTCACATTCAATCAGCAACCCTGCCGTTTCTTTCCCCTGTGCTCTTCGTTTCCTTGTCGCGCGCTGGGCTCGTGTTTGAGTGGGCTGGATTGGCTGCAGTGCAGAGGCAACAGCTTGACTGTCCTCGAGTAGCATTCACGCGCAAGTATCACTTCCGCAGCTTGCGTCTGCTGGAGACGCAAGAGGATCAAATCTGGAGCGTACTGTGATGTCGGAGATGTGCGGTAACCTGACAACGCCACATTTCGTGCGCGAAGAGTCCTTACACGATGAGAACGATATCACGCGGAAGAAGTGGGACACGAGGAGTGAAGGTGAATATGTATGTACACGTAACTATAGCTGACGGGCGCACAGTAACATGTAATCGAACACGCCCCCGAGATCACTGCACGGGCACCTTGCGTGGCGGTAGAGGAGGGGGAGCAGCCTTTGGCATATCGTGCACGGATGCACCATCGTTGCTTCCCGTGGGATCTCCGACGGGCTCGGGTGTGCTCCCTCGCGATTGCTCGTCTGTCGACAGTCTTCCGCTTTCGACGCGAGACTGAATCGATTTGAGCGCCGCAGAGGCTGAGGAAACCGATCGCGGCGGTAACGGAGGAGGTCCTTGGGGCGATTGTGCTGCCTCCGTTTCAACCACCTCTCTATGAGATGGCTGCGGCTCGGGAGCAGACGAGGAAAAATCGTGCTCAGTTTGTCCTTGACCTTGAGGTTTGAAAAGACGTGTGACGACCGTCTGCAGGGCTGGAGATTTGCCCTTCTGATCCGTCGATGGTGCCGGTGCCACGTACCCGAGGGACTGCACTTCCCCTCTGTGGCTGGCATGTATGCCAGGTATCGTCATGGTCTTGGCTTGAGGAGGCTGCGTGTGTATGGGGGCAGGAGTAGGTGGAGGTGAGACTGAGGGGAAATCAGGTTGACTTGGAGTATGCAGTTGGGTCGTTGTACGAGACATTGAAGGAGCCACATATTTGCTAGTTTGCAAACTGCCATCCAACTCAGAGGTGGTCCTGACTCTGGATGGTCCAGCGGGTGATGTAGATAAGCCACCGGTGAATGAGGACGGTCGTCCAGGGTTAGGCACGCTCGGTTGTGAAACAACCCGCTGTCTTTCATCGCCCCTCTGTGGAATGGCGATCGGAGCAGTGCCGTCTAAGTCGTGCCGAGACGATCTGCGCTCTTCTACCTTAGCCCGTATTTCAGCAAAGCTGGGTCGAATCTTCTGCGACAGCGAGGCTTGGCTGTTCGTGGGTCGCTGTTCAGTAGGCCCGCCATCTGGCACATCCTCTGAGCCTTCGTTATTGCGTCGTAGCGATGCCCAATTGACGCCCCATTTCCGCATCGCTTCCTTGGCCTGGGCCTGAATGGCCTGTTTATCACGCGATTTAAGCGTAGATAAAAAGCTGCTCCCGTTTCCGGGGCTGGAAGGAACTGTGCCATTGGCGAAGACCTGAGGCGACGATGGTGTGGGTGGTCGCCTTGCAGACTCTTCGCGCTCTGGGGTACCGCTGCGAGACGACGAAGTTGAGGATGAGCTATGTTGAGATGTCGATCTTTGTGATGTTCCGGGTCTGAGCAGAGAAACGTCCGAACTTGTTGTTCTCACTGGGGGCTCCGGCACGGTTTCGCCACCCTCAGCAGTGGATGACGTTGGTTGCGCGACCTCAGGGGCACTGAACCCGGAAACCACGCTGCGTCCACGAGCAGCTTCCGACGAGATAGCCGATTCAGTAGATATTGACGGGTCCGAAGCAATGGAGTCTTCGTTACGCAATGCTGCGAACCAACTGCGTCGTTTTGTTGCCGAAGGATTGCTGGAGTTGCCGAGAACGGAAACGTCCGCCGAAAGTGAGGCCGGCTCAGAGATGGGATGCAAAGGTAACGGTGCAGACATGGACCGCTCGCCTGTACTAGTGGGCTCTGCTGATTGAGGTACGGCAGCAGCATCTTGCGATGCCGTAGAGCCGGGGAGAGCTGTCGTCGACGCACTCGGACCGGCGTCCGAAGCATTCAAACTTTCGGAAGGTTCGTGTGTTTCTCGAGATGCATCAGCCCAAATGCCGCCTCGGTGCTCGTACGATGAACTCTCAAAGAACGCAATATCGTCCATATTAGGCAGAACGATTGACTCAAGAATCTGTAGTACTTTCTCAGTCTCAGGAGAAATCATTGGTGTTAGTACTTACGATTTCCTTCAGCCTTGATTCGATGGTGCTCAAGATCATGCCCCAAGTAATCTGTCTGTCACTAACCACCGGCTCCACGTCCAATTCCATCCGCGGCATCTGCGTAAACGCGTACCAAATCCGATTGCTCGGAGGTCGCTTCACCTTGATAAGCAAATTACCCTCGATCTCCCTGAGCACTGCGGCAAGAACGAGTTTAACTGTGTAAGTTTTGAAACGGGGGCCCAGATTGATAATCGCTGTCGCCTCCGCAGTGACGCGCACTTCGCCCTTATAATGTATTCGCACTTCTAGTGACGCATCACCCTCCTTGGTGAGCTCCTTCAGCATAGGCTTGCTGAAGGTAGGGGGTCTATTGCCGACAGAAACCTCCTTGATGTTCACGTCAGAGAGGAAAGCAGGTCGCTTCACTTTGGCCAGCTTTTTCATCAGCCTCCCAATGATGAATCTCTCGAGCAGCTGGGTGCGATAGAAACTGAAGAATAGCCGGCCGATGAGGGCATTCAACCAGCGCGTCGGTATTACGTCGGGCTGTTCATCCAAGGTCGAGACTAGATGCTCCATATCGGGCACCTTGAAGACTGGTTCGAGGGGCTCCAGGGTGGGATGGTTGGCAGAATGGTCCGAAGCGTGAACGAGGGCATGGTACCAGTCTTCCATCTCCACATTGGAGCGCACGAAGATGAACCACGGCGTGAGGACGGTGTGGGCCTCGTCCCTCGCAGCGTCCCTCGCCTTCTGGATTTCCGCGAGTTTCTCTAGCTCTTCTGCCCTCTTCTTCTCCTTCTTCTTCGACAGTCCAGTATCTCGCTCTTCGGCCTCCTGCTTCTTCTCATCAACGAGACCTTCACCCAACTTCATTTCCTTCGTCAGGCTCGGCATCTCCTTGTCTGGCGGCGGTATCCGCGGCCTGAGCATTATCGCGGTTCGCTTGGCGAATAGCTCCCCGTCCTGCAGGCCTTCCGGATAGATCATCACGTCGTGGCCACCCATCTCAATGGCAGCTTCACACTCCTGCATCGCTTCGTCCTCATACAGATAGAGCACCTTCCCCTTCAAAGCGACATACCACATGTCCTTGGGACGGGAACGTTTCGGATCCTTTGACCGTGCGTCCAGGAACCCCCGGACCTTAGTAGCATACGACGCATTCTGCTCCGTCTCTTCGAATGTCCGCCGCATGATGAGCCATCCTTTCCTGGCCTTGGGTTGATCGTCAATGTCACGAGTAGCAGAAGCTACTTCTGGCTCTTCCGATACCGACTGGTCCTGTAGGGAAGCTTTCGCTGGCTTGGTGACATCGGGATCGCCCACAGGCACGGAAGTGTACACCGCGAAGAAGACTATGCTGATGATAACCAGAGGAAGGAAGGTCAGTCCGCCTAGAATATAGGCATATACAAGAGTCCGTATGGACATCGCGAGTAACGTGGTGGCACCTCAGTGCGACGTCGTGAAAGCGCGCTGAGGCGGTGTTCAGTACAGAGTCGCAATAGATATTGAGAGACTGGCTGACTGGTCAGTGTAATACGTGATTCAGCGGTCAGTCTTCACAATTGAACAAGGAGCACGACTCAGAGCATAGAGCATAAAGGATGTTGCAGGTAAAGGTCGTGGCAGGCGGTCCAAGAACGACCGCATATCGGGAACCCCAGTGAAGTCATGAGGCAGCCACGTGCACGCGCCTCGGGTACTAATAGTAACAATTTAGACAAATTACTTTACCTGGAACCGAACACCGACGATGATTATCAATGTTAGCCAATGATCCATGCCGGTAGAATACCGTTTATTACAACATAGACCTGAAACATACAAATGACGCTACGCGAATGCCACAGCTCCCCGCGGTGAGCAGATCTATATCACCAGAACCTGGACCCGGCGCGGTGATCTGCATGCTGCCACGGACGCTGCTTCCGTCGAGAGCTCGCCATGAGTCTGATGTCGCGAGAGAACAGACCTCTCCGTGTCTGCTCTTCGACGGTTGGAAGTACCACTCGCCAATGCCCACGTTCGTAGCGCCATTTCTCTACCACAGGCTTCGAGCGTGGTATTGAAGGGACGTCGGGCATCAATGGCGGGTAAACCACGTTCACCGCCGGGTGATTCGGAACTGTTAGTCGGGTCTTGAAGAGCGAATCCTGGAACGGCACAAGACAGGACAGATCTCGAGGAGCGGCAGGGCAAGGAGTAAGCACAATGTCCGGTATAGACCGCTCCGTGCCGCTGAGATAATCATAAGCTTTTGCCCATGATTGAATAAGTTCATCGCACTGCGCTGGCACTCATATACCTTACAGATATCCTTTCCCTGGGGCGTGATCGTTGGGGTGGGATGGAGGAAATCGGAAGCTGCTCGCAATTGTCGGGAGCTCGATCAAGTACAGCCTCGTCAACGTCGCCCGCCGACTCTGACAATGTCTGAGAATCCTGATTAATGTTTGACTCATCCATGCATTGTTTGGTACATGCCGCATTCTGGTCACCGTCATCCTGCACCTCGCACTCCGAGAAAAGCCGCGCGAGAAATTCAACATCCTGAGCAATGGTACTGTGCACCGTGCGGCAGGAGGATCCGCATACAGCGGCCATCATTTGCAAGGACTGGCTTAGGCCGGATACGTTCCATGACCTCAAAGCCATAACGGACTGTCCGCGCCGCTATGATACTAAGTTCGGACTATACAGAGATGGTTTGGACGACTCACCTCTGAGTGCTGTATATCGCAGGAGGTTGAGCCTTTTTCAGCTACGATCTCGATATCAAGTATACCCTCTGACCGGGTAAGGTGCGTGAACATGATGGCTAGTTCAGAGACTCGTAAGTGATCGAAAGTAGTGCTACGTCTCTATCCAATGATGAATGATTGCGTGGTGTGTGGTCTCAATGCATAGAAGGGAGCAAGGTCTAGTTCCGCAAACATGTGAAATACCCCGTGGGGAAGCCACTGATCCGGGTACAGTGATCCACCGTTCCTCTGGACAGCACCACTCCCTTGGACACGGGCTAATTTCTCCACATCGCCTGACTCTTTCCTCTTGATTATTTATATATATATACATCCAATGGATCCTCACCATCTCTTGTAGCCCGATGGACAATATGTAGTGTTTTACTCGAATGAAAAATCGGAAACACCATGGTGGCTGTGCTATTCAATCTTTATGTGGGCTTTGAGGTGTTTGTGAGCTACTGTACCACAAATCAGTGTACATATTCAGACTCTACAGTGCTGAAAGCACTATCTGCAACTGAGCTCATGAGGGTACATGTATTAATGGGCCCAATATCGCTCCAGGTTTCTGCATGCTTCGGCGGAGCAGCAGCTAAGGCAGCCATGTGACTGTCGGTTAACCTCCG